CTCGGGCATCTCATAACCTCGTAACCGCATAACGTTATTATGCTTTTATGGTGTTATATGAGTTATATTGCAAAATCAGTATTTTAAGGGTGCTCATAAAGTTCACAATACCGGTATTTCGGTATACCGGTATTTTTTTAACGAAAATATCGGTTAATCGGTATATTTCGGTATTTAAAAATAAAAATACCGGTATTTGAAAATAAAAATACCGGTATTTAATGTTATTTTAAACATTTAACGCTTGTTATGCTTGTAATCCATGAAGATTTGCGTTAATCACCTTCTACATTTGTGTGATTCGTGAATTTTGTGAATTTCTACGTTGTGCAATGCACGAAACCGAAATTATACGCTTATCCCATGCGGATGTTTTGCAATCAAATGAAAGTGCACATTTAATTGCAGAGAAAACGCGCAAAAATCATCAAATTTATTAAAAACTTTCGATTTTTAATGCTTATTCATGCATGCAAACACTCAAATCAAAATATTTTTATTTCATTTCATTCATAAATGTTCAATTTTCCTCTCGGGATGGAAAACGATTCGTTTCGTGATTTGTTGAGTTGATTTATATAAAAATAAAAAGCGCGAGATCGTGGCGAATTCGACCGCAAATATCAAACCGCGGATAAATTTATTATTCGCTATAAAATTGGCTTTTGATACTATTGAGTATAGCTTTTAATGACTGAATAGGCACTCGTAATGAATTGGTTTATTGAGGTTTAATGTGCTTTAACGCGTGTAAAATACCGCAATAACAGCCCAACTCGGGTTTAATTAAAAATCCGGGAGTGTTTTACGTTTTGTTACGCTTTTCATGCGTAAAACGCAAAGATTTTTGTATTATTTTGATTAAAAATCCAAATATTTTCTTTTTCATCTTTAAAGCAGTTTTTCCACGGTTTAAAGCCATAAAAAGTGGTACTTTAAAAGCGAGCGACCAAGGCTGTGACTAAAGTACTTTAATCACGGGCTTTAGTCACGAGGTGGTGCATACAGTGCAACCAAAACCATATTATAATTTTATTACAAAAACAATAAAAATCACTTTCTCTTTATCAGTAAAATAAAATTTAGGACACAGGTAGATAATACCCGTATAAAATCACTCGATTTTCCCTTTTCTACGTTTCTATCATCCACGTAGACAACGTACACAATTTGTGTTTGTTGTTTTTGTTGTTGTGTTGTGTTGTTTTGTTTTGTGCAGTATCTGATGCACTCAACACTCACTAGCGCAATTGTTGTTCCAAACAAAAGGCGATAAATCACGAGGCGATACGTCAAGTACCGTTGGACGCGTTCGGCGCGCTTTGATTGAATGTGTAATTCGAATGTTTAACGAGCGTGCGCGCTGCAAGCCAAAACATCGCATCGACCCGGGACGATAATCGAAGAGTCGCGGAGATAACTACGTGCAATTATTGTCAATTATCGGCGTTTATTGTCAAAGCACAAACGCAAAAGACAGGAAATTGACGTTTAGTGGTTTAAATACAGCTAAAAGTCAGCGATTGTGGTTGAATAAGTTGGCATAAGTTGGAAAATAAAAGAGTTTTGTGTGGTTTTGTAGCGATTGACAGCTGGTCGCATTGTTGACTGTGGTGATTTCGCTCGAGTCGTAGGCCACGATCGCAGTTACGCAAGTTTTTGTTATGCTTTGCAGTGCTGCGTCAAAGGAAAGTTGCACGTTTCACGTTTGATTAGAAATTTCGTCAATTGAATACAAAAAAAATTGAGTTTGTTTGAGTTTATTATGTTGGACAATGTTGGACTTGCAGTATACACACCGAACATAAGACAAATTTAATGTATTTTAAGTTTTGAACAATAGAATGCCGAAAAACAATCGAAAACTCTTAAAAAATGATAAATTTACTTTTGTAATTTTTGGTCCAATGTTGTGACTTGCTGTATACACACCGAACATAAGCCAAATTTAATATTATTTAACTTTTAATTTAACTTAAACCTAAAATTGTTGTTTTATTTCAGAAAAATGATAAATTTACTTTTGTAATTTTTGGTCCAATGTTATGACTTGCGGTATACACACCGAACATAGGTCTCCCAATGCAATTTTCTCTCCTTCTAAGTTTCTTTCCAATTTCGTTGATATTTTCAATGTGATTTCAATTTCCCACTCATTTTTCAACCCAACTTAAACCCCAAAATTATGTTTTGTTCATTTTCTGCCCGAAAAAACTTTTTTGCCGCTGGCTTTACTCTACTCGTACCTTTAGTCCTTTAGAATGCAGGCAAGTAACTTTGAAGAGTTTCATAAGAGTTTAAGACCTTTTTCGACCCTCGGTTAGAACATCCTCTTCACCAACTTGTTCCTAACCGCATTACCATTCGTAATCACATGCATATTTCATACTTTTCGCTACGCATGCGCGTAAAAAACAATAACTATGCGTTTTAAAGCAATAATTGTTTTCAGAAAAAAAAAAGTAAAGTCTGTGAACTTAATGTCTGCGTGTACAAAAACTCAAGCGCGGCAAAAAGTGACGAACCGATGAAAAGGACGAAAAGGACGAAAATACAATGCGTCGAAACAATACCCTTAAAAAGGGAGAATAATGCCCTTCTCTGGGTTTCTCAGTTCTCGCTTTTCGGTAATGTTTGCTTGGACTTTTAGTCAGATATTAATAACTTCTGTAATGTAATGTAACACAATTATCCTTTTGTGTTTTGCATTCACCGCAGAATTTAAAAAATACGCTCATTGTTTTTTTTACCGCTCGAGGGTTAGAAAAATAAATTTACTTTCCAAGGACAAGGACAGCGTAATTTTTTGTTATTTTTAAGTATATTCGTCGATAAAAGCAATAAACGCGTTTTACGAGTGGCGTACATCGAGTCGAGGGGGAAATCAATTCGGGGCGCAAACAAACAAATGAACCGAAACGCATTGCAACGCACGGCTCATAAATTGAATGTACACATTGATATAGAACTCACACACGCGATAAATCACATCATTGGCAATTTTATTAACACTATTTTTAGGTAAAATTGATTTTTGTAGCAGAAAAAAAATTAAAAAGTGATTTTTGTGTTTTTATATTACAGGCAAATGTTGGACTTGCAGTATAAACACCGAACATAGGACTAATAATGTATTTTCTTCAAAATACTTAGTTTAAAATAATATTATTAATGATTTTAACGTAATTAATTAGCAAATCAATCATTTTTTAACATTATTTGTGGTTTATTGTGAGTTTTTACTAAAATTTTGGAAGAAAATCGCAAAAAAGGCCTAAATTTTGTTGGCCAATGTTGTGACTTGTGGTATACACACCGAACATAGGTCTTCCAATGTATTTTCTTAAATATATTTAGTTTAAATAATATTATTAATGATTTTAACGTAATTAGTTGGCAAATCAATCATTTTTGGCACTTGTTTTAGTTTATTGTGAATTTTTACTAAAATTTTAGCAGAAAATCGCAAAAAAAGGCTTAAATTTTGTTGGCCAATGTTATGACTTGCGATATACACACCGAACATAGGTCTACCAATGCATTTTTCTAAGTTTCTTTTCAATTTCATTTAAAAAGAAAAATTTCCTCAGCATATTTCATTTACTTTTATATTCCTACATCATATTTATTTACACAATGATAAATTTTCCTTTCGAATCACTGTAGATCTAGATATCAGCGTTACTTTCTTTACGATGTAAATATTTAATTCGATTAGGACGGAGCGAATGAAGCGCACAAAACGCGCATGAAAGCAAATAAAATAAAATCCTCGTTTGCCATCAATACAAATCGAATTTTATTACCATGTTTTTCGATTCGCATTAAATCAGAATAGAGAGAAGAAAAAAAAACACTTTCATCAATATTGTACGAACTATGCAGCCTGCACAAATTATAGAAGAAAAATATAGTTATTTCGAGCGTGTGTAAGCTGGTGAATAGCAAAACGCGTCGATAAGTAAATAATTAGGCTAATGGTTAATGGTCGGGCATTCCGGGCATGTTTAGACGCATTCGACGTCGGGCCAAATCCCCGTGAAATTGCCGAATAAAAAAGCAATTAACATGTGTTTACGTCGAATGTAAATAATGTCGAATTGCTCATGTCGATAAGTCACTATTTTAACATCTTTAACATCGCAAAATGCTAAAACACTAAACAAACGATCAATTTATTTCGGAAATTTGTTAGACCAGTGTTGGACTTGTAGTATAAGTACCGAACATAGGATTAAATCAATGTTTTGCATCATTTTTATTAAACTTAACCTTAAAAATCATGTTTTTGTAATTTTCTCATTAAAAATATGCAAAATATTCAATAAACTGCCGATAAACCATCGAAAAACAGCAAAAAAACAAAAATTAATTCTTTAATTTCTTAGACCAATGTTGGACTTGCCGTATAAGTACCGAACATAGCGCAAATTCAACGTTTTTCAACTTTTTCATTAAAGATAACCTTTAGAATCATGTTTAGCCTATTTTCTACATAAAAAAAATAAATTAATTTCTTAATTTCTTAGACCAATGTTGGACTTGCTGTATAAATACCGAACATAGCACTAAATCAATGTTTTGCATCATTTTTATTAAACTTAACCTTAAAAATCATGTTTTGGTAATTTTTTCATTAAAAAAATGCAAAATATTTAATAAACTGTCGATAAACGATCGGAAAACTGCAAAAAAACAAAAATTAATTTCTTAATTTCTTAGCACAATGTTGGACATGCCGTATACACACCGAACATAGCACAAATTCAACGTTTTTCATCATTTTTACCAAACTTAACCTTTAAAATCATGTTTCCCTAATTCTTCTTAAAAAAATACGTAAAATTTAAATAAAATCAAACAAACTGTCGATAAACAATCGCAAACTCTAAATAAACCATAAATTTCACGCTAAAAACATCTAAAAATACATTTCCAAACATTTACACTATCAAAACACCTAAAACACCTTCAATTATAATGAATAAAATGATAATTACCTGTCTTTCGCCATTGTCACCCGCAGTAATCAGTAATTAATCGCCGATTTAATCAAATTAATATCCAATTTGTCTGTTTTCACGACGCGCGCATAAATCGCCGCACATTTTCCGCTGGAAATTCAAAATCAACGCACGAATGTTGTGATCCGGTGCGACGGTTTCCTTAGAGATAACTGCATACACTGCACAAACACAAAACACGCGATAACACATCCAAAACAAGTTCAACTTTTAGTTTATTTTGTTTTATTTACTCTAATAAATCTCACACCTATGCAAATACACATCCACAGTTAATAATATTATTTATTATATAATGCAATGCGTGTTTGTGTTTCTTGATAAGTTTTTATTTTATTTGTTTTTAGCGGATGGCGATGTGCAGTCGACGAGCACTAGACGCGAACTGAAGCAAAAGCAGTGGTAACGCTGGTTCCGCCGGTTGGCGGTTACTTTCTTCTCGCTCGCGACCTGCGAGACCCGCGCCACCACGGCCCCCCCGCCAACAAGAACCGAACGTTCACTTCTTCGACGGATCGCGCGTCCTCTCGGCATGCACGAACACGGAATTCGCCAGCCGGTAGGACGCCGCGAGGCATCCGAGCTGAATACAAGTTGTACGTACTTGTTGCAGCGTGCTGCATGCGATTAAACACACGGACGCACTCCGAAAAGGGTTGTGGGACCTGTGGATTCAATTATTTTCAAAATTTTAACCAAAAAATCTCAAAAAATGCATGGAAATACAAAAAAACACAAAAAAATCATAAAATTTGGTTTAAATCATTGGGTAATGTGTGTTTTTACTATTTATGGGTATTATTGATTGTTTTAAGGGCTATTTTCTCTGGTTTTAGGTGAAAGTATAAATTTTAAATATTAACAATGAGTTTCCGGCTTTCCTTGACCTTTTCCAGCCGGAGAAATTGAATTAAAATTTTAACGCGCCCGGCAAGCGCGCGCCATTACCTGAATTCCGCATTGCAACACTCCGCCTGGCCAACAATAATGCTGGAAAGCTCAAAAGCTCAAACAGCATATTGATTTTCCGCCGAAAATTCAAACCATCACGAATTTCACTACTTTAACATATGCAACTTGTGCTACACGTGAAAACTCCACCTTCGTTGTGACTTCGTGTTGTTTCGTTTGAATCCAACGCAGATGTCGCTGCGGTCGTCGCACGCCTGTCAACCTCGTAAAGTCCGCCAACCGCGGCGATCGTACGGACGTTACACCGTTTAAACGCGTTTAAACCGCCGAAAATCACACACACAGCGCGTCAATCATACCAAATATTATCCGTACAAGCGTGGTTTATTGTTGTATTTATTCAGTTGGGGTGTAAGTGATGAGTGTGATTTGATTTTCGGCGAAACGCGGCGGTTGCGCGTGGTTACAGGCGACTGATGCCGTTTGGCGGGCTTCGGTGCGTGTGCATGCGTACGGCGGGCACAATGGCTGCACCAGCACCACCACCGATGGCAAAGCCCAGTTAGATCAGCAATCAACACCGTAATTCATCCAGATAACACTACAATGAACGAGGCATAACACACAAACACAGTAAGCATCAAGCGGACATTTTGTAGTCAATTTTATAAACAAAATTCTGCATGTTTTTCTTCATGTAGGTGTAAATTATGTCGGCTGTTATAAACCGTCTGCTGCGTAAGCCCGAGGAGCGCGCCGTGCCTGATTCCACGACAGTCGTCGACCGTTTGGTGGACTTCGTCAGCGGGCAAGATGTCCTGCTGAAGAAAGACGGGAAATATTACTGCGGCACGGTTGTTGAAGTAGATCCCATCCGTGAGCAATGTTTCGTTAAGTTTGGCGATAACACCGACAGCTGGGCGTGTTTCAAAGATCTAGTAAAGCTCAGCACACCCAAGGATCCCATGTGCGTGATCTGCCGTAAATCAACGCCGAAAACCAAGGATGAGATCCGTGAATGCGATAAATGCAAACGCGCGTACCATCGTAAGTGTCACCAGCCTATAATACCGGCTGATGATAAAGATGGTAACATCCAGTTGATCGGTGATTGGATTTGCAAGAGATGCGTGGATACAGAGCCTGTGCGAGCGAAAAAAAAGCTGTGTCATGCATCTAATGTCACAACTATAGTTAGACCACTACCCTATGATGTAAGTGATAATAAAACGTCTAAATTTTTGATTTTTACGTGAATATTTTGTTTTGGTAGCTTGATTCGTTGACTTGGGACTCATATCATCGCAGCAACACGGAGCACACGTATTGTTATTGCGGGAAGGCAGGGTTCTGGGACACGCAGATGTTGCAATGCTCAAGATGTCGGCAGTGGTTCCATGAGAAGTGTTTGAGTTGTCTTAGGTTTCCAATATATTGCGGGGATAGGTTCTATGTGTTTGCCTGTGTCAACTGCAACGAGGGCACGGAGTTTGTGAGGCGGTTGGAGATCAATTGGGTGGATCTGGTGCATCTTGCGCTGTTTAATCTGACGGTTTACAAGTCGAGGAAGTATTATGATTTGGATAGCGTTATCGTGCCGTATTTGGAGGATAATTGGCATGCATTGCAACTTCCACCAAAGGTAAATGGGAAATTTTGGAGTTTTTGAAGGGAAATTGTGGTGTAGGGTTGTTTTAATCGTGAATTTTGGTTGGCTTGGGTATATTTGAATGTTTTTGGTGTTTTGAGGTTGAAATTGAGGTTAAAAATGATAAAAACATTGAAAATTGCATGAAATTCTGATGAAAGTTGAATATTACATTGGTAGACCTATGTTCGGAGCGTATACTGTAAGTCCAACATTAGACAATCAAAGTTAAGTCGTGTTTTGTGGTTTTCTAGTAAAATTTTAGTAAAAATCGCAAATTAAAACACAAAAATGATTAAAAATGATTGATTTGTTAACAAATTACGCTAATATTATCGATAATATCATTTTAAACCAATTATTTTCAAAAAAATGCATTATTAGTCCTATGTTCGGTGTGTATATCGCAAGTCCAACATTGGACAGTTAAAGTTAGGTCGTGTTTTGTGGTTTTTTGGTGAAATTTTAGTAAAAATCGCTCAGAAAAACGCAAATAACGCTAGAAATGATTGATTGGCACATTTATTACGCCTAAAACCATTAATAATATCATTTTAAACTAATTATTATGAAGAAAATACATTATTAGACCTATGTTCGGTGTGTATACTGCAAGTCCAACATTGGACAATCAAAGTTAGGTCGTGTTTTGTGATTTTTTCGTGAAATTTGAGTAAAAATCGCTCAGAAAAACGCAAATAACGCTAAAAATCATTGATTGGCACATTTATTACGCCTAAAATCATTAATAATATCATTTTAAACTAATTATTTTAAAGAAAACACATTATAAGTCCCATGTTCGGTGTATATACTGCAAGTCCAACATAGGACAACAAAATTTAACACATTTTAACCTCATTTCAACGAAAACCTTCATATAACCTCGAAATTTTAACTATTTAATCAATTTATATGAATTAATATTAAGTAATATTACTTTAAATTCAATTTCTAATCAAAACTCTTCCATTTTTAGATATATCACGTAAGCAAACAGCAGCGCCGCGCTCTAATCCTCAACGTGCTGACAAAAAACCGCAAACGCTTCAAATGCGGCCGCGAAATCAAGAAACGCACGACAATTTGGGGCCTCCGTGTGCGTTTACCACCGCCAGTGCCAATGATCCAACTCCCGGCGACTGGTTCCCTCTGCGTTAACGATCTGCAAGGTCGCTGGGCCGGAAACCGTCAGCTACAGTTCCTCCCGCACCTAGAAAATATTCCCTACGTGCACATCGCGCCGGAAACCATGTCCGGCGCGCATTACCAGGATGATCAAGGTCATTCAGAGACGGAATCACCTTGTCCTAGTCCCAAGAGTGAGGAGGGTGATGAATATCCCGTTGCTCCTCCAGCTACGTTCATACATTCGGGTGCAGTGAAGAAAAGCGTTCCGTTTCCGAATATAAAACACAAAAAACGTTTGCTTTCGCTAAATAGCAGGAAAAGGGATAAGATTCTGCGTAGACAGAAACGAAAAGGGTGTAGGGAGCAACCGCGGAGGTTAACCAGACTTAGTTTGGATAGTCTGAATAATAAAACGAGTAGTAAGGAGCCTCTGACGCCGCCCACGTCGGTATCAGCGCCCCCTACACCGCCAAACTCCGGATCAGGTTCAAATGTACATTCTGAGTTGTCTATGGACTTTAACGATGGTTTCGGGCTGGGTTGTGGGTTGAAAAAAGATAAAGAAGAACCACACACGCCGTGTGATACTTCCGGCGATGAAACAAGTTCAAAATCCACGCTGGATTTGATAATTCCGCCACCGAAAGACTTTGAGGGTAAAAACAATCCGTTTCGTGCGTTTCCACGTGTAGATGACGCTCGCAAGCGACGCAGCAAGGATATCACTCTCCCTTTACCTCTAACAGCGGTTATACCAGGTAAACCTGTCGGGCGTCCACTCAAACGTCAATTAAGCGAGAAAGACATACGTATCGGGCCGAATGGTGAAGTGAAACGCCGACGACTACGACGCAGTCGCAGCGGGCAGAATTACACTGCGCCTGCAACAGCGACAGCCAGTAAAACAGCAACTGTCATCCCAGCGAGAGCCGATTCTGATTGGGCGACACATCAAACACTAGAAACGAATTTGATTACGGATTGTGTGGATTATGCACTCAACGGGCGTAGACTACGTCAGAGACAGGATAAAACTGAAAAAGAGAAGAAACCACCAACACCGAAACCATCTCCAGCGAAAACCGAGCCGGATATCTCCATGGATGATCTGAAATCGTCCGTGCATAGCTACTTTGGCGCTGCGACGCGGATTCAAGATGGCGAACGCTTTGTAGTGCGCGCGAAACGCTACGGACCCAGTGGGAAACTAGAGTATTTGATGGAATGGGAGGGCGTAAATAAAAATCTACAATAACTTTGATAAAAAAAATTAAACAAGAATAATTCAGGGATAACAGGATTTAAAAAACTCTACTCTACTCATGATTATAATATTTTCGGTTGTTTTGAATGTTTTGAAAGCGCCTATATGATTAATAAGTGCCTTGTGATGAAGGCACGCAAATGTATCTGATGTACTGAATTATTTTTTAACGAATTTTGTAGGAAAACGAACGAGAACATCAATGTAAATACTTTCCTTAGGTGTAATTTAAGTTTCTGTTGAAATTTGATTGCGGATGTAAGCATTTATTATTTAAATATGTTAAGTTTACTTTTTAAATTATTGGCACACAAACGGAAATACAAAATGGCGGATCGGGGCACATACAGTATAGCTAGGTTAACATGCGATGAAATTGTTGTTTAGATGTTATTTGATGTGCGGTGAGCAAAGCAAAACCAAATTATTCGAAATGTTCCTCGGGAGGGTAAGGAAGAGACCTGCGATTGTTTTTTGCTAGATTGCTCTATTTATTAAGTGTTATCGTATATTTTTATATCACCTCATCAAGCGAAATTGTATTTTATGCATACACATATACACACTGCCAAAAAAAAACCCGAAACGAACGAACGAACACAAAGTCACTGCCTGTTATCTCACGCGAATATTATTTCTAATTGAGTATGTTTAATCTCTTCTTTTAGTCGAATGAGTTTCAAGACTGGGCATTTCACACAAACACATTAACAAACCACTTAAATGAAAAGAAAATAACATAATTGTATCATTATTGTTCATTTGGATGTATATAAAGTTTATACAACATTCGAATTTATTAGTTGATGAGTGTAGTGATTGTTTAACGTTTTATTTAGTTTTAGGGATCGGGAAACGCATTGTTTTGCGTTTGTTTTTCGCGTCGACGACGAGCTGCGCTTGGCGTTTGAGGTAATTTCTTGTGGGGAGCTCTTCTTCATCTTCACTACCACCTGCAACAGCTGGGAAACAAGAAATTTAAGTTTAAACATCATTATTGTGTTCCTCAACATCGTTTTTAAACGAAAAATCTAAGTGACATGCGTAGATGAATAAACCTCAAGGTCAATGTCACTACTTTTGAAAATACTTCAATTGTCAACCGACAGATGGCGCTGCAATGTCCACATTGGCATTAAATTCTACATCATCCGACATTTGCTTTTTATCGTAAGATATCAAATTATCAGTTGTTTACGTTCGTTTTTACACTAAAATCCATGAAATAATCAAACAAACTCTCGTATACATTCAAAATAAACTTCACAGCATGCTTACAAAACATTAAACACACTAAATTCAAATAAAATCAAATAATTCTTACATTGTGCTGGAACTGGTGTTGGTGCTCCTGAATTAATCACAGGAGTACGTCGTACAATGTCATTATAAGGTTCTGGCAGCCAGTTACCTTCGCGTTCATTCATTTCCTAATCAAAATAATCATTTAATAATGATTTACATTAACAAAAGTAATATGATCACCTCTAATAATTCTTCTACAGTTGCAGGTCTTTCCCGGGCATCTCGTTGAAGATTTTCAATCCCAATGTTGATTTTCTTGATCAATTCAACAGCGGATGCCTGATCAACATTTGCATCTTCCTCCTGATACATACACAGATATGTATTGAGTAATTTATCAACGATTTTCTCGATAATTCCATTGATGTAATCAATTTTTATGTCGGTTTCTTTCTTGGTGGTATTCTCAGCTTGAATTTTTGATTTTACATCATCAACATCATCCTGATTCCTGAAATATTTCTTTTTTTAGATAAAAACACATAAAATATTGTTTATTCCTCAACTGTTGATTGCTCTTATCATCTGCAAACTTCAACTTTTCTAATTCATGCAGTGTGACATCATATTTCCTCTGTTTTGCATTTTTAATCTTCTCTTTGGTTTTTCTTAACGTCATAAGTCTTAATTGTGTCGTTGTTTGGCCTTTGACTTTAGCCAAAACTTCCTCTATGCAAGAACTACCTGTGGCTTCATTGAGGATATCAATATCTTCCTTAAGTTGTTGTTCTGGGTCTTTGGGGGCTTCTTCTTCAAGAGGGATAATATCATTTTCTTCTTGATTGATTTCTTGTTGATCTTGAGGTCTTTGGGGTTTCTTTTGGTAGAAATGTTTCTCGAGATGAGCTAGATCACACTGACGGGCTTCTACAAGACGCGTTCCTTCGTAAGTTTGCTTTTCTCGCGTTGCATTCGCCGCGAGGACTTGGCGTTCTTCTTTTTGGAGGGCATGACGTGCTTCCGAACGTAATTTCAGGGCTTCTTTATTAACCTTTGGAAGAAAATCATTTAAAATTGATTTAGAGCTAATCTAACCTCATTTAACTTAATATAACTTAATATTGAAGATAAACGTGAATAACATCAAGATTTAGCCTAAAAATTAGTGAAATTTTAGTTTTTTACTAACATAACCTTAATCTGATCTAACCTGATGAAGAAAACCATCAAAAACATCAAATTTAAGTTAAAAATGAGTAAAAATTTGATTTTTACTGAACATAACCTCATTTAACTTGATCTAACCTAAAATAATGAAGAAAATCAAGAATTGCATCAAAATTTAACTTAAATATAAGTGAAATTCCAGTTTTTAACTAACATAACCTGAATCTAATTGAATCTGATGAAGAAAATTACCAAAAACATCAAATTTAAGTTAAAATTGAGTGAAACTTTACTTTAAACCTAACATAACCTAATCTAACCTAACATTTTGAAGAAAATGTTGAATTACATCAAGATTTAGCTTAAAAATGAGTGAAATTCCAGTTTTTAACTAACCTAACCTTAATCTAATCTAACCTGATGAAAAAATCATCAAAAACATCAAATTTGAGTTAAAAATGAGTGAAATTTTACTTTAAACCTAACATAACCTCATCTAACCACAATTTTTAAAAGAAAATCATGAATTTTACAATGTTTAACCTCCAAATCAATGAAATTTTAGTTCTTACCTGTTTAATTTTGTGTATTTCAGCCTCTTGTGCCTTCAATTCCAATTCAATATCCGCCATCTTGCTCTCAAACTTCGCAGCGTCTTCCTGCAACTTCCATCGAATATCCTTATACCTCACCCGCACATGTTCCGCTTCTTTGACTTGTACTTGCACAGCATTAATCCTATTCCGATAATCTTTCGCCAAAATAGCATTCTTTGCCTTTCTTTCATCCTGCAACTCTTCTTTACTCTGCACATCTTTTTTAATCAACAAATTCTGATATTTCACAGCTAAACTCTTCAATTTAGCTTCTTTCTGCTTATATTTATAACTCAACAGATCCAATTGTTTATTTTTATCTATTCTATGCAAATCCAAATACTCTACGATATCTTTCAACGATTTTTGACTTCCTGCATTGATAATAATCCCTGTTAACAACTTCTTCACACATTCTTCCCCAGAACTTCTATTAGAACCAGCAGTTAAACTCCTACGTGGTTTTTGTGTAACACCACAAATCTGCGTGACACGTTTACATGGCGCTGATGACACAGTCGCAGGTAATGGCGGCACAATTGGCAGCAACCCACCCAACACATTATTCCGCTCTTCGTAGATACTCAACTGCACCTTGGCGATTTCCTTCTTCAGACGCAATATTTCATCAGCGTCACGTTTGCTTTCATTGGCGATTTCTTCGAAGAGTGCCTTACGTTGACCCTCTACAGAACAAAATGGCGTCTTACATAAAATAAGTATAATCATAAAAAAGTAACGTGTGAAATGTGTTTGCCTCCGAGGTGCGAAAACATATATTGCGGAGCAATTATTGTTGCTATCTAATACATATTACAATTAGCGATGCGGCGATGAAGAGACTTAAGTCATGAATGTGTGCGTGTGACTGCCGCGAGCCGCAGCACGGACTTGGGATTTTCATATTTTACTCGTTCACATCACATTCACATTCACATCGGAACGGTAATCGACACCAACGAACACATAAACATATGAGGAACATATATACAGGGTGTTACCATTAAAAAATTGCTTTTTTATACAAAAAATTAAATATTTACTAAAAATTTTACAAAAATTAAAATATTTCCTATTTTTTTGAGTGAAAAATTAATTTTTTAAATGGTAACACTCTGTATATATTAAACTCTTATAATTATATGCTTTGTCATTTAAGAAATTGATTTTTACACAAAATTTTTAATTTTTATGAATTTGTTTGTGACACCCTGTATAAAAATGTTACCACTTGACTCAACAAAACACGAACAATTATTATTGCCATTGCCAATGTCGTCGCGCTATTGTTGCTCGCACAAAACAAGTCTTAATAAAAGATTCGAGGAAGATCTTCATCGTGAATCACATCAACACTACAATAATTCCACATATGTTTATGATTTTATCATTATAAATGTATTATCATTAGTTTACGACAATTACGATGTTAAACAATTACGAATAACTAAGTGGTAAATGAAAAATTGCGTGGGAATTAATTTTTACCTGATAGCTGAATTCGTTTTTTCACTTCGAGAATCTCTTTATTGAGATTCGGCAGGCGGAACTCGTCGTGCTGAGGTTTGCACAGTTTCGCCGACATTTTATCAATAAGCTACTGTTTAGTGAGCAGCTGCATGGCGTAGTATTAAATATTGATCAAATAAAACGTTTATTGTCAATGGAAACGCGGAAATTTTTATATTTGGAGGATTTTAGTGTTGTAGAGTAACAAATATTGCATAATTTTACTTCTTTTGTGGTTTTTTATCTTAAATATTCCGTTTTACCATTTTTTTGACATATTTTGAGTTGTTGGTTGATAAAATTCACAATAGAGGGCGCAGTGAGTCACTTCTCTTGCTCTGAATTCCAATCTCTTCTGTTTCTTCTTCTTACTCATGACCCCACCATCAGTTACATTCTCTTAAACCACAAAATAATATTCACACGCTGAAAACTCAACTTTTTTCAATGAAAACCTCCAAAATTCCCTTTAAAAACCACAATAAAACATCTAAATTCTTTAATTTTATCATTTTCATAGCTTATATCTTCATATTTAGTCTTTAAACCATGAATTTATCTCATTTTTCTCTTGTATAAGCATGTGGTGTACCTCCCGTCAGCCATCTTGCCGTACCTCTCCCTCGTGTCAACTCGCCAACTCTCGGCTTCACTGCGCAACAAAGCCTCCCCTTCTTCCCGTGAGATTCACTCGCCTGAGTCGAGTTGTGACCGTTGTGGCGCGAGCGTGTCGCTGTGTGATATTACCGGTGCGTGTTTCAAATCCATCCTCACCTTATCTCGTGGTATCACTTTATTTTGCTTGTGTACAACGATATTCGAAACAAAAATAAACACTCTTGAACGCGTGTAGCGATGTTGTGTTTTGTGATGCTTGGTAGCATGATGTGAACGCGTGGTTCTTTTGTTTCGCAAACATTTCTGGTGCCGTCGGTTGGTAATTTAAAGTTTTTTAAGATAAAAAGAGGAAATAAAGACATTTTCGCGTGCGTAGAGGATACTTGTTGTGCGGGTGCCGTGGTTGCGATATGTGTGTGCCCTATGTTGGGGTTAGTTAGGCCGCAATGTGGATTACCAACGGCCTCGGTGCGAATCGAAGGGATTACCATTGGATATTAGTCTTCGGGTTGTTCATCATCGCGAGTTTACCTCATCGGACCTCAGCTGGTAAGATTTAATCACTAAAAAACCTTAAAAAAACAAAATTTTATTTAAAATTTCATAAAAAAAAGTAAAAGATTTCAACGCGCGGTGGTTGTATGTGAATGTATGTGTGTGCCGCCATTTTGTTTTCGATTCCGTGGCTGTTGGAATGAAGGCACGGCACACCTGAAGATTCTCATTCTCATACACCGCGCGGTGTGCGAACGAACATACTGGTTCTGGTTTTACCTCTGGCCTTAAGCATCGCGCGGCGGACGTTTAATGCCCCTCGCTCCCAGCTCCGAGCGCACTTTACGAGAAGAAATAACGGCCATATTTGATTTTGATCTAAATATATGCGCTGCATGCGGTTAGGCAACTTGAAATCTTCTAATATCACAAAAGCAGCATCAAAAAAATCATTGTGTTATCTATTTCTTAGCTAAACACTCTGAAAATTTACATTTTATAAACATTACGGGTTGGGATTACATCCGGTAAGGAGCCATTTTGTGATTTTTGTGGTTTAGTATTAAAATTGAGTTAAAACAACGAAAATTACTTGATATTCATTAAATTAATAAGAAAAACGCGAAATTGATTGTTTTACATTGGAAACGTGAAATTAGTCCGCCATTTTGATTATTTTAAGGGATTACCTCGAAAATTGCAATAAAAACTCTTAAATTCTTATAGTTTTCATATTTTTATACATTTTTAGTCGAAATAAGAACATTTACAGCGTAATTTTGTATGTTTCAACTGAAAAAACTAAGAAAAAACGCAAAAATAAAGCGAATTAAGCTTGAAAAACATGAAATAAATCATAAAATAGTGTAATACAACCGCCATTTTGAGTATTTTGGTGTTTTACTACTAAAATAGCGTTAAAAACCATGAAAATCGCTTAATTTTTATGAAAATAACTTGAAAAACGCATAAATATTGATTATTTTGCATTAAAAACATTAAAATAATGGCAAATTAGCTGGAAAAACATTAAATTTACTTCAAAGTGCTATAATATAACCGCCAATTTGAGTTTTCCAGTGTTTTACTACGAAAATACCGCTAAAAACAATGAAAAACACATAATTTTCTTAGAAAAATGCAAGAAAAATGATTATTTCATCCTAAAATCATGAAAACCATCCGCCATTTTGTTTTTCCAAATGGATTTTTATTAAAATTTTCATAAAAACCCCAAAAATCAATTTTTAAACAAATATCTCTCTAAATACCCAAAAAAATAACATGAAAACTCAATTTATACCCAAAGAGTTATCCCGGGTACCTTTTGGATGTACCATCAAAGAGAAAAAACAAAAACCACGCACGCGTAATTGATTTATTTGTTAACCAAGCGACGGGTAAACAATGGGGCCATTAGGGCTCAGCTGCCGAGACACAAAACACGACTCTGCTCTTCGCCGCACCATCAACACCCTACCCACACGTCCCTTCTCTTCTCTTTTCCCTTTTCCCTTCTCTACACCGCCCTTTGTACATTGTACTGTACACTAGTAGCAAGTTTCATTTTATTTTATTCTCTTTTCTCTATACGTGCGTGTATGCATTAAAATATTAGGGTGTACCATCACCATCACCATCACCCTATGCCATATGGCATGGCGCACATAGTGTGTTATTATTACAGGGACGTACTTAGGTGCAGTAGTGAGTACCTTGGCGCTTTGGGCATTACCTGGAGTACAGTGGAGATATGTGTGGTGTCTTGGCGTGCGCGTGTACTACGCGTGCTGCAAAAGTTGGCCGCCTACCTGAACACACCGTCGGCGGACCTTTTCTTGTTATGCTTTGCACCGTGCTGAGTTGAGCTGAGCTGAGCTGAGTTGGTATCTGTTTCCCTTGTGTTCTCGTTTTTCATTTTCAACTGCGCGCGTCTCTACTTCTTCATTCTTCATTCCGGTGGATGTCTGCAACTGCGACTGCAGACGAGTCTGGTTTTTTTGTGGTGTGGTGTGCCATGTGTGCATCTTGTCATAACCAGATTGGTGAAATTTTTGAGTTTTATGTTTCCCGTGAAATATTTTTTACAAAATTGATTTTTAGGCATTTCCGGTTATGGATTATAAGAATTTTGGAGTTAAATTGTGAATTTAGGCTTAAAACTGTTGAATTTAGTCGCCATTTTGATTTTTTAGTGGTTTTCTATCAAAATTGCGTTACAAACACTCAAAATTCCTCCATTTTCTTGTTTTTACATATATTTGGTTGGAATAAGAACATTTATCACGAAATTTCGTATATTTCTAATAGAAAACTAAGAAAAACGCAAAAATAATGCTAATTTAGCTTGAAAAACATAATATTAACCTCAAAATACTGTATTATAACCACCATTTTGAGTATTTTAGTTGATAACCTCAAAAATTTGATTAAAAATTCTAAAATTCAGTCATTTCCTCAAAAATTTCCTTTTTTAACCTAAAAATACCCAAATCTAACCTTAAATCTACCATAATTCACCCGCCATTTTGATTTCTAACCTCAACTATCACTAAAAATCTACAAAATCACCAATTTTTGCACTTTTTTCCTACCCACATTCCTAAACCATTTATTTTAGCGTTTCCCGTTCAATATTTAACCATCCTCCACCGCAAACCATCATCTTTAGTCATTTCCGGCGCTGGATTCTTCGAATTGTCGTGCCGTATGCTCCTAAAATTACAGATTCCAACCGCATACAACCAAAAACAGCCTGCCAGCTGAAATTTTACGATAAAATTATTCATGACCCGTTGTCTTTTGGTCATCTTGCTCGTTTCTCTGGACATTATCATTAAACAATAGCTACATGCGCATGCGCAGTGCAGTGCGGTGACTGATGTCAAGACAGATTAGAAAATATCTGCTTTCGACTCGAATTTCATCTCTGTGTGTGACAATTCCTGGAAACTGACAAACAAACAAACAAAATATTTCTATGCCGCTGGGAATTTACTATTGCAAAACAAGTGATAAGATACGTTTAAATTTATTTGGAGTTCATATTATCGAAACGGATGTGTTATAAGACTTTGAAGTTAAAATTTTTAGTAATTAATTAATGCACATAAAAATTAGTTCCCATGAAGAACTAGTTTGCGTAACGAAACATTAGCGCCATCTTAACTTAGACTTAATGAGATTAGAAAGAATGTTTTTTAATTGACACACACAACACACATGTAGGCATACATAGAAGAATATAAAATTATTAAATATGAGGAAATAAAAATAATTCACACACGCTAAAAATAAAAAATAAAATCACTTTTTCTTTTCTTTTGTTCAGCGGAGAGAAAAAATGTAAAATTTTTATTTTTGTGTGAGAAATAAATTCACGCAAAATATTTTATCACTATCTAAATACTAAATTTGTTTGCTTGAGGTATAGATTATTAATTTTGTAAATATCGATGAATGCGATTATTGATGATAAAGTTATGCAAGTTTAAACATGTTTTACGTTAAATTTACTGAAGTTTTGGAGAGTGAGCGTAGTGAATGACTTAAATGCAAAATTGTTATATTGTTATATCCCGGATGGGATTCATTAGCGTTAGTCAAATAAAATACAGTGGTGTATGTCTTGTGCGCATGCGCGCGCGACTCAACTGAATCAAAGTGAACCCACATGCGGTGTATGCTCGGAATTATCATGTTGTATACTGACCTCACCGTAAGGAACTGTCACTCGAGTGATATTAATACTAATAATGGTAATAAACGATGCTTGTGTTGGACAACAAGTGGAGGAATATAAATCAAAGTCTTTAAAATTGAATTTTTTTGATGATGATGAGGATTAGTTGTGTAGGTTTAGGTTTAAGGCTTTGTAACTTTTTTGTTTTTAATGATACAAAGTTGTGTGGTATGTCATTAGATAGGGAATTTAATTGAGATTAACATAGGAAAGAATTGTTTTTGTGTGATTATTAGTTTTTATGTAGCAATGAAAATAGTAAAACAATTTTTGGATTAAAATTTTTATTTTACTGATCGCTCGATGTGTAATTTTAGGCCTTTGTAACTTTTTTGTTTATAATGGCACAAAATTGAGTGATATATCATTAGATAGGGAATTTAATTGAGATTAACACAGCCAAGAATTGTTTTTGTGTGAATAATAGTTTTTATGTAGCGGTGAAAATAGTGAAACCATTTTGCATTATAATTTCTACTACAATGCTCATACGATGTGTAACTTTAGATCCTTGTAACTTTTTTGTTTATAATGTTACAAAGTTGACTGATATATCATTAGATAGGCAATTTAATTGAGACTAACACTACCTAAATTTATTTATCTGCCTTTAATAGTTTTTATGTTATGAGCAAAATAGTAAAAAAAAAAGTAAAACTTTACATTAACTCCGTATTTTTGCCTTTTCTAATTATTCAAATCCTCGATTACGTAGTGAATGTTCGTTCTCTTTGAGTATATAATAAATATCGACGAGATCGCCGCGAACACGCCCATGTTGTTTTGTGCTCTTTGCGTGTGCCTTTCGCGGCGTTTCCCAGGCGTCGGCGCGCACTCTTCAACACTGCTCGCGCTCTGAAATGCAAAACGAGCGCGAGAAATCTTATATAAAATTAAAAACGGAGCTCGAAATGTTGTTTTCTCTCGCCAAATCCCCATCGCAGCCGTAACTGTATCTATGTGCTTGTTATTAATGTTATTAATGACATTTATCTAAAAGTTGAGCGCACGCTTCCTAATTCTTTCATTTTATCGAAATCTGAATCGTAACCGCGCGGAAAAGTTCATTGTGACCAAAGCCAACACAAGGATAGGTAATGGTAATGCTTATCTGTGTTAAAAGATTTCAACTGAGCATTGAGTCAGCGTTTTCAGCGAATTCACGACACGAACGTGTCGAGTGAAGATCGCTCGGAATTGTTAACTGCAGTTATTGCTAAAAAACGAGCAGAAATAAACGTTGGATTCTATATAATAATTGTTTATGTTTACGTTTGCTTCACAACATTAATTATCGTCTCATCATCTTTGTAATTAATAGCGAATTGTGTGTGTTGTGACTGTGTTTTGTGTTTGCTTTTCTATTCTTTTCTCTTGCGTTGCGTTAGATGTAGATGGATGGCACACAAAGAGAAAAAGTTCTCTAGGGAAGTGCTCACGTCTTGTGTTCTCGACAGTTTTTGCGTTAGATGGTATAGTTTCTGCAATATTTGCATATTGTGCAGAAATTAATTGAATTATCATCATAATGTAATTATTATTGCAATATGAAAGAAAAAATGTGCAATTCTTTGTTTTTTGATGATTTAAAGACAATTTTTGTGTTAATTTATTTCAAATATTATTTATTTATATTTTATTTTTAAATAGAAACAAAAATGATGTCAATATCTTTAAAAGTTTCGGAGTTATAAAAGAAATGTTTTTTTTTTTGTAAAAAATGCAATGTTTTACTTTTTTCATTATTACGAAAAAACTATTAAACACACAAAAACAAATTTAGGTATTGTTAGTCATAATTAAATTCTCTATCTAATGATTCTTAATTCAACTTAGTAGCGTTATAAACAAAAAAGTTACAAGGGCCTAAAGTTACACATCGTGTGATTATTGTAATAAAAATTATAATTAAAAATGGTTTTACTATTTTCATCGCTACAGGAAAACTACTCAACACACAAAAATAAATTGTGGCAATATTAATCTCAATTAAATTCCCTATAATCTGATATATCATTCAACATTGTAGCATTATAAACAAAAAAATTACAAAGCTTCAAACTTACACATATCACTAAAAATCTAAAAAACTATATTTTCCGTGTTTTTTTAGTTAAAATACTTCAAAAAAACGTAAAAATAACACAAATTTACCTTGGAAAACATAAAATTAACCTCAAAAGGCTATAAACCAACCGCCATTTCGAATATTTCCGCATATCACTCCTAAAATTCATCAAAAAACACTAAAATTTGGTTTATTTTCCTAAAATTTTATTCAAATTCCGCAATTTTTCCGCCATTTTGATTTTTAACCTAACCTCCACCTAAAAATATATAAATTGAGTTAATCTTGCACATTGTGAATGTAATGTGATGTGCCTGCATGTCCCAACACTTGCTTATTACTCCTTCGTCGGCCTTCTTGTCTTCTCGTTTTACCTGCCTACTGCCTACCTGTCTACTCGTACTCGGATGCTGGCTACCAGACCAGCCAGAGGAGAGAAAGCTTGAGAATATAATTCTCAATTTCTTACCGTGTGTCCTTTATTATAGTTTCAACTTTTAACGGCCCCGGCCAGCTCGCATGCGCATATATTTTGCGCCCGTCTGCCACCGGCATGCAATTTCACACTAAATTTTTAATTACCACCAGTAATGTAAGAGAGTATCGAGTAAATTTAAATCTCAACTTTGGAAAACAAAATAAAATAACATAAAAGTTTTAAAACTGAAATTTCGACGAGAGTAAATGAACAGTTTATGAACAGAGTTGTAATAAAGTTGTTGTTGCACGTTTGGCGAGAGGAGGTATTCTTGTGGTGTGTGTGACAGAAATGGTAATATAGGTTATAAAATCAACATTAAAAGCGGCCCGAAATGGTTGGGTTGCTATTCTGAGATTTTCACGTTTTATCTGTGAGCCATAACGACTAATACAGAGTTTGCGCCTAGGGAAGCATAAAACATAACCTAAAAACAAGATGGCCACCTAATGGTAGTAAATTTCAAAATGGCGGGTCGTTAATTGGTGTAAAATAGGCGTATGTTGATAGATTATACATTTTTGAGGTTAAATAAGCTTTATTTTTGTCTTTTTTGATAAAATCCAGAAATATGTTGATTTTTAAGTGTTTTTGATGCAAAAATATTGGAATTTCAAAATGGCTGCTCATTAAAATGAGTAAAACATGTATATGTGGATGAATTATGTTTTTTTGAGGTTAAATTTGCAGTATTTTAGCGATTTTTCTAAAAATTTGAAGAAATTTGTTGATTTTTAAGTGTTTTTGATGCAAAAATGTAAAAAATTCAAAATGGCGTGTTTTTAACATGTGGAAAACAAGTATATTTAGGTCGATTAGACATTTTTTAGGTTAAATAAGCATTATTTTAACGATTTTTCTAAAAATTTGAAGAAATTTGTTGGTTTTCAAGTGTTTTTGATACAAAAATATGAACATTTTAAGATGGCTACCTTTTAACATGTGGAAAACAAGTAAATTTAGGTAAATTAAGCCTTTTTGAGGTTAAATTTGCATTATTTTAGCGATTTTTCCGAAAATTTGAAGAAATTTGTCAATTTTTAAGTGTTTTTTATAGAAAAACGTAAAAAAAATCAAGATGGCGACTCTTTAACTTCCCTAAAACAAGTGTATATTGATAAAACAGTGCCATTTTAAATCCCACTGTATTTTATTTATATTATACGTTGTGTATTCATTTCCACCCGCCAAAAATATGCCCACCACCTGTCGATGACGCCGCGCGCCACAACGACCGTTACCCACCGTACCCTGTTCCCGGCACAAAAATTCAAATAGTGTGTGTGTGTGTGCAACGTGTTTTCGTCGTCGCAGTTGCAACAAGGGGGCCACGCCACATGTGACGTCACCTCCGTGTACTCAACCGTGCCGTTCAATTGTAAAGCGCTCCTCCATTCAAGAACCCAAGTGAAACGAAAACGCCGAACGTGATGATGATACGCATACACACACGTGTGCCAAGCCGATGGGGAGATGAAACAGGCGAACAGCTGCAAATTCCGAATGGCAAACGAAAAGCAACGGACGCCATTTTGGGATTATTGTAGATTTACATTGGAAATACTTGAAAATTGAGAGATTTTTGCGATTTTTAGGGAAAATAATGTTTATTTAACCTTAAAAATTAGTTATTTATATAGATATACTTGTTTTACTCATGTTTAAGAACCGCCATTTTGAATTTTTGTCATTTTTGCATCAAAAACACTGAAAAACCAACAAATATCTTAAATTTTTCCTCAAAAAAGCTGAAATAATGGTTTATTAACCCCAAAAACACCAAATTCTCCTTTCTACATTTATTTTACTCAATTTCCCAGCCGCCATCTTGAAATTTTTATATTTTTACCCCAAAAACACTGAAAAACCAACAAACCAACAAAAAATCAACAAATGTCATAATTTTTTCATTGAATTATCTCTAAAACTGCATTTTTTGTTTCAGGTTTCGCGTCGTGTTCACCAAGCCCATGCAAAAATGGCGGCACATGCGTGACACCTGTGAAGGGCGAGAGTTACTGCAAGTAAGTACTCCAAACACATTGTATACATACGATCAAATTTACATCATGAATCGAGTTCGTTATACGATTAATTACGTGCTTTTGATATCGCATCTTTTATTATTCAAAAAACGCACCCATCCGCTGTACCTCACCCTAAATTTCATTCATAACCTAACATATGTGTAGATGTCCACGAGGGGGTGACAATAATGAAAATAATCCCGCAACACACATTACACTTTACCATCTGTTATATTAATAAAATTAAATTTAAACTTTTTGAGGTTATGTTATATCCTCTTCTCATGGCTAGTTTCCGCGGCGCCTTTGATTGATTAACCAATGATATTGTTGTTGTTATGCTCAGATTGTTAGATAAATGACAATTTGTTTCGGCTTCCTTTCCAACTCTCAATAATTTAATTAAAACTTTTTGTAATTCGGTTGCGTATGTTTTGTGCTCCACTGTTTAATCATTTTTAATGGCCGCGCGGCGGGTTTTTACGGTCTGGCATGACAGGTATGCCACGCCGCATCTCTTTTTCTGCTTCGACAAGATGGTCGCCGCGTCCGAGGTAAAAGGGAATCGAGTTGAATGCCGCGCGCTGCGCTGCGCTGCGGTTGTGTGCTGTGTGTCGATAACATCTATAACATCAATCGACTCGCCGATATAAAATACCAAAGTATACAGGGTGCATCAATAGGAAAATGAGTAAATACATAAATTTTACAGTAGATGACGTTGGTATACTAGGGTATGACATGAGTAGGCGGAGATTTTGTACTAAAAAAATCGATTTTTAGGTTTTTAAGGTTTATTTTGTTGAATTTTGGAGTTAAATTCATTTTAAGACGTGAATAGCTAAGTATACAGGGTGTATTAATGGTATATTTAGTTAGTTTTATTATTTTACACTAGATGGCGCGGTTAAACTAGGTTATAACATGAAAAACACTTAAAAATCACAAAATTATATATTTTTTTTTACTTTAAAACGCTGTACAACACCCGCCATTTTTAATATTTCACATTTTTTGCACAAGAAACAATTAAAACTTATTAATTTACTTAAATTTATCAAAAAATGTTTAAATTAACACTTATTTAACCTCAAAAATTCAATTTTTAATTTTTTGCATCAATTTTCTTCATTTTTGAAGTTAAATCCATTCCAACACGACCATACCAATATATACAGGGTGTATTACTATCAAATTCACTTACTTAAGTAATTCTACACCAGATGGCGTTGTAATACAACATTTTAACATGAATAGGCGGAGCTCCCGCACTAAAAATCAATATTTTCCTTCTTCCAACCTTTATTCTTCTTTTTTAAACTGAAATCCATTCCAACACGAGAAGGCCACGAACCAAAACGTTCCGACAAGAAAATTACCCCTTTTTACTCCTTACTGGTCTTCATGCCTGCTACTCGTCTGTTTGATTGTTTTTTCCTCTTCTTTATCTTTGATTTTCTCCACTCTGCTATACGCGTATCATGTATCAACCTTGTAATTACTTCCACATTACCACTCGCCAGTCGATGGACGTATAAAGTACTGTCTGTATTCGTTGATTTGTGGAGCGCACGCGTGTGCCATCACGACGAGCATCGGTAAAGCTAGTAGTTACGTGGTAGGCAGAAAGCAGGAGAATACGCGCGCTACCAAATCGGTGAGCACATGCAACGCGCATTTAATTCGACATTCAGCCGTCGCACATTCATCTTCTGCCACAGATGCCACAGAGAGGAGCGAGCGTTCATCAAGGATGCGCTGTAAAAATGCGGTGTACGCCTAGCGCACGAGTGTGCCACGTGAGGCAGGCCATTTGGGAATATGCTACCGGAGGATAAATTGGATGATGAATTGGGGTTATAGGTGGAAAAATTGATTGGTTTTGGGTTTTTATTGGTTTTAGTTTAATATTTCATCAGTAGATGGCGTTGTGTTGAAGTATAACCTTAAATTTATAAGTGGGCGGAGCTTAAACTTGATAATTATTATTTTTTTGTGCTTAAATTGAGGTTATAGACGCAGAAATCTGAATTTTTTGTGTTTTTCTCAGTTTTTCTTCAATAAATCAATCGTAGATGGCGTTTTATCGAGGTATAACCTTAAATTTACTCGTGGGCGGAGCTTAAACATGAGAATTATTCATTTTTAGTGCTTAAATAGTGTTTAATACCGGTTATTTTAGTAAATATTCAGTAAAATGTTTAGAAAGGCAAAAAATGATTAAAAATACTAAAAAAAATATCAAATAACCGGTTATAATACCGGTAAATAACCGGTTGTAATACCGGTATTGTCTTTTTTTAATATCCAATGAAATTTCTTTAGAAAAGCGAAAAAAAATTAAGATACTTTAAATAGTGTTATTTTGTTTTAATACCGGTTATTTTCGAAAATATTCAGTAAAAATATTTAGAAGCACAAAAAAAGATTAAAAATACTAGAAAAATAAAAATATCTAAATAACCGGTTGTAATACCGGTTGTAATACCGGTTATTTTAATAAAAAATCGTAAATTTTGTTTAAAATATAGAAAAATTAATAGAACAAGAAAAAAAATTAAAATTATTTAAATAACCGGTTATGATACCGGTATAACCGTTTATAATACAAAAAAAAATACCGGTATTTTTGTTTTTCGCTAAAATATCCACGAATAAACATGAATTTATAAAATTTAACATTGACATTTAATTTTTTATAACATCACCAATAAATTAATTTGAAAAGATGAAATGAAGAATGTTTATAAATGTTAATAATGCCATCAATGACGTGTTTCATACACTCCTCGACTTTGAACTACAAACTACACACACGTTGTATTTTATATAACCGTCATTGCCATCTTCTCTCTATCGTGGAATATGCCGATGCGGCGAAGATTTGAATAAATAACGCATAAAGCTCACGCCTGTTCTGTTTGTGCGGATGTAACACGTCGCTGTAATGTGCAAACACAGCGAAAGCACAATGTTTATACGCACAACGGACAAGTATTCCAACAGATATGAAATATATGTGAAAAATTAGCACTTTTGAGGTTAGATCAACGTATAGTGTTATAGTTGTGTTAGGTGAGGTTAGGTTTATGTTTGTTTATGGGTTATATTTGTGATAAAATGTGTTTACGAAGCGATAAATTGAATCATTCAGAGGCACAAAAACAGCGCTCCGGACGAATTTTCCGTGCCGTCGGGCATGTCCGGCGAAATTAACACCTCTTTTGCGCCTGTGCAGAGTGATGCACATGGCTGCGCGCGTGTTTACACTTAACCAACAATTACACAAAAATTCTTTGGTAAATAATGTTTCATTGTAAGTATGATCAATATTCGGATATATTGACAGATGGTTGACACGTGCACGTGATCAAGTGAACATAACCTTTTTTGCACTCTAACCTTAAATATATCAAGAGTACTTGACAATCTGTCGATTTTTTGATTTGATTTGTGTGAGTAATGGCAGGCTTCGATGGGTTTCACCTTCGGTGTTAGTCTTTTATGCTCCGCTAAGCGGCGGAATGACTTTGACTTAACTTAAGTAACTTAACTAACAACCGACTTTTTCACGATCACTGATTTTTGTGGGAAACAAACACAAAGACTACATAGGAGAATAATAAATCCTACCTTTTATAAACTTAATTAAATCTAATTAGTAATTACTTAAGTTAAGTTAATCAGACTTAACATACGAGTAAATGAAAGTAAAATTTATTTTTTTATATTAAAATTATTATATAGGTATCAAAAGTAAAACTAGAATTCACGTAAAAATAACTTTACTTAAGTTAAGTCATTTCCTGCGCATGCGCAGTGTACTCAGCATCCCACACCGCACAAAACAGATTCGTTGTTGTATGGTTGCAATGCAGACACAGACAACAAACCTGACTTAAGTCAAGTTACTTAAGTTAAGTAACCGAGTGCATTTCTTGTCCTTTTTGAGCGTGCATCAAGTGATGCTGATGCCGAAGATAAAAGCTCGAGATAATTGGCGATAAAAAAGGGCATTGTCATTGCGCGCATTAAGTTATTGTTGCTTTCAAGCGGACAAGAGACAAAAGGGCGGCACTGGAAAAAAAACCATACGAAATCTAAAAGCTTTTTAACCTGCATCATAAACTTTAAAAGTGGTTTTACAGCTGAAAAGCATAAAAAAATAATTATAACCTCAAATAGTAAATAACCAGTTGTAATACCTAAAAACACCGGTTTTATAATACCGGTTAACCGGTTATTTTAAAAAATATTCAGAAAAATGTGTTTAAAAAAGCAAAAAATGAATAGAAAACAAAAAAATTAAATACCTAAATAACCGGTTGTAATACCTAAGAAAAAATACCGGTTTTAATACCGGTATTTCCGTTTTTTTGCTTAATCTTTAAATATTTACATGAATTTCACCGTTTTTCTCGCGTTAAAATAAATAAATTAACACGGATAATAAAATTTAATCCTGAAATGCGTTTTAAACATTTTAAATTTTTTATATCTCGAGGTTTTAATGTCCCGAGACGCAAAGATGTATCGCGATTATGAAACCAACAACACATAACTCTTCCGAGTTACGACCGGTCTAAACAAACGCAAACACACACCGATCCTCAAGCAGTGAGTAAATTTTTACCTGCGTACACTCGGGTGTAACGACAGTAGTTGCTACATTGGTACCATTTTCAAGACCGGGAGTAATTAGACATACGAATAACTAACTGTACATGATCATGAGGAGTGTGTGGTCAGTCGTGAACGTGAATAATTCACATTGCCGATTTAATGATTTCGGATTTATATTTTATTTTATTACCGACTGCAGTAATCGATCCGACGGTGGCAATTAATGAGATGTGAGTCGTTAAAAGTTCGAATAAATGTTTTATATTAAGTGCAAATGGGCAAGAAGTCATGATTTGGTTGATTAAGCTCCGCCCAGGTGGGATATTTGAGATTAAAGTGTGTATAACGCCATCTACTATTGAATTATTGAAGAAATTTGAGAGGAACTTTTTAAAAAATTTGTTTTTTTGTTTATAATCTTAAATTATCATAAAAAAGTTAATTTTACTGAATAATTTATAAAATAACCGGTAATACCGGTATTAAAACCGGTATTTTTTCGGTATTATAACCGGTTATTTTTAATATTTCAATTTTTCACTCATTTTAACAATTTTTATGCATTTTTACACATTTTACTTCACATAATTTCAAAAACCGGTATTTTATCCAATATAACCGGTTATATATATTCATTATTCACCGATATATGATCCATGTGAGAATTTTTCTTCTACAAGTTTAGTGTATCATCGGTGTCAATTTACTTCCATCTCTCCACCCCTTCCAACAATGACAAAAAATAATAAAATAATAAACCCGCAGAATGAAACCTGAGAAGATATTTTATCTTTTAAACACAGCGCGCCAATAAAAATATCCAATGCGCCATGTCCCTGGTAAATTGCTCGGATATTTCGCGTCGATTCGCTAATAAGCTTCATTAAGTCGTTAAATCCGCACACTGCGCATGTTCGATTGACTCATTATTGAGTTAATATTCATATCGGCGAACCTGTATTATTAATTAAGACGTTTTTTTCTTCTTCTTTTGCAATAATTAAAATTCAACTCGTATGAGCATTGCAAGCGAGTCACATTAATCGATTTTATTGAGTGAGGTATGCAACCACTTGGCATTCCCGCTCCGCGCACAATTTATATCGATATTAGTCTTAGTTATACTTTAGTTATTACTTAGTAAAGTTACTTACGCAAAGGTTAAGTAGTGTTAATTGGGCGCGGAGTTGAAGAGATGCCGCCGTGTGAGACCCCGGCGTACCTGTGACACAATTTAAATCGATGACTTAAGTTAAGTCATGTGACTTAAGTCACTTTTTGTGGTTTTTAAGGAAAGTCGACGGCTTGAAATGAGGAAAACAAGTTGGAATAGTTTGAAGTTTGCTCTAATTAAGTAACTTTACTGACTTAAGTAACATTACTTACTTCTATCTCTATATACGCATGCGCAATGAGAATAAATTAATAAGTATGCTTTCCCTTCGATGGAATTCACTCCGAAATTGATTTTCGTCTTGTTACAGTTAAGTAACTTACTTTTAACTTAACTTAAGTAACTTTACATAACACATGGCGCGTCCAGTTTTGACTTAATGGTCTATTATAAATTTTTTCAACAAAATTTAACTTTACATCAACCAAATGTTACTTTTTTCGGTTTAAACAACGATAGATGGCGTTACAATACTTAAGTCACCTTTAACATAAATTTTATTTCTTATTGAGAAAAAATTAATCAGAAATTCAAATCGTCGTGCTTCCCATGAAGATTTCGATTTATTTTTGTTTATTTAAAAATGACTTAAGTCAAGTCGTAAAAAACAAGTCACACACACATGCGCACAAACACGCAGCGTGAACAAATCGAAAATTTCTGCCTCGGCGTCTCACAATATATCGAATTGTGTTGAAATGATTTTTATTGAATCATTGAATCGAAGTTGAAGAAGTGAAGATGAAAGAAAGCTGCGCGTGGATCGTACGAAATCAATTTTCGATCATCTCGTGCGTCGTGGATAGTTGCAATCATCAATTTTACGTTTCTCTGCGCCGCCATTACGCTGTAATTTAATGTTCAGCTTCATCTTCTTCATCTTCATTTTCTTTTTTCTTCGTTTTTGTTGTTATTATTATTATTATGGTCGTTACACGCATCTGTTGCCCATGCTCGATTCATGAAAGTAATTGTGAATGAAACACCAACGCAGCCATTTTTTAAAACTTTAATTTAACTTAAAAACTTGAATAGTTATTGTAACATAACCTAAAATATGTTTTTTAATGTTTTTCTGTTTGTTTGATTTGCAGTTGTACATCGAAATATGTAGGTGAATTCTGCCAGCATGTGAATCCCTGTTATACCGGCCCAGGTCCACGCTGTCAAAATGGCGGGTCGTGTCAAGTGCGCGAGGCGCCCGCCACCTCGCCGAGCTTCACGTGCGTCTGCCCGATCGGGTTCAGCGCTTCGCTTTGTGAGATTCCCATTGCGAACTCGTGCGATCGCCGGCCGTGCAAGAATGGCGGCACGTGTACACTGATATCATTGAATTCTTATCAGTGTAGTTGTGCTTTTGGATATACAGGTAAACATAACCTAAATATCACATATTTTACTTGTTTTTAAGCAAAAATATTATGTTTTTGAATGTTTTTCGTACTTTTTACTTGTAATTATGGTATTATCTCATAGATGGCGCGAGATAAATAGGAAATGTCGGTAATTATAGCTGTTTTAAGACGCCATTTTGATTTTTTAACTTTATTTTCATAGAAATACTTAAAAAACACCGAAATATCAGCAATTTTATTTGTTTAAAGACAAATTTTGTTGTTTTCGATCATTTTTTGCACTTTTTACTACTAATTAAGCCATTATCTCATAGATGGCGCGACATAAACACGAAATATCACTAATTTCACCAATTTCAAGCTGCCATTTTGATTTTTTCATTTTATTTTCCCCGAAATACATAAAAAACACTAAAATATCACGAATTTTACCATTTTTAAACCAAAACTTTAATATTTTTAAACATTTTTTTAACATTTTCTAACTTTTTGTAGATATGCAACCCAATTAACATATTTTATGCTTATTCCAGGGCAAAATTGTGAAAAACAAGACCATTGCGCATCACAACCCTGCCGTAATGGCGCAAAATGCACCAGCGTCGACGACACATACAAATGCACATGCGCACTGGGCTTCAAGGGCGCCGCATGCAAAGAAGACATGGATGAATGCCAACAGAATCCTTGCAAGCATGGCATTTGTCACAACACGCACGGCAGTTACACGTAAGTCTTGCATTTGATTATATTTTCAATCTCTCCTCTCGCATTCATTGAGAAAATCACCTAAAAGTAGCATGATTTCAAATCAAGTGATTAAAATTCTCGCGTACGATTGGTGGTCACACCTCTAGGTCGCTTCAGACACGCAATCCTCAACAAGTTGAAGAAGTTGCGTCAAGTTTTCCCTCGATGCACGATGCTTTCTCACTATGTGTATGTGTGTGTGTGGAGAACCTGTTATTTCAAACTGCTGCAGAGTGCAAGAAGTGACTCAAGTGTCCTGTGCGCATGCGCGGCCACTGCGGGCCACTCTTGTTCCGTGACCTGCGAGGTCACACATGTGAATACACATAACCCACCTATGAATATTTAATGTGGTGTTCAGCCGGTGAGATTTTAAGGTTAGACGTGGAAAAACACACAACTATTTAACACTGGATGGCGCTGTATATTATGTGTGGTTGAAGAGAGTAAAAGAGAGAAAGAGGTTAGGAATGACAAAAGAAGTGTTGGTCGGTGTGTGTACTCAGTCTATTCGTTTTATATTTTATTATATGCGATGTGGTCGAAGAAGCGAGTTATAAAATGTCGTAATTCGACGCCCGTGGCGAAGGTTATGAGAACGGCCCGGTTTTGCGCTGGCGCGGCCATTTTTTGTTTTATTACTCACACTACAACACATCACAATGTTTATCTTTACATCAAAATTATGAACAAAAATGTTTAATAACGGTTTTTGGGGTTTTATTCGTAATTTTCAAGCCGCCATTTTGTTTTTTAGATTAATTGCTTCAAAAATATTTATAGACAACTGGAATATTACTGATTTTATCATTTTTAAAGTGTAATTTTGATGTTTTTAGACATTTTTTGCATTTTTTTACTATTTATCTCATAGATGGCGCTTCATAAACAGGAAATGTCACTAATTTCACTTATTTCAAGTCGCCATTTTGAGTATTTTGCTCTATTTTCATAGAAATTCCTTTAAAACACCGAAAAATCACTGCTTTTACCAATTTTTAATCGAAATTTTGGTGTTTTTGGCGATTTTTTGCACTTTTTACCACTTTTTACTCATAATAATGGCATTATCTAATAGATGGCGCTACATAAACATGAACTGTCATTATTTTTTGATCAATTCCAAGCCGCCATTTTGATTTTTTCACATTATTTCCAAAGAAATAAATAAAAATCACCGAATTATCACTGATTTTACGATTTTAAAACAAAATTTTAATATTTGTGATCATTTTATGTTTAGTATATAATATTTTGTAGGTTATAATTTAAAAGTGATTTATTTTTATTTTCTTCTTAAATTATCTCCGAAGAATCTCTCCTCTGGTCGTTGTCGTCGCCGTAGGGCACGAAAAACCCGTCGTCGTGTTGTGTTCGCATTGGGTCGTTTGTTATCCGTCGTTATTCGTTGTCTAGGCAACGCACAACAAACGAACAACGTGGGCGTGCGAACCGCAACCAAACACACACACTATTCATACCACCAAGCGTTAAAGTTGAATCTGTGTGCTTTAACAAAACTTTAAAAACACAAAAACTTCTTGTTTTATTTTTCAATGTTTTTCTGTTTGAAAGTCCATTATTAGTTTAGAGTTTAGTTTAGAGACTGAATGAAGATATAATATAAAAGAATAGAAATTGGTTGTTATAGATGTTACATAGTGTGTGCTTTTTTTCGTGTGGCTTTTGTTTGTTGTATATGCGCGATGCGAACGAAATACGAAGCATTAGACATTAACAACGATTCGAAACAAAGTTGTGTCACGTTTCGCCGACAGCGATGTGCTCGGGATTCGTCGCGGTTCATTTGCTTTCGTTTCGGCTCGTTTTGGTGCTGCGGCCGAATCGAATGCTCGATACACAGTCGAATTTACATTCCATTCCATATTGGTAATCGGCGGGAAGAAATGTGCACAAAACGCGTTTTGTTTACGCAACTCACAAAAAAAAGTAAAATTGTGTGATTATTTCATAGATGGCGCGACAGTAAACAGGAAATGTCAATAATTCAAGCCGCCATTATGATTATTTTGGTCTTATTTCATAGAAATAGTTATAAAACATTGAAATATTGTGAATTTTGACGTTTTTAAGGCGTAATTTTGATGTTTTTCAACATTTTCTGCATTTTTTACTGTTTATCTCATAGATGGCGCGACATAAACAGGAAATGTCACTAATTCAAGCCGACATATTGATTACTTTGGTTTAATTTCATGGAAATACTTATAAAACATTGAAATATCATGAACTTTTACGTTTTTATCGCGAAATTTTGATATTTTTCAACATTTTCCGCGTTTTTTACTTTTTATCTCATAGATGGCGCGACATAAACAGGAAATGTCAATAATTCAAGCCGCCATATTGATTATTTTGGTCTAATTTCATAGAAATACTAATAAAACATTGAAATTTTATGAATTTTAACGTTTTTATCGCGAAATTTTGATGTTTTTCAACATTTTCCGTGTTTTTTTACTTTTTATCTCATAGATGGCGCGAGATACACAGGAAATGTCACTAATTTAATCTATTTCAAGCGGCCATTTTGAATTTTTTGCTTTATTTTCATAGAAATTCACCGAAAATCACAAAATTTACTTGTTTTTAGACGAAATTTTGATATTTTACTACTTTTTCTGCTGTTTTTACTCTTTATCTCATAGATGGCGCTAGATACACAGGAAATGTCACTAATTTCATCTATTTCAACCCGCCATTTTGAGTTTTTCGCTTTATTTTTATAGAAATACTTGTAAAACACCGAAAAATCACAAAATTTTCTTGTTTTTAAGCGAAATTTTGATGTTTTTCAACATTTTCTGCGTTTTTTACTCTTTACCTCATAGATGGCGCAACCTATACATGAAATGTCAATAATTTCAGTTGTACCCAGCCGCCATTTTGATTATTTCACGTTATTTTCAAAGAAATACTCATAAAACACCAAAATATCAACATTTTACAAGTTTTTAAACGTTTTGCTGCATTTTTTACTATATTTTAATGTATTGCTGCTCCATGTCATGTTTGAACGGATGCAGATAGACAACACGTCGAGCGTTAATTGATCAATTATTTACGAGATGTGTGCGCAGTCTATTACGCGCCATTACGCCACTAATGGCGATATTAACACGGATCCATTCGCCGATATTGTAAATTACAAAATTACAAACCAATACTCTTCAACATCTAACTTCGACAGTTGTAAAATATCTCCCGAAGAAAAAAATTCATTGCTGCAGCTTTTAACGACACTGTTAAATAAACCCGTTGGTAAAGTTTCGCGCTTAATGAAGAACGCGTCTCGCGGATAAATTGGTTTAATGAGTCGTGGCGCAGAATAAAAATAAAACGCATCGCTGCATAAAAAGCGTTATAACAGGACTTCGAGAAACGAATTTCAACGCTTAAAATATCTCGACGCCGAGATGTGAAACATCAACAACTCGAAATTTGTTTAATTATTAAGGCACCGTCGATAATTACACGTATTAATCACGGAAATAATTACGATGCGTGTTAAAAGTACAAAAATGTAATTTTTCCAAATATTTTAACACATAAAGCAGTATAGTGATTGATAGCTGTACTAAGAGTGATGATGACAAATGGCCGCCACCGGAAGTCGGCCATATTCACGTCATCCATGCATGTTACGAATTAATTTAATAATTTATCGCAAAAACAAGCGATTTTAATGTTGTGAAACGCTGTAAATGTCAATGATAGCTTGGAAAGGTCGAAAAAAGATCGAAACTTGAATTTAATTGCGATGTGCGTTGCGCATACGATCGCTGAATCAATAATTTGCGTCCAACCCGGATTCACTTTTTCTTTTCTTCATCTTGTTTCAAATCGTGCAGTGCATTGTAATATTACATCACCAAAACAAAAATAGTTGAATTTTCAGTGATTTTATTAATTTTATTAATAAATAGGTGGCAACACTGGCTTTGCTTCAAATCAAAATGGCCGCCCTTGATGGCCCCGGCATGCACCGTGAGAACATTCACTTCGGTGTCCGTTTTAGGCGTTAAATAATCTACTTACTTGTGAATCGCTTCATTTGCGCGCCGGCCGTATGCGGTGCGTTTTGAATGAAAACGAAAATGAAAATGAAACAAAGTGTGGTGTGGAATTGTAAGCGCTGCGAATTCAGTCCAAGGCCTTCCATCCTTCCGATATAAAGCCATAAGTGTATAACTACATAAGTACGAGTAATGATTTCCAAGATTTCGATTGCAACTCGGCCATCCATTCGCAATTATTGCTTGTTTTAGCTGTAAAATGCAAATTGTGTGCTTTATGAAGGTTATTTTATAAGGAAACTTCATATTTTCATTTGTAGATGGCGCAATTAACGATATTTGATGAAGTTTGACATTTTTTAAGGTTAATTTGGTTGTATTTTGCTTTAAACTTCATATTTTTATCGATAGATGGCGTATTTAAGGTTATTTTCTTTGGTTTTACTTAAAATTTCATGTTTCTACCACCAGATGGCGTTGAAAAACGACATAATCGAATGTATTGTTACAATTGCATATTTTTAAAGGTTAATTTCTATGTTTTTGCTTCAAACTTCAAATTTTCATCGATAGAGGGCGTATTTATGATTATTTTCTTTGGTTTTACTCAAAACTTAATGTTTTCACCACCAGATGGCGTGTTTTGTTACAGTTGTGAATTTTTAAAGGTTAATTTCTATGATTTTGCCCCAAACTTCAAATTTTCACCACCAGGTGGCGTCTTGAATAATCTAACGTTTTCTGTAATATTTTTTGCAGTTGTACATGTGAAGAAGGCTACACTGGAAAAAACTGCGAACGCGAGTACGTCCCCTGCGACCCGTCGCCGTGTCAAAATGGCGGGCAGTGTCGACAGCGAGATAAACACACATACACATGCGATTGTCAGCCCGGTAAGTAATTTATTTCACTTCTTTTCTGCTCGCCCAGCGGGCCACTCGCAGCATTTGAATATAAATGGTCGGATGGCATTAAAAATTCATAATATTTATAATCTCCACGAACGAACAGGCCGATAAAAACTGTAAAACCACTTAAAACACGTCGAATACTTTTGTTCGAAAGTCTCGAGGCGTTGCACGAAATTCGTGCAAACGCAAAAACTCCAACACACGAAATAAAACAAATTAAATTAATTAAATTTCTTCCACAGACAGAGAAAAAACAAAATTTTAAATGTTTTACATGTGAGGTTATGTCCTGCGTATGATATGGTGATATGTGTGCATGTTTGTTTAGTCTGGTTCACAACCAATATTGAGATAAATCGAGACGCCACTTGAAGTGAACTTCAACTTCAAGTCGCGTCTTGTGAATGCAGAAGAATGCACTTTTCATCAATCTAAGATAAATACACAAACATGGCGGCGCCACCGCCCCACGCGCAATATAATAACTCACTCAACAAAGGCTTTCTTTCAAAAGATTAATATTTACTTACATTTTTTTACAAGTGACTTAAGTCATGTCTGAAAATTTGAGATTTGACTTAAGTCAAGTTTGTCTGCTTAACTTAAGTAAGTGATATGCCCACCTCTCGACGGCGCCGTGGCCTACGGGAGATTTCAAGTTTCAAGTTTTCAAGTTCAACGCATTGTGTGGAAAATAAACGAAATGCTAATGAGCGTCGATGACGAAATTTATACGACTGCACACAAGAGACGCGAGTGTCGAAATTGAGGAGGCAAAACAAAGGTTCAAAGACAACTAACGAATCTAACCTTGACATTTTTGAGGTTAAAATTTGTAAATTTTAGGGATTTTTAGTGTTTAGGGTAAAATTTAGTGTAAAACACACTGTTACCAACTTAAATTCACTAGGGATTTTTATTTTTTGTAGTTAGGCAACTTTTATCACTCAATAATGTGAAAAATTTATGAATAATCATTAAAAATGATCAATTTTGATTGTTTTGCCTTGTGGATGCGTTTTATTACCGTAAATTGTACGTTTTGTTACATTTTTGATGCATTTATGGTTGCATATAGTGCAAATCATCATTTTACCAACTTATATCCTAGTAACTTTTACTTCTTGACATATTTAGGGACAAATCTAGTGTAAAACACCCTATTACCAACTTAAATTCATTAGGGATTTTTATTTTTTGTCGGTAGGCAACTTGTAAAACTCCACAAATGATAAATTCATGAATAATCATTAAAAATGATCAATTTTGATTGTTTTGCCTTGTGGGTGCGTTTTATTACCGAAAATTATACGTTTTGTTACATTTTTGATGCATTTAAGGTTGCATATAGTGCAAATCATCATTTTACCAACTTATATCCTAGTAACTTTCACTTTTTGACATATCTAGTGATAAATCTAGTCTAAAACACCCTCATACCAACTTAAATACTCTAGGGACATTTATTTTCCTGTATATAGGCAACTTGTACCACTCCACAAATGATACATCCTCAGATAATCACACAGAATGACCAATTTTGATTGTATTTTGATTGTGCTGCCCTGTGGCCGCGTTTTATTGCCGCAAATCGTACGTTTTGTACACGCGCGTGCACGTCTCCCTTCATTATAACCTCAATTACGCCGCGCGACGCACAAGAATTCAAATCGCCGCCGCCCGAAGACGTTTCCACGATTACGCGCGTCAATCGCGAGTTTATTTATCCATTTGCGGCCGTTTACGGACCCGCGGGTTGGTGGTGTGTCTCTCCATCGCAGGCTATCATTACGATAAAGACATAAACAATGCCTGCGTCAATTTCGTGATGATGCGATGATTTCCAATTGTTTTTCCACTCCTGAGAAGCGTGTATCCCTGCACATCACTTGGGAAACACACTCAAGACACATTTATCCCGAGGGTATAAAGATTAGGTTATGTTGTTGGTGAGAATAGAATGTTTTTCGACACCCCACGCGATGCACTTGTTTTATCGTGTGAAGCAATACATCTGTCATCAAAAACATGACAAAACTCATTAGGTTTTTTCGTTTGGTGCTTGAAACTAGTTTTTCGGGATGCGTTTGATGTGTTTTCATTGTTTTCTCACGACTTTTACACGCCGCAGCGTAATAAAACATAAAAATTACATTGTAGGCAACCAACAATACAAATAACCTTATATTATAAACGCGGAAGTTTATTTATTTGTTTTCTTTGTCGGATTTTATTGGAATTCATCGAGAAATACACACGATCCGACTCGGTTCGGCTTTGATTTGCTTCGATTTGCAATTTATTCTATTTGTTCGCTTCGATTCGCCGCGAACTTTTCTCACACCGTCGTCTCTCTGGCGAATATAAACGCCGCTTGATTAAACAAGATGGTCGACATCCGGTATTGTTTAAATTCGTTCATTAATAACTTAACTTACGCGCGCGGTGGTTGGGTTATTACGTGATAATCTTAAAAACTACTTCAGGCTCATAAATATGCATCACGTGTGATGCGCGAACGAAAATTTACAGTTTACTGTTATTCCATGCAGATTAATCGCGGGCATGTGTGTGTAGGCAACCCAAACAACACATGACACTGAAAAAATGTTATTTTTAATCGTTTAACGTAAATATTCTCACGAAAAACTTAATATAAACAATTTTATTTGTTTATTTAGTTAATATACTCACCAAATTTAGTATAAAATCATTTTAAGTTGGTAGTGATATTATTTTGAGTTTTCGGGTCTGAAATTTGAAATTTTTGGCCGGATGTGTAACCTAACCGCAGTGAATTTTTCCCACTTCCCTTTGGGCAGACTGAAAGTAGCGTATGTGTGTGCGTGCGCGCGGCGTGGGCTGTCGCACACACAATGGCCTATCCTATCCCACTCTCTTGTGTGCGCTGCGCGCCTGTTGCTCGGAGCAATATGTCCGCTTGACTTCACCCAAAGCAAAGACGGAGCGCGCTTGAGACGTAAAGCGAGCGCGCTGCCAGAGTGCCGAGACCGTGGGAACGCATGCGGCTACACCCGTCGCGCTTCCACAGCACAAAAACTCGTAATAAACAGGATGATGTCCAAACATACACATTCAGCCATTTCGTTTTTACTAACATTACCAACCTAAATAGAATCCTGGTGATGTTACTAGTTTTTCTAGTGAATTTTTTCTACCAACTTAAATCTATTCTAGTAACTTTTTAGTAACTTTGGTGTTTTTTGTTTGTTTTAGGTTATCGTGGTCAGAACTGTGAAGAAAACATCGACGATTGTCCCGGTAACATGTGCCAAAATGGCGCATCGTGTGTAGATGGTGTAAACGCATACACGTGCCAATGTCCCGCAACATACACGGGGCGTTTTTGTGAGCAGGACGTGGATGAATGCTCACTGCGTCCGTCCGTGTGTCAAAATGGTGCTACCTGCACGAACAGTGTCGGCGGGCATTCGTGCATCTGCGTCAATGGCTGGACCGGCCCCGATTGCTCCGTGAACATCGACGATTGTGCGGGGGCGGCGTGTTTCAACGGCGCCACGTGCATCGACCGCGTCGGCAGCTTCTACTGCAGGTGCACGCCGGGGAAAACAGGTAAAACATACATACGTAGCGAAAACACACATCTCATTTGAGGTTAGGTGGTGGAAACAATGCGTCGGATGGATTATGGTTATGGCGTATTGTTTGAGGATAATTCTGCATTGTTGCGATCAATAAAATAACAATGCTTCGTTTAATTTTATTTCCTCAAAAACATCATCACCCGGCCGAGTTGTACAACCGCGCGCGCAATTGCATCGAATTAACATCACTTAACTCTCAAATTAAACGCGACAGCATAATAATTATGCCTGCAGTGTCATTGCTCTCATGTACACTGGTAATATTAATTAGTATAGGCAACACATTCATCACATGTGTGTTTGGAGTGTGTTTTTTATGTTGGTACACTTGTAATATCATCATCTGGATATTTTTTTCTGGTTTTAACCTAAAAACTTTACAAAATTAAGAAAAAACATGGTGTTGAGTGATTATAACCTCAAAAAACTTGATTTTGCATTATTTTTTCACTAAACAGTTAATATTATTTACTAGTAGCTTTAACCCGCGGCTTCGCTCACGAATATCTAAAATAATAAAGTTGCTTCCGTACGCGTCTGTAGTCACAGAAGAAGTAACAATGAAGTAGGTAGAATGGCGGGAAGTTTAAAATGGCTGAAAGTATAGTCTATGGAAGTATAGTGTACAGTCTCCATAGTGTAGTCAATTGGATTTGATGTTGACGTAGCTGTCGGTAATACAGTGTGATGGTACTATAGTACTTAGGTTTGAACTTCATTGCTGGAATGTTAGATGGCGTTAAAGAAGTCAAATAGCCAGATGCAGAGGTATTATTGACTAAACTATTTCTTTATTTTATTTAAAAAATATTTTTTTTATTAAATAAAAAGTAGCCTATAACCATTCGGGGACCACTAAGAATATGTGTACAAATTTTCATGATGATCGGTTAAGTAGTTTTTGCGTGAAAGTGTAACAAACATCAGGACCTTCGCATTTATAATATTAGTAGGGATATGCAACATAATCATCACCAAACAGTAACATGTGTGTTTATACTGTTTTTTTTTCTTGTTTTTATTAAGTTTTAACCTAAAAACACCACAAATTAAAACAAAAACGTGGTGTTGAGTGATTATAACCTCAAAAAACTTAATTTTGCATCATTTTAAAGCTTTTTCACGTAACAGTTAATATTATTTACAGTATGCAACACATTGTGCATAAAACATTACCATGTGTGTTTAAATGTTGTTTTTTTGGTTGGTAGGCCTGCTGTGTCATCTGGATGACGCCTGTACGAGCAATCCGTGCCACGCCGATGCCATCTGCGACACCAGCCCCATCAACGGCTCCTACACGTGCAGCTGCGCGTCGGGATACAAGGGCGTCGATTGCTCCGAAGACATCGACGAATGCGAACAAGGTAATTGCCCAAACATAACCTCAAATGTCTAGGGACTTTTCGTGTTAAACCTCGTTGAACCCCACCGGTTGCTAATAGGTAATTAGCGTACATTAACACTAATATGTCCGTCGAAGAATAATTACCTGCGTGATTAGCGTTTTGTTCACAAGTCTTAATTATCAGCTAGTAATTAACATAGGATCGGAATGGAATTTTATAATATTGGTAAAAATCAACGTGTGTTAATTTTTTTTTGTAAAATTTGTGTTTTTTGTGTTTTTGCTTGCAGGATCACCGTGCGAGCATGACGGCATTTGCGTGAACACGCCCGGCAGCTTCGCGTGCAACTGCACGCAGGGCTTCACCGGGCCGAGGTGCGAGACCAACGTCAACGAGTGCGAATCGCATCCGTGCCACAATGAGGGCTCGTGTCTCGACGATCCCGGCACGTTTCGTTGTGTGTGCATGCCAGGTAAGCGTTTTTCGCCGTAATTATCTGCCATTGATATGCAAACAATGTAAAACGTTAGAATTTGCATGATTTCTTCGTGGAAATATTTTAATTTCCCACAAATTTACATTTTTTAGGTAAATTAGGGATAAAAGCATCAGGAAAAAAGAAAATATTAAGAAATTTCGTTGAATTTTAGTGTTTTTCGATATTTTTTGGGTTGAAATTTAGTTTAAACTTACTAAAAGGTTGTTTTTCTATTGATTTTAGTATTATTTGAGGTTAGAATGACTTCCTATGTCATAAAAAGTGTCAATTTTGCCAAACTTCATATTTTTGACAGTTTTGAGGTTATAATTTACAGAAAAATCAGTTTCTTTATTGGTTTTGGTATTGTTTGAGGTTAGAATGACTTCCTGCGTCATTAAAAGTGTCAATTCTGTCAAATTTTCTATTTTTGACAGTTTTGAGGTTAAAGTTTAAAGAAAAATCAGTTTTTTAATTGGTTTTGGGTTTGTATATGATTAGAATCACTTCCTTTCATACAAAAATGTCAAATTTTTAACTTTTTAACAAATTTATTACTTTCTTTGGTGAATACGTAATCCATGTTGTATATTTATAAAAAATTTTATTTTTATTTTATTTTAATTTTTATTTTAAAGTTTATGAAGATGCCCTCTGGGCGAAACATGTCAACTCAAAAATAAAATTGTAAATCCAAAATCACGTATAATGTTTAACAAATTTGAGGTTAAAAATCAAATTTTCAATGAATTTTAATACAATTTGAGGTTAGAATATGCCTACACGTGTACAGGATGAATAAAAAACCCGACTTAACTTAAGCTACAATTCATTCCTTCATTCATTGGCACTTTGGCACTCTCCGAAAACGATAATTGGCCTCGTTCCCAAGCTACATCTCGCGCGCGTCGCACTGTGCGCGCCATCTTGTCCCTGTGATTTCGTCACGAAATCAAAAACTCGATCGGAAACACGCATCAAAACATCACAACATCTCATTATTTAATATGTGCCTTCGTCTGGTTAGCAATTAAACCTCTTATCATTCCATTTACACAACTAGTTCTCTTGATTTTTTTCCGTATGACTCTCGCCATCTTGTTTAGCAGTTGAACTTGCAGCGCAACATTTTGTATATTAATTTTTCGCGTCTAACGCTTGCAAACGCGTCGCTAAATACGGCCGGCGCGCTGGTGTAAACTTGTTTCGCTTCATTATTCATACAATTAGAAGTCGAAGACGCATGAAACCGAAGACTGCGGGCCGTTCTGCAATGCGTGAATGTTTTTTTTTTGTAAGTGGAGTGGAGTGTCATCGGCCATGTTGTTAATTCCTGATTATCGCGTAATCGGCGTATGTATTTATAGTGCGCTATAATTTTGCAATGTAGTGCAAAGTGGCAGTTTTAATTAATCTTGTGTGAAGTAGAGGATATTCTAACCTCAAAAATGGTAAAACTGGTGTTTTCTTAGGGTTTTTCTTTATTTTTAACCTCAAAAAGGGAATTATTTGATTAGAAAGACGAAAAAAAGTCTGTTTTAATGCAAAATTGATTATAACTTGTAGAAAAATAGGTTTTCAGGGTTTTTAAGACGTATTTTTATAGATGGAAGTATTTCTAACCTAAAATATATTAAAATCAATAGTAAAATAACGTTTTTGATGGTTTTTAATAAGTTTTAACCTAAAAACATCTCAAAACTTGCTAAAAATCATATTTTTGTTGATTTTTGAGGTTAAAACTTGCATTTCTCTTTGAATTTGAATGTTATCCTTTACTTTAGTTATTTACGAGTCTAGTTTTTATCTAGATTTTAATTATGCGCAACATTTTCCGCGGAGCCCGCATTATGAAACTCTAGCGCGGTGTGGAGGAGGAAGCCGGCTACTGGCCGCGGTAGCCAGTAGCGCGCCGCGCAGCGTACGGAATTCGCCAATAAATAAACATTTCCGAACGCGCAGCGCAAGTTAAAAGAAGTCCGAGTAAAATTGCCATTTCAATTTCAATTGCCATGCCGACCGTGCGGAATAGAAATTCTCGCGGCGCTGTGTGTGCTGGTGATTTCAATGCGCCCCAACGCCCAACGCGCGCGTTTCCATTTGATTCGCCTGCGCTGCGCTGCTTTTTTCGCAGTCGCACGACGCGAACGTGAAAATCACGAATAGAGGCACACATTTTGCATCTCTTGTGTATCTTATATTTCTGCGAGTTAAATTCTATACGCAATACGCTATAGTATAGTATAGAATAGTATAGGTCGCAGGCATTCGACGATAAATGGTTTATAAGTTTATACCGGCGAGATTGGAAATCGTAATACATATAATAATGTGAATGTTGAATGTACAAACACACACATGTGAAGAAAATGCACGCCGTGGAGTAACGGTGCTTTTCTTCTGTCCAATTTAAAATCTACGAGCATTAAACATTAATTATGGAAATATTTGCGGTTGCCTAAAGAAGAAATTAACGAGATAATCACGGGGAATTCATTTTACAACTGGAAATATCATATTTTGAGGTTATTTCTGTCAGTTTTCGTTATATTTTGACAGAAAGTCGTTGATTCTAGCAAATTTTGCGTTTAAATACACAAATTTTGGGTTATTTTTGTCAATTTTGATATTTTTTGACAGCAAATGTCATTTTCTATCAAATTTGAGGTTAATTTATTGATTTTAGAGGTTATTTTGGTTGATTTTAGTAAAAAATTGTATTTTTCTGTCAAATTTGTTATTTAAACTCAACAATTTTTAGGTTATTTCTGTCAATTTTAGTATTTTTTAACATTAAATGACGTTTTTCATCAAATTTGAGGTTAATTTTGTGATTTTTAAGGTTATTTTGATAAATATTAGTCATATTTTGACAGAAAACAACAATATCTCTCAAAAACTACTTTTCTTCAGTTAAATCACTAAAAAATCAAAGAAAAATCAATTTTCTTAAAAAAATCCACTTCTTGAGCTCCGTTGATGAATTACACTTAAGCGTCGATTGTTGAATGCAGTTTATAGTGCTGTAGAGTATTGTTTTCTCATTATTTCGGCATTGTGTGTCGCATAACGTATTCCGCGCGCAGCGCAAGAGAGCACCTCAACAATGTGCCTGCCTTGCGCTTAACCATTGTGCACCACGCCGCAGCAAACAACAACAATTGCGGGCATGCCGCATGCATTTATTTGTGCACCGCGGGCGCTTCGTGTGTGCTGCGCGCCGGCCGAAGATCGGTATGTGTCGTTTCCTCCCACGTACCGTTTTCCTACGTTTCTCAAGAGCGCCCAAGCGACGACCAATCAACAACAACAACAACACGCCGATGAAATGAATTTTATCTGCGGCGTGTGTTTTGTGTGTGAACCAGTTCGAAAGTACGATTAAATTACGAAATTCAAGCGCGGTGACTTATTGGGAGAGTATCAAAGATATAGTTTTCGCTATAGTATTTGTTTAAGTTGCATGAGAAAGTTCAGTTATGAATTCCGCGCGCGGCTTCGGCGGAGTAAATGCGACGCGAAATGAAGAGCAGAGCGTGATAATTACGCGCACAATTCACCGTTCGGAGTTTTTCACCCCGACATGCATCATTATGCATGCAGGAATACACATTACACATATCCTACTTATATTACAGAGTATTAATCATTAGAAATGTATAAAAATTGTTTTAATGATTTTTTGTAGTTTTTAGGTTAAAACTAACTAAAAACTTACCTAAAACCCCTAGAAATTACTAAAATTTTGTCGGTTAACCTCAAATTTGATAGAAAATGTCATTTACTGTCAAAAAATACTAAAATTGACAAAAATATCCTGAAAGATGTGTTTTTTAACCTCAAATTTTATAGAAAGTACCATTTTCTGTCAAAATAAGACCAAAATTGACAGAAATACCTTGACAAAACTAATTCTAACCTCAAAAACCTTAAAAACTATAATTTATTGTCAAAATTTAACTAAAATTGACAGAATTAACCCTAAAATCCCTAAATTTCATACCATAACCTCAAATTTGACCCATTTTCCAGGATTCACTGGCACCCAATGCGAAATTGACATCGACGAATGCAAGGACAACCCCTGCATGAACAACGGCATCTGCTACGACCGCATCAACTCCTTCAAATGCAACTGCCCGGTGGGTTTCACCGGCTCGCGCTGCCAGACTAACATCGACGACTGCATCTCGAACCCGTGCCGCAATGGCGGCACGTGCGAGGACTCCATCGGCGGCTACACCTGCCTCTGCCCGCCCGGCTTCACCGGCTACTCCTGCGAGACGAACATCAACGACTGTCAATCGTCGCCGTGTCAGCATGGCGAGTGCGTCGACGGCGAGAACTCATTCTACTGCACTTGTCATCCCGGATATTCGGGCTTCTATTGCGAGGCGCAGATCAACGAATGCGAATCGAATCCGTGCCAGTATGGCGGCTCGTGTCAGGATCTTATCAATGGGTATCAGTGCATTTGTAAGGCGGGCACTTCCGGGCACAATTGCGAGATCAACGTGAATGAATGCTATAGTAATCCGTGTCGGAATGGGGCGAGGTGTGTGGATGGCATCAACAGGTTAGTAATTTGATAAATTTGATGTTTTGAGGTTATTTTAGGTTAAGGGGTATTGACTAATTATTTTTATGCTTCGTTTCATGCTGCGTGATCAGTGATAACTCAATTAACATGTTTCCATCGTAAGTTTCTATCGTATCTTTGGTTTTTCTATTGTTTTGTTGCTTTTTCTGCGAAATTTTGACATTTTTCCAGCTTTTTTCTTAGTTTATTGCTTTGTGTGTTGCCTATATTACAAAATAACATCTGTGACACACAATGTTTGTTTTTATGCATTGTTTTACGGCTGAAAATCTGATTTTCTGCATATTTTTGACATTTCTTCATCTTTATATGTTTAGTGTGTTGCCTACATTACAAATTAACCTTTTCAAGACTTTATTTCTTTGTTTATACACATTTTCTATTGTTTTCTGCATATTTTTGACATTTCCTAACCTTTCTCCATGTTTCATGCTTTGTGTGTTGCCTACATTAAAATTAACCTCTCTACCACTCCAATTTCTTTGTTTTACAGATACACATGTGAATGTATTCCTGGTTACACCGGCCAACACTGCGAAACGGACATCAACGAATGCGCATCCAACCCGTGCGCAAATGGCGGCGTGTGCATTGATCTCGTCAACGGTTTCCGCTGCGAATGCCCACGTGGTTACTACGACGCCCGATGCCTATCCGACGTGGACGAATGCAAATCAAACCCGTGCAAACATGGCGGCAGTTGCGAAGATGGCGTCTCACAATTCATCTGCCATTGCCTCCCAGGCTACAATGGCCGCCAATGTGAACACAACATCGATGAATGCGCTTCTAACCCATGCCAACATGGCGGCATCTGCCGTGACCACCTCGCTTCCTACACTTGCGAATGTCAACCGGGGTATTCCGGCACGAATTGCGAGACGAACATTGACGACTGCGCATTCAACCCGTGCAAAAATGGCGGTAACTGTATCGATCAAGTAAATAACTATCAATGCGTATGTAAATTACCGTATTCCGGGCGGGATTGTCAAGAGAGGTTAGATCCTTGCTCGCCGAATAAATGCAGACACAACGCGCGGTGTTCCCCAAGCGCGAACTTCATGGATTTCGCATGTACATGCAGTGTTGGTTATACTGGTAGGTTATGTGAACAAGATGTCAACGAATGCTTGAATTCAGCACCGTGTCGCAATGGCGCCACTTGCAAAAACACCGACGGGAGTTATCAATGCGTCTGCGCGTTGGGTTACGAAGGGAAGGATTGTAACATCAACACGGATGACTGCGCATCGTTCCCCTGTCAAAATGGCGGCACATGTTTAGATGACATTGGAGATTATCTATGTTTATGCGTGAATGGCTTCAAAGGGAAACACTGCGAGGTGGATATTGATGAATGTCTGTCAAATCCATGTCACAATGGCGCCACTTGTAACCAATACGTTGATTCGTACACATGTACATGTCCCTTGGGTTTCTCAGGGATCACCTGTCAAATTAACGATGATGATTGTACTGTTAGCTCCTGCATGAATGGCGGTACCTGCATAGATGGTATAAATTCCTATACTTGTATCTGCCCGCCAGGGTACACAGGTTCCAACTGTCAAAATAGGATTAATTTGTGTGACAGTGGGCCTTGTTCAAATGGTGCCACGTGCCAGGATCACATCATGGAGTATACCTGTCATTGTCCCTATGGTTACACAGGTAAAGATTGTCGGGAGTATGTTGATTGGTGTGGTACCAATCCATGTGAGAATGAAGCCACGTGTCAACAACATAAAAATCAGTATCATTGTAATTGCGCGCCTGGTTGGACTGGAAAGGTGTGTGATGTGGAGATGGTAAGCTGTAAAGACGCTGCTCTACGTAAGGGTATACCACATAAACAACTCTGCAACAATGGTACCTGCTCGGACATTGGTAACTCACACAGGTGTCATTGTACTGAAGGTTATTCAGGGTCGTACTGTCAGAAGGAGATCAATGAATGTGAATCTGCACCCTGTCAAAATGGCGCCACATGCAAGGACCTCATCAATTCCTACACTTGTTTATGTACCAAAGGTTTCCAAGGTCAGAACTGCGAGTTGAACGTTGATGATTGCAAAATCAATCCCTGTCAAAATGGAGGGACGTGTCATGATCTCATCGATAACTTCCAGTGCTCCTGCCCATCGGGTACCCTCGGTATCATCTGCGAGGTTAATATTGATGATTGTAAGAGTGATGCTTGTCACAACAACGGCACCTGTGTTGATCGCGTCGGAGGTTTTGAATGTGTATGTCCACCAGGTTATGTGGGACCTAGGTGTGAAGGTGATATCAATGAATGTCTGTCAAATCCATGTTCGACACCTGGTACCCTTGATTGTGTGCAACTTGTGAATGATTACCATTGCAATTGTAAGAATGGGTACATGGGTAGACACTGTGAGAGTAAGGTTAACTTCTGCGCGAAGGCCCCGTGTCAAAATGGCGGCATATGCACGGCTATCCATGCAGGTCATAAGTGTACCTGCCAGGAGGGTTATTATGGTAAAAACTGTGAGTTTTCCGGTTTTGATTGCGAGAGTAACCCGTGTCAGAACCGAGGTACCTGTAGAATGGCCGAAGGAGGTGGGTATATCTGTGATTGTCCCGTGGGTCTAGCCGGGATGAATTGCGAGATAGATACCATGGATGAATGTAAATCCAACCCATGTAAGCATGAAGACGCAACGTGTCAGGACAGATTCGGTGATTATGTCTGTTATTGTCCACCGAAGCATAATGGTAAGAACTGTGATCATTACGACGTGAATTTCCCCGGCGGGATAGGTTATGTCCCCGCAACAGGGAGGTCAAATGTCACTCCGCCATTCTACGCGATTGATTTGGAGATTCAGCGGAAGCAATGCGTGCAGAATCAGTGCACAATCAAACGTGGTAATAGAAAATGTGATGAGGAATGTAATAACTACGCGTGTGACTTTGATGGTAATGATTGTTCACTTGGGTTGAATAATCCGTGGGCGAACTGCTCGGAGCCAATCAGGTGCTCGCATGCGTTCATGGATGGTGTGTGCAATGAAGAATGCAACAATCAGGAGTGTCTGTTTGATGGGCGTGACTGCGAGAAATCCCTGCAGCCCTGCAACCCAATATACAATGCGTATTGTGAGAAGCATTATGCTAATGGTTATTGTGATTATGGGTGTAATAACGCGGAGTGTAACTGGGATGGGTTGGATTGTGAAAAGGCCCCACCGCAGGTTGCTGAAGGTGTGTTGCGGGTGACCATCTTAATGGACCCGGAAGCTTTCAAGAAGAATAAAGTTGCTTTCCTGCGTGATACTTCTCATCAATTACGGACAACAGTGACGATCAAAATGGACGCCATGGGTAACGAGATGATTTACCATTGGAGGGGACCAACTCCCGGGTTGGAAGACCCAGCGTATAAAAGGAAATACAACATAGGGTTCACAGAGCAATCAGGGGTTGAAGTCCATCTGGAAATTGATAATCGGAAATGTACTTCAATCATCAATTCGGAGACTTGCTTCCAGACAGCTGAAGCAGCTGCAGAATTCCTTGCTGCTACAGCCTCCAAACATACCATCAGTAAATCATTCCCCATTTGGAAAGTGGACGGGTCCCAGAATGACCTTATCCCCGACACACCTACAAACGCTAAATTTGTAATTATGGGTATCCTCTTGGTGATTGTCCTCTGCGCAGTGGTGTTCATGGTTGCCCAGACCCAGAGAAAGCGTGCTGCTGGTGTCACCTGGTTCCCAGACGGTTTCCTAACCACAAACAACAGCAGTAGACGATCATCAAGACGTCGTGGACCCGATGGTCAAGAAATGCGTAACCTGAACAACCCTTCAATGATGGACATGCCTCACATGGGTCAACAGATGGGTCACCAGCAACAATGGAGCGATGACGAGTCGGAAATGCCACAGCCCAAACGCATGCGCGCAATGGAAGCAGGATATCAATCTGATCACACTGTGATCACAGATTATGAGGAGACTGATACCAGACCATGGACACAATTACAAATGGACGCTGCGGATATAAGACCATCAGTTATGTTAACACCTCCACAGAATGAATCACAGGATATAAATGCGAGGGGACCATGTGGTATGACTGCGATTATGTTGGCATCTGTGCGTGGAGGTGGGTTGGAAACCGGGGAGGAAGATGAAGATGATACTGCAGGTGCGGTTATACAGGATCTGGTCGCGCAAGGTGCTGAATTGAACGCGGCGATGGATAAAACAGGCGAGACTAGTTTGCATCTAGCTGCAAGGTTTGCTAGGGCTGATGCAGCGAAGAGGTTATTGGATGCTGGTGCAGATGCCAATGCGCAGGACAACACCGGAAGGACGCCATTACACACAGCGGTTGCAGCTGATGCGCTGGGAGTGTTTCAGATTCTGTTGAGGAACAGAGCGACGAATCTAAACGCACGTATGCATGAGGGTACCACTCCGTTGATACTGGCTGCGAGGTTGGCTATTGAAGGTATGGTGCAGGATTTGATCGGTGCGGAAGCTGATATCAACGCGGCGGATAACTCCGGGAAGACGGCGATTCACTGGGCGGCAGCTGTCAATAATGTGGAGGCTGTTAATATTTTATTGGCGCATGGTGCTAATCGTGACGCACAAAATGATAAGGTAAGTTGAGGTTATTTTATTATTTTTTGAGGTTATTTATTTATTGTGTTTTTTTGGGGTTATAGGATGAGACGCCATTGTTTTTGGCTGCGCGTGAAGGTTCTTACCAAGCGTGCAAAGCCTTACTGGAAGCCTATGCAAATAGAGAGATTACAGATCACATGGATCGTCTACCACGAGATGTCGCCAGTGAGCGTCTGCATCATGACATTGTCCGACTGTTGGATGAACACCATCCACGCAGTCCACAAATGGTTAATGTCATTCCAAATAATTCAATCATGAGTTCCCAAACAGGTCAACTCATTCAACATCCCACCGTGATTCACCCGAAGAGACAAAAGTCGAAGCGTCCGAGTAAAAACAACAATGGACCCACGAGTCCGCAGGTAGAGGGCGCGCACACCGGAAGTGTCAGACGCAAACCCAGCGTGAAGAAATCCAACAATAAAAAGCCCTGTATCCAACAAACTGAGATACAAGGTTTGGATTCATTAACAGCTACGTTGAGCCCGGTGGAATCACCGATGGCGAATCTCCCAAGTCCGTACGACACGGCAACTCATTACTCCAACATGTCCATGACGACAATGGATGGAAGATTGAATTCCAAGCAACCGCCGAGTTACGAGGATGTTATCAAGAACGGTAACCTCGCTCCTAATCAACACCAGTTGCATAACTTACTACCCATGGATAACTATCAGTTCTCGTTGAACTTCCAAGATCAACTCATGCAGACGAGTGGTGGGGGTAGACATATGCAACCCAACACACTCAGTCCACCCTACAGCAACCAATCACCGCCGCATTCGGTGCAATCGAACATGTCGATGTCCCCGCAGGCGTATAACGGGTCACCGTCACCAGCAAAGACACGCCCTTGCCTACCAACAAGTCCCACTCATATTGCAGCGATGCGTGCGGCTACCCAACAGAAACATGGCGGTATCCCGCAGAATCAAGCGCTGCAGATGGGTTTTGACTTTAGTCAAGCATCCGTGGATAATATGACTTATGGTGGGCTTGGTGGTGTGGTGGGAGGTGGGACACCAGCCGCGTTGAACCCGGCGCAGTTCACCCAGCCGAATTATTACATGACGCCGCCATCACAGCATTCGGATGCGTCTCCACAGCATCTGAGTGACAGCTTTCTGACACCCAGTCCGGATTCGCCACACTGGACCAATTCACCGCACTCAATCACCTCCGACTGGTCGGAGAATGTGACGAGTCCGACGACGACGTACACCTCCGCTGGCCATCAGGCTAATAAAGGCTCGGAGGCGATTTACATTTAGGGCTGATCCAGAGCACAGAGCGTGGATTCGTATTTATTTAATGGTCTCAGCTTCTTTTGGTGGGTTTTGGGCCTGCGGAGTGTGAAGGTAGGCAGCCAAACATGCACGAGAGGGGCGTGAAAAGAATAATACTTACTTTTAGTGTAAATAGTTTAGATTAAAGCGATAAAATCGGCATCCCAGCACAAAATTTCATCACTGACAGATTTTCACAAGAAATTATATACGTACAAATCAATTTCTGAAGAAAAAACAGTTTTTTAACGCAATAATTACGAAAAAAGTGTAAATATTTTTAAATATCTTTAAAGACAGCCACGTTTTTGTTCGTCAGCGTGCGCTTATTGTACTTTATAATATTTTATCGTATTCCTAAAGAATCCTAACGAATCCAGGCATCGTGATTCGACTGTTTTGGTTTGTAGACTTAAACAGTAAGAGTAAGTAATAACACTAAGCAAAGACAGCATACACACAATATTAAAGTAATTATACAATACAAGCGAATTTTCATTATTTTTTATAAGAAATGTATACATATTGTCGATTTATAAACGATTCTCTTGTTATTTAATGTAAAGTTATTAGGCTTCTCGGCCGTTTGCACGCGGCCATTGCAAGCAAAGATGGAGGAGTTTGCGCCGGAACTCGGAAACGAACAATATTAACGTATTTATTCTACTGCACACACATTCGAAGAGGTTTATATTTTAGTAAACTGCTGCCTGACGATATATATTGTGCCTTGCTACACTTGTATTTTTATAAGATAGATTTTTATGACGATGAACACACGCCAGAAACCTAATAACTGTAAGAGTATAGGACATATAGAAAATTTAATGTTTTTCCTTTACTAGAATGTATTTTGACAATGTTATTTTAATGTTTATTATGTATTTTAATAAACTATTTGGAGTACACTGAGTTTTTACATTGTTTTCACGCGGAAATTGTGTTAAATTGCTGCAATTTCTAATACAACTTTATAGTTATGTGTATATTGGGTTGCCTATATCAAACACATTTGAAATTTAATTTAAGCGCAAAAAAAGTTAAAATTTACACATTATAACCTCAATTTTAATGTATATTTAGTTGCATATATTAAAAACAAACATTTTTCTTTCAATTTCTCACTAAAAACAAGTACAAACATTAAATAATCAACAATAACATAGTTTAAGGTGTCATCCACGCATTTTTATTAATATATCATCGAGACACGTAATTAAACTATGTTTTTTATTTAATAAACGCGCTGACCGCGCGGAATGTACGAGAACGTGAACTTTTGATAAAAAATTAATCGTGGCTTAGTTTACCGATTCGACGAAGATATGATTAGACACGTTTAAAATTACATGGTCGCAGCTCGCGAGTTTAACGAGTCGAAGAATTAAACTTGTATCAGGTTGAGTCTTGGCCTAGAATCGCCTCGGAAAAAGTGTAACGCTAGTTTATTCATTCGTTTGTTTATTCATATGATAAACGATTTATTAGTTGCTTGAATTTGGGTGAAACATGACTTCTCCTACTCCAAGGAGGGTTGAATTTATATTTATCTATGACACAATGTCACGTAAATCCTCAGTTTGCTTTTATATTTCGTGAAAGTAACATCGTCGTGTAAATTTGGTTGCATATATACTCAACACCCAAGAAGGAGAAAGGTAAAGATACGCGTGCAGTGGTGCAGCGTCCAGCAACACGCCGCGCGTTTGTTAGTCGTTCGTCAGCCGTCGGTGGGTTCGCGTCGCTTCGTATTACGTATTTACATTGCAGTGCATCACAGAATTTTATCGTGAACAATAATATCGCAGCATACAAACGGTCGACGCGCGCGTTACAGGAATAATTCTCACTTCCTACGCTTCCAGCGATTAATCAACAAGCGTAAGTTGATTATATTTTATTTATTTTAACATTCTGGAGCAATTCAAGACGAATTTTATCTTGTGGAGCGTGATAAATACGTTTTTTTGATTAACCATGCGTGTGATGTGTTCACACGCACCCTTCGTGTTAGCCCTTTATTTTCGTGTCTTTTTAAGCGTTTTTTGTCTGGATGGATGTATTTATACTTAAATTTTCATTAAAATACAGTCAATGTCATTTTATATTGCATTCTTGGTATTAATCTGCGATATAAACACAAATATTAACTTGTGAATGCGGATTGTTTGTGTGTGTGATTCTGTGTTGTCCGCATTTTTTATCTGGCCGCGTCCTTCACGTCTTTCACGTCTTTCACGTCTTCTTTCTCTTGTGTACGTTTCGTGCGTGCGTTCACTTGAGGCGGGGTGCGACAGGTAATATCACGAGATTCCAAACGTGCAGGTGCAGGTGCATTTCGTAGATTTGTCTTTTATTTCGTTTCGTTGCGAGTTTACTGTTGAAGCAAACAAATGAAACCATTTATTTTGTGTTTGTAGTTTAATTTAATCTTAAATTAAACGTAATTGTTATTATTATTACATTACCAGACTTTTATGATTGATAAAAGAATGAATTTAAGGCATTTAAAGTGTTTAAAGCATTTAATGAAGTAAATAATTGAAGTAAAAGTGAATTATTCACTTATTTAATTATTTAATTATTCACTTTCTACGAAACATACGCTTTCGTCATGGGATTATAAATAATAAAATAATAATTGAGGAAGAAATGTGAATTTGTCACTCGTTGTACATTGTCGTTGATAGTTTCACTAATTAACGCGTCGAAATGTTTTCATTTGTAAATCAGACAATGTTAAACGCTCAGATTATTTATTTGTTTATATTTAGCGCATGATGTAATGCACTTGCTGCTGCTACGTTGCTAGTCTTGTTACTTACTTGTTATTGCTTAATAAATGATAATCTGAATTATAAATGCGAATGAATTCAGTTGGATGTTGGATTTTTGTGTTGTTATTGTTAACTGGACAATATTTATCATTTGCGTGTGGGGATTTTCAACTGGGATGCATTTATTGATCCGTAATGAGCGTAAAAACACCTCCGCACTATTGACAACATAAAAATAGAATTATTTTCTGTTTTATGATTTGACATGATTACAATGAGCAAGTAATAAAATATAAATTTTAAACACTAATAGGGACATCCGTATTATCAGGATATGTGATGTATTAGATTTATTAATATGGATGAATTAATTAATTAAATATTGCTTTTTTTACTTCCACTTTTAAAGCGACACCTTTTTCACGGTTTTGAGTCATGAAAAGTGATATTTTAAATACGGATAGCCAAAATCGTGAGTAAAATACTTTAGTCACGGACTTTAGTCACGGGGTGGAGCAATCTCGTGACAAAAACTCCTGTTTAGCCACTTGATAATTAAATAAAGCACTACTTTTTCAATGGTTGAGACTCATGACTAAAGTGTCATTTAGCGCACTTGATACTTAATTTACTATTATGCTGTTTTGATTTTTTGCTTTTCTTTTTGTTTCTTTTCTTAAAAAAAGAGTATAAATATATGTTGGTACTTCATTCATGTTTAATGCTCTGGTGCGTGACTCTTGCAAGCTTTTTTTGTAAGCAGACATAAGCATTGGGAGCAGAAAGTGTAAAAAACATTTTGCAGCATGTAGAACACAATAAAACAAGTTAAAATGACTAATATTACACATTGTAGCTGTATAAGTGCGTATCAACATAATTATACTAATTTTAAACGTTTTATTTTACTATTTTTTGGTTTATTCTGAATTTAACTTTAGAAGTGTAGATATTTATGTTTAGATATTTTCATACATTGTTTGTTTTTGTTTATTTCTCTCTGCGCCTGCGCTGCGGTTACTTTTCCTTTTACTTTTCTTCTTTTCTGCTTTGTGGTGGGTGTTATTTACATTTATTCCGCGAGTAAAGTGCACCACATGCTGCGGTTACTTATTACTCACATTTCTGATTTCCAATTTTATTATATTTATTGTATTCCCCGCAAAATAAAACGAAATGAAAGTCTTCTCTTCTGAAATAAAAATGCGTTGATTTGTGGACTAATTATACTTTGCACCGTTTAATCTAGAGCACTTTGCCGCTTATTCATTCATTGAATTTCCCAAGCGTTTATTTTTTTATGTTATGTATTTGTGCTTGTAGGCGTTTTATTTATGTTTGCTCAACTTTTTATTCTGCTTGCGATGCCATGCTTCAAACTTTAAATTGGCGCAATTTACTTTTAAGCTTAGCTCTAGTTCTTTTTTTCTGTTTACGTTTGCTTTGTTTTATTCGATTGCAGTCGTCATTGACGTAACGTAAATGTTCACTTGGCGCATAATTAACATTTTTAATTCAGGAAGCTTTTAATTCTTGCGCTAGATCGTTATTTAACTCGTGGTTTTTACGAACTGCGAATATTTACTCGCACACTTACCGGAAACGGTGTCAATGGGTTGTAAGGTTAAGGAATCGATTAGAAATTGGAATGTATTGATTAAAGATAGGAATTTTTCGGTGAAAACCGGTATTTCGGTATTTTTTATTCAAAATATTGAAATACCGGTATTTGTAAATTAATTTATTTGGAATATTTTAAATTTTGTAAGTATTATTTTGTAAAATATTGGTTTGTGAAGCAAAAATCCAGTTTACCGGTATTTGAAAACTAAAATACCGATAAACCGGTATAACCGGTATTTATAAATTTAATTAATAAGTAATATTTACATTTTTGTAAGTATAATATTTATAAATGTCGGTTTTGTCTAAAAATAACCGGTATACCGATATTAATACCGGTATTTTTTAATTTTGAAGCTTTTATTAATTTTTTTTTAATGAAATGTAATTTATTTCTTTCAGTGTGACTGATAAATCAAGATGGTGTTCGACTGTGGGTCGTGCATGGCCAAGTACATCTTGTGCCTGCTGAATTTCGCGTTCTTCGTAAGTAATTTTTAAACTGTTTGCATGTTGTGTTTATGTTTGTGTTTTTGTCTCCCTGTGGTGACGGGGTAAAAAAGTTTAGTGTTATCGATATCCCGCGATCGCCCGCGCTAATGTACCACCATCGACATGGACACAAAGAGCGACGAATTGTGTTGTGACTGGCTGTGACTAACACCAGCTATTATACGTTATAGCAACACGATGTCTAGAAAAAATAAATTTAGGTAAAAATAGAAAAAGTAAATAAAGTTTATGAAGTTGATTAAAAAAATAAATTTTTAAATGTTTTATGTTTTTTTTTTTGAAAGAATTAATAATAACTATTGATTTTAATTGTTTGTATTTGTTTCGCGGTGGTTTTAATCTTTAAAGTTTAATAATTTATAGATTATTTATTGCTAAGTCAACCATGACGACCTTAAGTTAACTGTTTCTTGTAGAATTCAATGAAATCCACTTGTTGAGAGTTAAGCGTGATGCAAACTTGTTGCTAACTTGCAGTTTTAATGAAGTTATTATCGATTTAGTTCATCTACATCTAGAACTTTCCGGATATGACTGTTTTTGGTAATGGTAATGTAATTGATATGATATGACTGTGATTAATGAGAGTTTTGGAGGGTGGAAACTCAGAAATTGTTGTTTGAGTAAAAAAATCGTAAATGCTTTTCAACATCATGTAGAACACTGAACGTACTCGTAACATGTGGAAGAAAAGTAATAAATCCACATTTAATTGAAATGTCGTTTCGTGTCGTGTCGCTGGTGTATGTAAGCATACATTTGGTGGTATGTGGGTGGTCATTAGTAGTTGTACGACAACATTAACCATATTTAGCTTAATAATATAGGTAATTAGATCATTTTAATAATAATGGTTATATAATCAGCGGCATTTTTGACCTTTTACTCTGTGAAATTAAATTATTTTAATTTTTGTCTAATAGAGAGAGAATTTCCTAATCTTTCATAATCAACAAACCGCTGGTTGATATCTCTTTTAGTTTAGAAGATATTCGCTATTGAAAATTGTCAAAAAAAATGATTAATTAGAAGTGACTCGTATGCAGGATACCGTATGAGGCTAGCGGTAGAAGTGACTCGTATTCAGGGCACCGTACGAGGGTAGCGGTAGCACCGACTCTCATTTGCCCATTTTTACTTATGAATTAAAGTTTTACCGCTTAGATTTTCAATGTAACTAGCTTATTTTATAGAGAATTTTACGTAGATTAAGACGCTGCGATCATATCCTATTTATCTCTTTTAGTTTACGAGATATTTGCGATTGAATAAAATGGGCAAAAATTGCAAAATGTCACTTTTTAGCACTTTTGGCCGCGTTTTTCGACCTTTTACTGTAGGAAATATAATTATTTTATATTTTTATCTGATAGAGAATTTTCTAATCTATCAGAATCAGCAATTTGTTGGTTGCTATCACCTTTAGGTGAAGAGATATGAATTATCAAAAATCGTCGAAAAAAAGTATCAAGCACCCCCCCTTGGCAATTTTTTCTTAAGAATGAAAATTTCATCTCTCAGATTTCCGTTATAAGGAACACATAAACAAAATAAACTACATAAAGTCAAGTGAAGATTCTATCGAATGTAAAAGTTTTTGTACCATTGTGTTTGTGTGCAACTGCTTTTACGAGCACAATTTACAACGATAGAGTCACTTGTCGAAGCGAGTTGGCACGGGAGAGAAAGTCCGCTTTGATTTCAAGCGTGACGCTACGACAATTCAAATCGCAAGAAAATGCCTCATAAATGTTTATAATTATTTCAGTGGGTTGGTTCCGCCGTTCTTGCAGTCGGCACATGGCTCGCTGTCGAAAAGGAGTCTTTTATAAGTCTACTGCGCATCGTGCCAAAGGAATACGTATCGGTAAGTTAAAAAAAATTAAATTTATAAAATATGACAAATGTATCACGTGAACATTGGATTTTAGTCTACTTGTCTTTATCTCATCTCTCATCAGCGTTTTTGAAGTGGCATTACCGTCATTTCTACAGTTTGTTTATAATGATGAGAACTAACAGTCTGCGGATGAATCCCAGCGTAATTCTCTATTTAAACGCGATTATTTACACAAATTTTAATTTCTTGTACTTTTATACCTAGGTTAACCGTAATAACATGTTGTAATGTGTTTGTAAATAAGCCAAGACTGAAAACAGTGAAGGTAATCAAAGAAAACGTGGTAATGTGCCTCGCAGCGTCGGGAAAATAAGTTTTATCGTGGGTTGCGATGTTGTGGTGCAAAGTGCATCGCATGGGCACGCAAACGATCGCCAAGTGCATTGAACCTGCACCATCGTGAACCTTTCACACCAGCAAAAAGTGTTTTGCCATTTATTAACGCTTTAAATTCATATTTTTGTCTGAATATTAACCTAATTCACATGATTATTTAAACTTAATTGTTTTAATATAAGTAGAATAGGATTTTATTTATTTATTTTTTTGTTTAGTTTTGATATTAATTCATCGAGTTGTGGCTTGTGTGGCATTTTGTTGTTCCATTTAGTTTCTGTGTTCCCCTTTAAGCTGACACGCTGCTGCTCGGTGCGCACCAACTTTATCATTATTTATTTATAGCCAATTGCGAATGTCATCCTCTCTGCGGTGGTGTCGGTTTGCTCTCTGGGCCGTTCGGGAGCCGGCGTAGCGTAATAAAATAAATTGAGCGATGAGTTTAGTTCGTTGATTGCATTTTAATAGCCTACGAATCGGATAATTGCGATGCAGAAAAAACCATCCAGCGAAGATTAATGCGACTAGTACTAAACAATTGAAGCATTCCTTCGGAATTTTATTTTATTTTACTTTATTTTGCTTTGTAAACTTTGTAGTTATCAGTAAAACACTGATTTGCAATTCCTAGCAAGAGCTTCTCAACATCTTTAAACTATTCTCAACTTTGCTGAGGTCTTCTTGCGGTTTCTATGCTCTTAAACTTTGCATCCGACGTTCGAGATCAAAGATAAACCGTGCTTGGGTCGTGTAGCGTGGAGAAAAAAATAAATTACACATGAAAATGATAGTGAGATACACGATGTGTGTGTAGATGTGGGCACTTGGAACAATGAAGGACGCGAAGGCTGTAATGAGGCAAAGGCGCAGTCATTGTAGGTTGTAGGTACTTACTGAATTCCTCCCGCCGGCCTGTGTCTGAGAGAGTAACAAAAAACTTTTAAGATGTGCATGAAAGCACAAAAGTACACACCAAAAGCTAGACTTTTAGCCTTGAACTTTTCTTGCTACACATATTAGATACAATTACGGATAATTGCAGATTTTGAATAGTACAAGAGGTAGTTAGGAATCGGTTTCAGTCGATTTTTATATTAAACCTTTTTTATTTTTACCTGAATACGACCAAAATGTAATCGGAGAGTTTTAGAGACTGGAGAAAGGGTTTACTGGGCTATTGAGACTCGAGAACCCGCAAAAAGTGGTGGGGGTAGGCGTAGAACTGATGCGTAGTAACTAGAACGAAATGTAAGTTTCAAGGTGACTTTAATCACAAAGGGTCTCTAGGAAATTGATAATTTAATAAATTTTTCATACAGTTTAATGAGTTTGTAACCCAGTTTAGAACTCAACTTCGAAATTACTCGCTTTCGGGGTTTTGTTCCAGTTTACTCGTTTTAAATAATAAATTAACTCATAATTCCTGATATTACTCCTCGGTTCAATCGTTTACTGTTTTTTTCTTCTTCTATTTTTTTAAATTATCTAAAAATATATTAAACTTCTAGTAATGTTTTTATTAGGGTCTCTCACTTTCTGAATTGCGGTGAAATGCAAAATGCAAATGGCAAGTGTGAAATGAATATTCAAACATGACTCGTGCAATATACTTGTATTTGTATTTGCATTAGAAGAAGAAAGTTGAGTTCGAAAGGCAAACAAAAACATTTTCATGCGTGCGGCAGCGGCATTTTAAAATTTTCAAAACATTGTCGAATGTTTTTGTTCGATAAATCTAGGTCTAACGGAAAAGTCAAGTAAAACATCGTTAATATTCCAGTTATTCCAGTGTTTTAAGTAGGTTGAAATTTAAATTTTCCTAAAACCGTGTTGTATTCAAGTGAGTTTCCGTTATGGTCTAGGAATTTCATTAAAAATGTATTACTTTGTTATTTAATTTGAAATAATAGCCAGGTAATAAGTACTTTATTATTTATTCTTTGCGAATATCTATATCTACAGCTCTAATTTATTGTTTTGTTACAAATGCAAGTTATTACATAAATTGTGCGTGTGCAACGAATTACTTGCAAAATAAAAACAAAACTGTAGCTTTCTATTTTTCAATAATATTAGTTTCAATATTAGTATTTAGACTAATCATCATAAAAATATGATGAACTCTGATCTTTTTTAACGCTTTTCGAGTGCAGTGTGAATGTTAATTTCATAGTTAACATTTTCTGTTATAATAACTAGCTTTAATGTCAAGATAGTTATTATTAACCTTTTATTTTGGTTCAAAATTCCTGTTCGTGCATTTTCTCCGATTATTAGGCTTCCTTTTTTTAATTGATAAAAATAATTAATTACTCGGAATGAATTGTCGTAGTTAACATCATTGTTTTAACTTGTTTACTGCCTCATTCTTACGTGATTTATGACTTTTTCATGTCGGTTTTGATTGTACTCAACACCTGCAACATTTTAACGACGAATACCATAAAATTAAATGTTGTACGTATCTTAAGTTTTTACGTAATTAAAGAATGGGGCAAAAAAACTAAAAATTGCACTTTTTGGCAATTTTACCGCAGTAGGGTGGTGGTTAAATTGATTCCCAGTCAGTCAAGGCACCGTATGATGGTAGCGGTAGAAGCGACTCGTGTTCAGAGCACCGTACGAGACTAGCGGTAGAAGTGACTTGGTTCTGGGCACCGTATGAGGGTAGCGGTAGAAGTGACTTGATTCAGAGCATCGTACGAGGGTAGCGGTAGAAGTGACTCGTGTTCGGGATACCGTACGAGGCTAGCGGTAGAAGTGACTTGATTCAGGACACCGTACAAGGGCAGCGGTAGAAGTGACTCGTGTTCAGGGCACCGTACGTAGATGAATGTATAACTGAGTCTCATTTATCACTTTTTATAATAAAATGTTTCATCTCTTAGATTTCCAATTTAACTAGCTTATCTATCTCATAGAGAATTTTCCGTAAATTAAGAATTTGCAATCCATTCTTCTCTCTATCTTTTAGTTTACGAGACACAGGCAATTAAAAACTTTCATATTCTTTGATCACTATTATTACACTTAAAAAGTTTTAACACCGCATTAACAAACAAATTAATTTTATCTTACATATTTTATCTTGTCATTACCATATCTTACAGTCGTATTTATTAAATATTTTTCTTTTTAAAAGAATAAATGCAGGAATAGTACGTGTTGCATTTGTTTGTGTGAATTAATGAATATGTAATGTGTACTTGCTTGTATTTGCTGCACGTGCACTCACAGCCAGTAAGCGATAGCTCCCTTGTGCGCCGCGCAGAGTTCACCAACCCTGAATGCATTTACAGGGCCCTAAACACCTTGAATTCATAACGAAATAAAGAAAAATACTCATGAATTCTATACTAACATCAATAATACTCAAATATACCCCTATACAATACCAACTCTTGATTTATTTTACTTATGGAAACACTCGGTATAAAAAGGGCCCCCATGATGCGTTGAACTTTTAGCGTCCAATCGATTACAAGCTCAAATCATATGCAATCACAAATTGATTTCGCTTCAACACTGAATATATATTTTCTTGCTTTTTGTTTCCTCATTAATTCCTAGTTTGTATCACGTGTTATCTTTTGTATTGTTTGTTGTTCGTGAGGTTTCTCACCGGTTATGTCATACAGTCACACCGATCGCCGAGATATAGCACACATAACGGTGTAATCTTGTCGCTTTGACATTTTAACATCAACAGAATTAACAATCGAATTGTTTTTACAGTTTTTTTTTCTTCTGTAAATTCAAATTAGTTAAGTGGTAGTTAGGTTTATTATTTTTAAAATTACGCGTGCGTGCAATGTGAAAATACGAAATACAAAATAAGAAATGAGAAATGAGAAAACGTGAAAAATAAAAACATAAACTGCAGTTAAAGTACGAGTAAGTTCTCCTCTCTACGCTGAGTATGAAGCGAATTGTTAACACCGCGTACTTGGCACGTTAGCACGTTTTGAAGAAGATGAAAGATGTGAATTGCTGTAAATTCTCAAGTGATGGAAATGTACTCGTCGGTAATAACGGATAATTGTTTGTTTTTTTTACAAAGTGTTAGTTTTCAATCGGAGGAAATTCTCAGGATTCTTTAATTTATGGGAATATTATGCCTTATTTCTTTTATCTTACTTGTTTATCAACGTGTTTATCATTGATGAAAAACACTTGTGCTTCGTTTATAGCAATTGAACAATTTGTGAGCGCAATTTTACCAAACCCACGCAGTTCAACGTCTTGAACTTGCGATTTAAACATTTCAACACGCATTCTTTCATTTGTACTAATTTATTTATTACTTTAACATGAATTAAATTAAATTCATTTCAATATTTTTGTCTTTAGGACTTCACACAACCTGCAGTCATTGAACAAACATCATATTTACTCATAGCCGTCGGCGGCTTTATGTTCCTCATCAGTTTTCTCGGCTACTGCGGTGCACTGCGAGAATCTCCATGTTTACTCACCTGCGTAAGTTAAATATTGACAAATATTTTGCATATGTTTATAAACATATTTATTCTAGTATGGAATTTGTCTGTTGTGTATCCTGGTGCTGGAAATTGCGGCTGTTTCGCTTGCCGTAGTTTATAAAAACGTCGCTGTTGATGAAACTCGCGGATTTCTGAAAGCCACTTTGTCGAATTACTATGCATCGGGTAATAAGACTGATGCCGTGACTGTCATGTGGAATCAACTGCAAGCCGGCCTGCAATGTTGCGGAGTTGACGACTATCAGGACTTTGCGAATACCGCATGGATACGCGAAACTAACAAAGTTATTCCGGAGTCCTGCTGTGTCCTGGAAGATTACCTCACGTTGAAACCTCTGTCTCCGACGTGCATGTCATCACCAAGTGAAGCTAATTCATATTATAAGAATGTAAGTTTATTTTTATTCCAAAATATCAATAACATTTAATTATTTAATTTTTATTTTATTTTAAGGGTTGTTTTATGGCCGTTATGGGTTTGATAATGACCCATATGAACATCATCATCATCGTTGGTATTGGCCTGGCTGTAATGGAATTAATCTGCATGTTCCTCGCGTTTTGCCTCTGCCAGACGATCAAAAGTTATCTCAAGTGTTAGGAATTTCCTTAGAATTTAAGTATCTGTTGAGGGACAGTCCGTACGAAACCAAACACAGTAGGTGACCATTATAATACTCTTTTTTATGGACGTAAACGCGAATTTATTAGCCCAAACAGTGCGCACGAGGCACGACGAACAAGAAAATATCTAGTCGTTTAAGAATTCTAACAAATACTGCATGTTTCAATTGTTTTTCACACTGGAATTTATTATATTATTACAATTAGCAGCATGTATGGGAATGATGATGAGTATGAGTGTTTTTGTTTGATTGATTGATTGATTGATTGAATGATTGGATGAATCACATAGTGAATATGTGTCTGTGGAATTGATGCAAAAGTTTCTATTTGAGCCGATGTGCCAATGACGTTTTTGTATAATAGTTGTAATAGTGTAAATGAGATTTGACCAAAATTTGATGCGTAGATGTTGTTTTTTTCATATCGCGTGCTCGCGTTGCACGCCACTCGTATTTACGATTAAGATTTAATGTAATTAGTAATATTTATGACATTTTTTTCAAAAATAAACAATGTTTATTGCAAATTAACACATTTACAAGTAATTTTAAGTGAAAAATGCGTTTTTAGTCATAATTCATCTTTGAAATCATTTTTACTTGTTTTACCAGTTGATTTTTACTTTAAAAATGATCTGAAATGCAAATGACGATGATAACAAGGAAAATAACAACTAGAAACATGATTATGTTGATGTACAAGTACCGCCCTCATGATAATGACTGAAAAATTGGAGGAATTGCTAGGATTTTGAACCATCCGCCATGTTGGGAAGGAATACTGACGTTGACTGAGGTAATAACCCAAAACTATTCTGCTTTATACTAAACATTGCTTTGTTACCTTGAATAGGTCACATTTTATTAACTTTTTATAATATTTTACAAATGTTGTATTTATTTTTATGTCCTGCTTAAAATATTTATTGAATGTGTGATAATAGGCGTCTTAATTGCTTTTTAACTTTGTGTTTTGTAGATGATCGAAAATGTCCTTGATTGGTATGAGTTTCACACAAATCAAAACGGCGGCAAGGATTATAAGAGCTAGAAATGAAATAACATCAATGTATAAATACTGCCACCATGGTAAGGTCCTTGCACGAAGATGAAGAGCGCCATTGTTACGTATTACGTACTCTATCCACCAGACAGCTCTGTCTTTGGGTTTGAGTGGTTGATCTTGCAAAATCCGTGAGTATTTATCAAGATTCTTTAATATTTCTTTGTCTGCAAGGACTTTATTGATTGTTTGTTTTAATTTCCTTGGTGTTACTGTATTAATATCCAAACGCGCGCCTAAATGTAATTGTTCAATGCGGTTTGCGTTTGGGTGTTGATCAGCAACAAACGGGAGCACTATTGTTGGTTTCTTTAAAACTATCGCTTCCTCTAAAGATTGAATTCCTCCTTGGGTGATGAATAATTTTACATTTTTGTGTTCTACAAAAGAAAACTTAGTAAAAAACGCAAGAGACATGAAATTTTTACTTACCTAATACTTTAGGTTGTGGCAGCCATTTTGTAATATAAACATTTCCTGTTTTGTTTATAGATTTCAACATATCCGCTGACAATGGTTCTGATTTCCATAGGAATTTGTATGGTAATGATGAGAATATCTCTGTCAATTTCCAGACGGTGTTTGCAGACATGCTTTTTGTTTGAATGTAAGTTCCAAAACTAATATAGATGACTCCCTCGTGAGATTGGTCCAGAAACTGTTGTAATTCCCGTGGCATTCTTTGTGTTTTAGCTTCTTCCAAGAACATCCCACCGCCCATGGGAATAACAGCTGGAGAAAATGGTCGCACTTCCTGTAACGCCATATTGACGTTTGTGAACGTCAAGTCAAACTGTTGCAAAGCATCTTCTATTGCCAGTGCATCCGATCCGAAGAATTTCTTTGAAACAGCGTCGATTCTTGGAAAGTATGAAGGAATATGCCAGTATTCATACGCCCAGGTTACAAACGACTTCAATCTGTGCAGGAATCCTGGTTCTGTCTGAATTTCCCTGAAGAATGAATACAGTAACTCGTGGGATGGACTTCCGGTTCGTTCGTAGTAATAATTCAACATGTCCATTGGACTCACGAGGATCAGCGGAGTATTGAAGCGTTTCTTGAACGAGAACATAACCGGACACGTAAATTCAACAATTACTAAATCAAAGTGTTCCTTTGGGTTGTGAATTAATTGTTGCACTTTAGGACTTGATAATTGCGCTTCCGCCATTGCAAGCATTAGCTCGTAATACCCTTCGATTTGATCAATATAATCAGTTGTGTATCCTGGACGTGGTAGCATTTTAGTAATGAAACTAATGTCGATTTGTTTGATGTTTGTGAGATTTCCTGGCATTGGTGCAGCAGTGATGAGAACAATTTCATGACCGCGATTTGCTAGTTCTCGCCACACGGGGCGGTAAAAATATTGATGACTGAAATACGGCATGGGGGTGATGGCTAAAATGCGCGAGGCATCCGCCATGTTTGCAATTGTTGCGAAACATGTGAAAATTGTTAGAAAACAAAGGGAAATGTTTACTTTGTGTGAAAACATGTTGACTGAATTAAATGTGTTGATGTCTATGGTTTATATATGGTTCTAGCAGGGTTTGCCCTTAAATATTAGGTCAGATTTAAGTGTTTGCCGCGAAATTGTTGTTAACATTTTAATTTTTTGTTGAAGGTTTAACAAAATGTGTTTAGTAACGCAGAGTCAATATCAAATTACTTTAATTGTTTTTAACTTTGGAAATATTGCTCATTTTATTTTACGTTTATAATAGTAATATGTATGTAAATTGTGTCGTTAAGTCTTAAACCTTCAGTGCGCATATTATATGTGGTATTTTATTCCTGTGTAGTGTTTTAAGGTCCTCCGAATTAAATTTAAACATAACATAATATTTCTTTTTGTCGTTGGTGGCGTGTGCGCCGCATGCGCGCGCATATATTGTAGTGGCCTTGTGCACAGCGCGCTCAGCACGATCAGTCTGTTCGCGGCGTTAGTTGAGTGTGTTCCGGTGGTGCGTACGCAGTTCTACGTTTCTCTGTTTACTTGTGTGGTGAAGTGCCGTCTACCATCTTCCAATCGGTAAGATTTGCTATTTAATTTCTTATGCACTTGCATAAATGACGTTGACATTAATTTAAAGTTCTTATAATAAATGTAATTGATTTAGTTTTACGTTCTAAGCGTTTGTCAGTATTCAATATAAACATTCCGCTTTAAAAACATTGTAAATGTATATGGACCGGTGCATCTTATCGGTCTTTCTTTTAGAAATACTGGTTGCTTATCGCGTTCGCCGGGTGAAATGCATCGTGCACACACATTTCGACAACATATATCGTGTTGTGATGCCTGAATTTAACATTCTTTTATTTTGCATTTATATGACATGTTTTAACTTTTATTATTTTATTATAGGAATTGGAGAAACACCAGTGAGGGCCAGTGACGATCCATGAGGTACAATACATAGGGTGACATAGGCACATGGGTGAGATTATATTTTAATTCTTCATTTCATGGGCATACTTCAGTTTCGCGTTATTGTAATTGTCGTATTCCGGTTTGAATTACTTTAAATTTAATACATTGGCCACCTGGCAAATGCTTCTTTCTACCGATTTTCTGATACATTTAACAAGTAATTTTTAATTTTAAATTAAATTAAAACAATATATGTGCTTGATGTTTGATATTTACGCTTAAATTCTCCTTCGGAATAATTTTCCCAGATGCGGAATTTAATTCTGCATCTCCCTGTATAGAAATTTATTTCAAGAAAATTCCGTAACGCGAGTTATATTGATAGTTGTGTGTATACGCACTAGTACTCGTTGCGCTAGGAATTGTAGTTTTTTTTTTGTTATAACACGCAAACGCGGTGTCACAATAAGTTTGGAAAAATAAACGTTCTTTGTAGTTGATTAATATTTTCAAAGGTTAGATGGCGCTACGATGTACGGTTTTGCATTAAATATTGCTTGTTGGTGGTAGTGAGTGCACACCGTGTCCGTGTGGATCACGCGATTTCGCGCAAGAGATAAGTTTGTTTACCTGCAGGTATCGAATCTTTATTTCGTGGAATCAAAACACACCGTTGTTGTTTATTATATCAGCATCGTAAATTTAAGCAAATATTCCTCAATTCTTTCATGAATATAACTAACAATTTTATTTTCATTCTAATACATTTTTATTATCAGCAGATGGATAATGTGTTACCTGGTAAACGAGAAACGATGCATGTTCAAATTAAATATCCCTTAAATATTTAATGTAAAATCGGGCAATCTGTCCTTAGAAGAAATCAGAATTACTCATATCGAATTTTAATTTTTTATTACCTGTACTAATCTAAATTTCGGAACTACTGTATCATTTGTAGATGGCAATAGCATGGACTAAAAATTGTAAAATAAACTTGTATTGTTTCTTTCTATATTTATCAGCAAGCGTGAACCTTCGACACAAAAATTGTGTTTGTTTGAACACAATATACACTTTCTTATCGCATTGCCGTGTGTCGTCGTTGTCAGCACCTCACGCCGCACGTTGCTGCAACTTAGTTCGGCATCGACGCGCCGGCCTTGCGCACCTCTTGCTTTCTTATCATGAACTGCCTCGTCGTTGCTTATGCGGTTTGCGGCCAGTTTCGTGTCGGTCTCTGGTTGATTCACACGTGTTTTGTGCGACTCGTTTTGTTTATCCGTACTTCTACTTTCCAATTCGTATTATATTCGATCATCAATGGATTATTTAATTTTACGAGTAACTTTAGTACAGTTATTTATTATTTGCGCGTAAGTGTATCGCTGCCATGTTGATTTATTCATCATTTGAATGACCCATCGTGCTGCTGTAAGTAACTTTTAACTAAACAGCACAGATTGTTTGTTTTTCTCCGCTGTGTGAATACAATATTACTTATGTTTTCTTTTTTTATTCACGGTATTTGCCGTGCCTTGGAGTCTGATGAGTTCTGCATTGGTAAGTTTATATTCAATGTCAATTATATATTTCGTTTTATTTTCTGCGTCGACCATTACTTTGCATTTACGCGTTTTTTTTTGTCACGGTCCACCGCCCTCTACTAAAGCGTGAGCATTAAATAATTTAATTTGTTTTATTATTGGGAGTAACGTCTTACAAACTAGGCCGTGGGTGTTTGAAAACAAACATGTGAAACGCAGCTTATCTGATAGAGAATCTTCCAATCTATCATAATCAGCAATTCGTTGGTTGCTATCGCTTTTAGTTCAAGAGATATGAATTTTTGAAAATCGTCGAAAAAAAGTATCAAGCACCCCCCCTTGGCAATTTTTTCTTAAGAATGAAAATTTCATCTCTCAGATTTCCGTTTTAACTATCCTATCTGATAGAGATTAGTCCGTAGATTAAGACGCTGCGATCAGATCTTAATTATCTCTTTTAGTTTACGAGATATTCGCGCTTGAATAAAATCGTCAAAAATTGCAAAATGTCACTTTTTAGCACTTTTAGTCGCGTTTTTCGACCTTTTACTGTAGGAAATATAATTATTTTATATTTTTATCTGATAGACAATTTTCCAATCTTTCATAATCAACAATTCGTTGGTAGATATCTCTTTTAGTTTAAGAGATATGAATTTTTGAAAATCGTCGAAAAAAAGTATCAAGCACCCCCCCTTGGCAATTTTTTCTTAAGAATGAAAATTTCATCTCTCAGATTTCCGTTTTAACTATCCGATCTGATAGAGATTAGTCCGTAGATTAAGACGCTGCGATCAGATCTTAATTATCTCTTTTAGTTTACGAGATATTCGCGTTTGAATAAAATCGTCAAAAATTGCAAAATGTCACTTTTTAGCACTTTTAGTCGCGTTTTTAGACCTTTTACTGTAGGAAATGTAATTGTTTTATATTTTTATCTGATAGACAATCTTCCAATCTTTCATAATCAACAATTCGTTGGTCGCTATCACTTTTAGTTGAGGAGATATTAATTATCAAAAATCGTCGAAAAAAAGTATCAAGCACCCCCCCTTGGCAATTTTTTCTTAAGAATGAAAATTTCATCTCTCAGATTTCCGTTTTAACTATCCTATCTGATAGAGATTAGTCCGTAGATTAAGACGCTGCGATCAGATCTTAATTATCTCTTTTAGTTTACGAGATATTCGCGTTTGAATAAAATCGTCAAAAATTGCAAAATGTCACTTTTTAGCACTTTTAGTCGCTTTTTTCGACCTTTTACTGTAGGAAATGTAATTGTTTTATATTTTTATCTGATAGACAATCTTCCAATCTTTCATAATCAACAATTCGTTGGTCGCTATCACTTTTAGTTGAGGAGATATTAATTATCAAAAATCGTCGAAAAAAAGTATCAAGCACCCCCCCTTGGCAATTTTTTCTTAAGAATGAAAATTTCATCTCTCAGATTTCCGTTTTAACTATCCTATCTGATAGAGATTAGTCCGTAGATTAAGACGCTGCGATCAGATCTTAATTATCTCTTTTAGTTTACGAGATATTCGCGATTGAATAAAATGGGCAAAAATTGCAAATTGTCACTTTTTAGCACTTTAAGTCGCTTTTTTCGACCTTTTACTGTAGGAAATGTAATTGTTTTATATTTTTATCTGATAGACAATTTTCCAATCTTTCATAATCAACAATTCGTTGGTAGATATCTCTTTTAGTTTAAGAGATATGAATTTTTGAAAATCGTCGAAAAAAAGTATCAAGCACCCCACCTTGGCAATTTTTTCTTAAGGCTTAAAATTTCATCTCTCAGATTTCCCTTTTAACTATCCTATCTGATAGAGATTAGTCCGTAGATTAAGACGCTGCGATCAGATCTTGCAGAATTTAATTCCGCATCTCCCTGTATTTAAATATATTGCGAGAAAATTCCGTAACGCGAGTTATATCGAAAGTTGTGTGCATACGCACTTGTACTCGTTGCGCTAGGAATTATTGTTTTAATGCTATAACACGCGAACGCGGTGTCAAAATTAGATTGAAATAATTTTCCCAAATGCAGAATTTAATGCCGCATCTCCCTGTATTTAAATATATTGCGAGAAAATTCCGTAACACGAGTTATATCGAAAGTTGTGTGCATAAAAACTTGTACTCGTTGCGCTAGGAATTATAGTTTTAATGCTATAACACGCGAACGCGGTGTCAAAATTAGATTGAAATAATTTTCCCAAATGCAGAATTTAATTCCGCATCTCCCTGTATTTAAATATATTGCGAGAAAATTTCGTAACGCGAGTTATATCGAAAGTTGTGTGCATACGCACTTGTACTCGTTGCGCTAGGAATTATTGTTTTAATGCTATAACACGCGAACGCGGTGTCAAAATTAGATTGAAATAATTTTCCCAAATGCAGAATTTAATTCCGCATCTCCCTGTATTTAAATATATTGCGAGAAAATTCCGTAACGCGAGTTATATCGAAAGTTGTGTGCATACGCACTTGTACTCGTTGCGCTAGGAATTATAGTTTTAATGCTATAACACGCGAACGCGGTGTCAAAATTAGATTGAAATAATTTTCCCAAATGCAGAATTTAATTCCGCATCTCCCTGTATTTAAATATATTGCGAGAAAATTTCGTAACGCGAGTTATATCGAAAGTTGTGTGCATACGCACTTGTACTCGTTGCGCTAGGAATTATTGTTTTAATGCTATAACACGCGAACGCGGTGTCAAAATTAGATTGAAATAATTTTCCCAAATGCAGAATTTAATTCCGCATCTCCCTGTATTTAAATATATTGCGAGAAAATTTCGTAACGCGAGTTATATCGAAAGTTGTGTGCATACGCACTTGTACTCGTTGCGCTAGGAATTATTGTTTTAATGCTATAACACGCGAACGCGGTGTCAAAATTAGATTGAAATAATTTTCCCAAATGCAGAATTTAATTCCGCATCTCCCTGTATTTAAATATATTGCGAGAAAATTTCGTAACGCGAGTTATATCGAAAGTTGTGTGCATACGCACTTGTACTCGTTGCGCTAGGAATTATTGTTTTAATGCTATAACACGCGAACGCGGTGTCAAAATTAGATTGAAATAATTTTCCCAAATGCAGAATTTAATTCCGCATCTCCCTGTATTTAAATATATTGCGAGAAAATTTCGTAACGCGAGTTATATCGAAAGTTGTGTGCATACGCACTTGTACTCGTTGCGCTAGGAATTATTGTTTTAATGCTATAACACGCGAACGCGGTGTCAAAATTAGATTGAAATAATTTTCCCAAATGCAGAATTTAATTCCGCATCTCCCTGTATTTAAATATATTGCGAGAAAATTCCGTAACGCGAGTTATATCGAAAGTTGTGTGCATACGCACTTGTACTCGTTGCGCTAGGAATTGTAGTTTTAATGCTATAACACGCGAACGCGGTGTCAAAATTAGATTGAAATAATTTTCCCAAATGCAGAATTTAATTCCGCATCTCCCTGTATTTAAATATATTGCGAGAAAATTTCGTAACGCGAGTTATATCGAAAGTTGTGTGCATACGCACTTGTACTCGTTGCGCTAGGAATTATTGTTTTAATGCTATAACACGCGAACGCGGTGTCAAAATTAGATTGAAATAATTTTCCCAAATGCAGAATTTAATTCCGCATCTCCCTGTATTTAAATATATTGCGGGAAAATTCCGTAATGCGAGTTATATCGAAAGTTGTGTGCATACGCACTTGTACTCGTTGCGCTAGGAATTGTAGTTTTAATGCTATAACACGCGAACGCGGTGTCAAAATTAGATTGAAATAATTTTCCCAAATGCAGAATTTAATTCCGCATCTCCCTGTATTTAAATATATTGCGAGAAAATTTCGTAACGCGAGTTATATCGAAAGTTGTGTGCATACGCACTTGTACTCGTTGCGCTAGGAATTATTGTTTTAATGCTATAACACGCGAACGCGGTGTCACAATTAGATTGAAATAATTTTCCCAAATGCAGAATTTAATTCCGCATCTCCCTGTATTTAAATATATTGCGGGAAAATTCCGTAATGCGAGTTATATCGAAAGTTGTGTGCATACGCACTTATACTCGCTGCGCTTGGAATTGTAGTTTAGTCACTTTTACCGTCACCCTCGTCACGTGATTGAAGATTATAAAACTTCCAAAAATTCTTTATAGAACAGGATAATGAAATATATTAATTACGTGAAGTAAAAGTTCAAGAATAGTTGTTAAAGGAGTTAATATAAGAGATTTGCCTTGTTTTTCCCAGATTTTTCAGTTGCGATTATCTCCTAAACTGCCTCTTCATATAGACTTCATTCTATTCCGGATTGTTGAGTACATTGTTTATGTGAATAAGAGGGTACGTTCAGAATATAATATCTTTCCATTGTATTGAACTGTATCCATAACATGAATAGTTTATACTCGTGGTTCGCACTCTTGGCTCTTATCGGTGTTAGTGCACAAACAACTTGTTTTTATTCCGTCGCAGCGCATTCAATGCGCTCAGCAGTGTTTGTTCCATTTCTTACTTAGTTGATCGTGCGCTGCGGCGTAGTGTGCACGCGTTTACTTGCGCGTCGGTCTTCATGGCGACTTGTAGCGTTTCTTGTGATTTTAAGTCGTTACTTGAATTATAATCAGCCACCAAAGATAAGATTTAGAATTAACAGACAAGTGCGGCCTATAGTTAATGAGTTATCGCGCGTGGAACCAAGAATGTCGTTGTTTTACAACGTACGCACCACGTGTTTTCCGTCGGCCGTCGGATATCTTCCGTCGGCTAAGAAATACTTAGGCTTGTTTCGTGTATCCATTTAATTATTAATTTGAATGAACATCATTTGTGCATCGTATGGAATATTTCATCTGCGAAAACGTAAAAAAGTATGTAACATAAAAACTATATTCTATTACAATTACCAACCTTATAAGGAAAAACGATCAGAAAAATTAGTTGACACTTTAATACATAGCATAGTCGTCACATGGTTGCATATAATAACCTTTGTAATACAAGTATTGGAATATTGTCGCGTTCCGTCGACTTTTTGGTGTTCATAATTCTGTCTGTGTTAATTTGTGTGTTTAAGAGATCTGAATTTAGTATTTCTTTAAAATGTGTTTAATAAATTTATAATTATGAGTAACTGTATTATTTATTATGTTTCTATTCACGTACTTATCACTTCCCCTAGATAAACAGTAGAAAACTTTTGTTTTTGATTTGGTATCACCCTGTATATAAATTTTTCTTAATGCTCGGCGAAAAATGAGCATAAGTATATTGTTTTGGGGTCGCTTTTTTTTCAAGTGAAGATTTTGTTTTGGCAACACCCTGTATGTAAATTTTCCTTTATGCCCAGTCAAAAATTGGCAATCTTTATGTTTTTGGGGTGATTTTCTTTTTTAATTGAAGATTTTCTGTTGATAACACCCTGTATATAATTTTCCACTGATGTCATACGAAAGCAGGGCGCAATTTGCTATTTTCTGGTGTTATCTGTTGTAATTTTGCAGCCGTTAGCGTAGCGTGGCTATGCAGGTCATAAACATGTTTTAAAATGACGCCACGTGTTTTGTAGGTATTGAAATTGCAAATTCTAAAGTTATATTGTACCTATTTAGTTTGTTAATAAAGAAATGTTAAAGGCAATGGCTGTGTCTTATGACTTGTGCACCCCATCCTTCTATCATTTCAGGTACAGGTCACAACTTGTAAAGTATTTCTCAGTGTTATGGTCCGCTTTGAGAGCGGCGGCACTAAGAAATATGTCTACAAGTCCTCAAGGAGTTCTCCCACTCGGGGGATGATCCCCACTATAAAAATTGTTATGGTATCCTGTATGATTTGTGTACTCCATCTTTCATTTCAGCTACAGGTCAGAACCTGTAAGAATATTTTTAAGTGTTTAAGTGTTTTAAGTGTCTCTCTTGAGGCGACTTAAATATTAGAAATATTTTTACAAGTCCTCAAAAGGATGTCCTTATAAGGAGTTCCCTCTCTCTGGGGATGATCCCCCACCATAAAAATTGTTGATATGCCTGATAATTCCGGGGATGAAGCGCAGAGACATCGTAGCTGTAGGATGGGCCGGGAGCAATGGATGGATAGAAGCAGCGGGCGATCGACCAGAGCGCCGGAGGCGCTCTGGGAGATCGACCGTAGACTGTCTTATAACGACACGTGCCAAAAAATTTAAAAATTCTGTCACCCCTATTCTCATTTCTTCCTGTACTCTCTCTTCTTACTTCTCTCCTATACTCACTCTCTCTCCTGCTGCTGCTGCTACTGCTCTCTATTTGCACCTCCACCATCTCTTCTACTTATTCTTACTGTTGCTTCGTCGTACTTTGCTTTTCAAGTTATTTCTAACATTTGAATCTTGAATTTTTGTGGTATGCAACCCACATTTCGTATATTTCTTATTATTTAATAAAATTGCCTTCTACAATTGAGATTCGATCCATGAACCTCCAGCATGCTAGCATATGCACATGCCACCTGAGCCATAACGCTCACTTATCAAACTCTATTCGTTTCAGGTATAAATGTTGTTGTTTTTGTCACCTTTTTAAAAACAACATCATTTATATATCACTTATATGCATTTCAAACACAGGTAATCAAATATGATCTTTAAATCTAATTCTGAAAACGACAATAGGAACATTGATAGATAACTGCTTCAAATTATACTATTAAATTATATTTTATTCAAACTCATATAATCAAGATAGTACATACACAAATTTAATTCTGTTACATGAAATTTAAGTACATGTGTTCAACGTGACTCACGAAAGTGACTTAAGTTACAAGTTACACTTACTTGAATGTTTAATCTTCACAAACTGGTACGAAATGAATTATTTAATAAATGCACAAAAATATATAAATCCAGAAAGAATTCTTCGTGTCGACGAGAGACATACTTCCACGCTCGATAACTTATTAATTCCGCATCGTATACATCTCAAAATGCTAAATTTTATTCCTGTCACGGAGAACAGTGTCCAGTTTAATAATTTAATATCATTACGCAAATAAAACCACTGGGACGGACTTCTTAACCGACGTAAGATATCCATCGGCCGACGGCAAAAACGTGCGATCATTGTACAACTACAAAATTCTGGCTTTCACGCGCGATTAATCATTAACTGCACGCCGCACTAGTCTGTTAATTCTAAATGTTATCTTTGCTGTTCGATTCTAATTCAACTACCGACTTAAAATCACAAGAAACGCGCAAACTAGTTACGAAGATCGACTTGTGAACTAAACACGTGTGAACCGAACAACATGGCACGATCGACTAAACAAGGAAGGGATATAGCAGGCTACGGTAACGGAGCAGATATGGAAATGATAAGAATTTCAATACTCACAATTGAATGCGGGCACGATTGTATACGTTCAACTCCTTGACATCTAAAAACAAACAAACACAAATCAGATGCGGTTGTGACTTTAATTCATATTTAATTCGCTAAATTAACTAAAATTTAATAGCACCTAAATATAAAGATAACAAAAATAAGATCTAATCTGGTATTAATATATTACTTATTACGTAAATTTTCTCATCACAATAGTCTTCAAATTCTGTACCCACAAAAGTAATATCCGACTGATGAAACTCACAAGAAGACACAAAATGTGCGCATTTACGAAAATTACAAACACAATTAATAATAACTCAATTGTCATTAACTGCAGTCGATTGCCAATTGAATATTGCACTTCAAAAACACGCGATGTAATACTACGGAGACGCCCTAACTGCACAACTAACACTGCCGGAGCCAAGGACAGATGACAATGTTGACGGCGTAAACAAAGCAAAGTGCGTAGCTCATGCGTACATGATGGATTATACCGGTAGGTGCGTTTAAGTGCATTCGCAACAAACGCGCAGGTGGAATTCCTGCAACAAACAATTACCACCTAACGGAGAATTTAATTTCGCGAATTGCATTTGGCAGTTTACCTGGGATCAAAACTAAACTAAGATGCAGCAACATGCGGCGTGAGGTGCTGACATCGACGACACACGGCAATGCGATAAGAAAGTGTATATTGTGTTCCAACAAACACAATGCTTTATAGTCCATGCTATTGCGATCTATAAATGATACAGTAATTCCGAAATTTAGATTAGTACAGGTAATAAAAAATTAAAATTTGATGGAGTAATTCTGATTTCTTCTGCGGACAGATTGCCAGATTTTACATTAAATATTTAAGTGATATTTAATTTGAACATGCATCGTTTCTCGTTTACCAGGTAACACATTAGTTCGTAATCATCTGCTGATAATAAAAATGTATTAGAATTAAAATAAAATTGTTAGTTAGATTCATGAAAGAATTGCAGAATATTTACTTAGATTTACGATGCTAATATAAGAAACAGCAACGGTGTGTTTTGATTTCACGAAATAAAGATTCGATACCTGCAGGTAAACAAACTTATCTCTTGCGCGAAATAGCGTGATCCACACGGACACGGTGTGCACTCACTACCACCATCAAGCAATATTTAATGCAGAACCGTACATCGTAGCGCCATCTAACCTTTGAAAATATTTAAAAACACATTTATCAAATATACAACAAGGTTGATATTGCAATGAAATTGAAAACAAGGAAACAAACCAGTATTTAATAAATGATTCATTTAATTTTTTTGGACAATATCCAATCAGCGTATCAGGTAGAGCTAAGTTGTTTCGTTTAAACCCGAAAAAATACAAACAATTCACGAGAAAAGGTGACAAAAATAACCATTTTATTCAAATTTTCGCGGGTTGCACACTGAATTCCTACAACAAACAAATACCACCCGACAGAGAATTTAATTCCGCATCTCTAGACGCCGCGCTGAACCTAGTGAGCAGCCTAGATCGCGCGCAAACACGAAAAAATACAAACATTTCACGAGAAAGGGTGACAAAAATCACCCTTTTATGCAAATTTTCGCGGGTTGCAGGTCGAATTCCTGCAACAAACAAATACCACCCGACGGAGAATTTAATTCCGCATCTCTAGACGCCGCGCTGGCGATAGTGAGCCGATTAGATCGCGTGCAAACACGAAAAAATACAAACATTTCACGAGAAAGGGTGACAAAAATAACCGTTTTATGCAAATTTTCGCTGGTTGTCGACCGAATTCCTGCAACAAACAAATACCACCCGACGGAGAATTTAATTCCGCATCTCTAGACGCCGCGCTGACGATAGTGAGCCGCCTAGATCGCGCGCAAACACGAAAAAATACAAACATTTCACGAGAAAGGGTGACAAAAATCACCCTTTTATGCAAATTTTCGCTGGTTGTCGACCGAATTCCGGCAACAAAAAAATACCACCCGACGGAGAATTTAATTCCGCATCTCTAGACGCCGCGCTGACGATAGTGAGCCACCTAGATCGCACGCAAACCAGAGAAAATACAAACATTTCACGAGAAAGGGTGACAAAAATTACCCTTTTATTTAAATTTTCGCGGGTTCCTACGGTGCCCTGAACACGAGTCACTTTTACCGCTAGCCCCGTGAGGTGCCCTCACTTCTACCGCTAACAAATACCAGAGCGTATGAATTAAATGAAATTAAATATAAACAATAATTGAAGTAAACAAAAAGAATGAATACGTGCACCTTAACTTTCATTCCCGCGGTGCATGCAGATCGCTGGAACAATGACAAGAAGGACGCCACTGCTGGTAGCCAAATCAATAATGTGTAATGTCCTCCAATAAAAGATGATCCTCGGGCAAATATTTGGCGCCGAATTCACCAAGAATTAAAATTAAATCGCATTTAAATGCACCGGTTTAAGAGTGTTGCAACCGCACGCAAATTGATAAACATGATCACAACAATAACAAGCGTAAGCAAAGTCGACTTAACTAGACACGTATCAATAATAATAGTTTGTAATAATAAATAATAATAAGTAGTAATATTAAATGTAGTAGATGGACGATCGAACTGAACACGATTTACCAAATTACAAACTCGAAATTAAAAAGATAACAGCCGCGAAAAACACGCTCAGCCCGTGGAACAACCGGCACAAAACTGCGCTAAGCACAGCGCGCAAGCAGCGGCGGACGCGCCAACACGCGATAACACTGTGCGCGCGCCGCAATACAACGCGCACTATTTGCAACAATCAAGGCCGCATGCAAGATAGCAAACTCAGAGAATAAGACTAGAAAACATGTTTAGAGAAATTCCGCGTGCGAAATCGCATTAAAAAGTTTCAAAACAATCGGCAAAAAATCACTTGGATCATATATATAACATTGATAGTGAACAATGTTCTATCCTATTCTAGCACAATGAAAACTCTAATCTATCTATCTCGCTTCCACGCACAACAGCTGTACTCCGTACACTATCCACATGCTTTAAATAAGTCAAAATTAAGGAAATACCATAGGTATTGTCACATTCACATATTGACACTATATGATGCTTTGGGACAGTACTAAATATATAAAAATGTATTGTAATACAAAACTACAGAAATGCCATAAGTATTGTCGCATACGCTTATTGAAACTATATGGCCACGTGCGACAATACAAATAATAAACAAATAAATTATGTTACGAATGACAGCCCCAAGGCCAACGATGCAAAGCGGATGTTAAAACAATATATCTAGCGACATCTGTTTGTGCAAGATTCAAATGCATAACATAATATTGTATACCATATGTCCCAAGATTATTCTGAGACATAAATATAATTTAATTGCTAATATGCAACTCTAAAATGTGAAAATTTGTCTAACAGCTGAAAACTAACTCTCCATAGAAAATAATCATAACACCGTGCATTAATTAATAAACCAATGTAAATTTACCAACTGACCATACTGTAACTCCGTATTATTTACGTCGTGAGTACAGCTGTCAGTCTGCACTACAAAGTTGAGTGTTTTGCAGGTTCACAAAAGACAAGAAAACCCCAATTTTCCATCAGTCTACATCGCGCCCGAAAATTATAATGTAAATATTCAGCGATAACCCAGCACCCACTAACATGTCACTCAACTAATACGCGTTAAATGTGTAAGTCGAATGATCTAAAATACAAGATATTCCACCATAATTCCATGATTTAGTAATTGTGCAATACAATAACACACTACCTTATCAGTCAGATGTCTTCAAATCGGCGTGAGGAGGCCAACATGAATCCGATGCTCATCAAGGTGGCGATCGGCGTGGGAGTCGCCGTCGTGAGCGGCATCGCCGCAATGTTCTTCTACAACCGCCAGCAGGAGCGCGAGGAGCCATACCGAACCGACTACACGCAGGACTCGCGCACATGCAGCATTTGCCTGGACACGCTCGTCAACAAACAAGTGCGCATCCTCAACTGCGGACATATTTATCATGAGCACTGCATCAGCAGTTGGGCGCACCAGAAAAACTTCTGCCCGCTGTGCCGCAGAACTTTATAGACAAAGTCAACAGAATCAAGAAAGAATAAAAAAAAACAGTCAAAGCTTATGTTGATAATAAACGTTAAAATCACACATGTTAGGGAGATGATATTGAAGCGCTTTTTCCTTTAACTTGTACTCTATGATTGTTAAAATAATCTATTTTCTATTATAATGACATAATTGAATTAATTTTAGTAATAAATATATGCAAAAAATGTAATAAAGCTGAATTTTGCCTGTTTCTCTCATTGTTTAACAAAAATATAGACTATTTCGACCGCCTGCAACAGTATGTACACAATTTACACCCTCCGACGCCAGAGAAACATGTGGAAGATTGTTTTGTTTTGTTTTATTTTAGTTGGTTACCTACCGCTAGCTGCAATACCGTTCGGCATCATCCAAGTACCTGCGAAACAGTGTGTGTCAATCGGCGTATTCCATCGTTTTCGTAAACTCCACGGCCGAGCAGAACTGCGTCCAGTAGAAGAAATCCTCGCCGGCGAGGTTTCCGTAGAAACTGTTCACGTACTGTATCGTAGAGAGCAAATCCTGTGGGTTTACCTACATAAACACATAAATTGTTTATGTATTTATACAAATTCATAATTGAATTCTACTTACTTGAATAATAACATAAACTAAAACCGGAATCAAATCGTCAGCGGAAGCGGAACTTCCCTGCGCCAACGATAATAAATCCATGATGGCGAACGCGCATCGCGTGACACAACCGACTTTGTCACGTGGCGTGCGATAGGCAGCCATTGCTTGCAGCGCCTCCTGGGCGGGCAACCAGGGACACTCCATCTGATGCACTTTGCTAATCATCAGATATTTATTGCTTGGAGTGATCGTACTGGCGAGTTTACGTAGATGACTGGCTAGCACGTTATCACGATGCCTGTCACCATCACCATTGGGGTACAGAGCGTTGAAATACACTTCCATCATGATTGAACGCTCGAGTGCATCACGTGTCATCTTCATTTGTTGGTCTGTAGCGTCCGACCACATCGCATCCTTACCAATTAACGCATACAATTGCTTAAGGAATCCTTCCAGGAGAAGATTTTTCTCATCAATGAGTACCTGTTGCTTGAATTCAGCGCAGAATGACGTTAATTCTTCGTGGTGCTTGTCCAAGAAGTTTCGCACGCATATTTCGACCAAAAATGAGGTGCAGAGGTCACGCTCACGATGGACTTGATCTCCTAACCTAATAAAATTAAATTTAAAGTTATTGATTTGTTTTTATACAAAAACAGAAAATATTTACTCATTTAAAAACGATTGGGAAGAAAGCAGCGTCTGTTTGGATCGGAATAGATATTTCCAATAAACCGAACGCCGCTGCATTTCATCCTTCAAAGTCTCGCAGAGTTTGTTGAATCCGGCAATGTCCAACAGGCGCACGCAACGCAAAGCTTCGGCAACCCGCGCTGCAGATGTCAACCGCTTCAAATCACGCGCTTTCGCCAACTCAATTTGCAGAAAAGACTCTAAATCTTTCTTTATGTGACGCCGACCATCCTATTGTACAAAACACAAATATAAACATAAAATATTACTTGGTAAATAAAGAAATAAAAGAAAAATACCTTTTTGAGTCTGAAATAATGCGATCTGGAATTACTCAACACCCAGCGCAGCTTTTTCTTCGCATCAATCAGAATACTATGCGCATCGTTATGACAAACAATGTTGTCTAAATCATTATGTGTCTTATCACTCTTTACCGTGTCACGTGGACTTGTATCATTTGGTTTCGGATTTCTATACTTTGCCAAAATATCTTCAGTGACTTCTACAGAAAAAAATTAAAAAAATATTTAAAAAAACTAAACACCCAGTATAAATATATACCTTGCATGGATTTAAGATTGACAGTGTTGAATTCACTATGCCGCCGTGCTCTAACCTCATCCTCTTCGAAACGCAACCCACTCAACACACTACCATACTCATCCCCACCAATACCTCCACCTCTTAGCGATTTCCCTCTCCTATGCCTGAAATTAATCCGAAATTTCCCAAGGAAACTCCCGCCGCGTTTACTGCGATGCTCATCATCCAGATCCTTATCACCCTTCTCAGCACTCATATCAAAACTGATACTCTTCGGTATCGCACCGGTAGATGGCGAGGGTTTCTGCCTCGGTTTCTTCACATCAGCGGCGGCCATATTGCCCGCGTCAACTGCATCGCCATTACTCCACAGTTTATTCTTCCATTTCTCGCTGGTTTTCTGCTCGGAACTATTCGAACTACCACTACTCGAAGAATTCAAACTGGTGTTACTCAGCTGCATGTCCGCTTTGATATCTTCAAACTTATGCTCGGCGTTTTTCACGAGCACATACGACGGCGACTCGGCGTTTGCTTTCACCCCGCTTGGCCCCGGCGTGCTTGTAATACTATTACTAATATCACCAAGAATAGACCGCTTAATATCTACAGACTTATCAATAATAATAGCTTCGCGTTTCGAGCTATCCGTGGAGGTACGACTAATTTGTCGCATGATACAACTCTCCACTTGTACAAACCGCTCAAAACTGCTATTCTCTTCGGATTTCGCAAAGTTTGGCATTGATTCCCGCCGCTCACGATCACGAGAATCATGGTACTCTTGAAAAGCGCTCGGGCTATTCGGCACGAAATGAACTAGATTCCCACTGGCGGTGGAAAGTCGCCGATCGAGGTTGTGATCGTCGATTTCCGAGCGTTCAGATGGCGCTACACTCGCTGCGTCATCACTGCGCGCTACACTAGCTGTATCATCAGATGGCGCTACACTCGCCACATCATCATTATCCACCTCTGTCAATCTCTCTGTGTCTGAAGCTAGGACATCCGTTGACCATGCGCTTTCGCTGTGTGTTTCAACAACGTCGAGATTCGGTTGTTCCGCTTGCGGCAACTGGGGTTGCGCTTCATGATGTCGCTCACTCGCATCAATAGTCTCACTATCCGAAGCCAAAACATCCGTGCTCCATGTATCAGATATAATCGAAATGGTCTCATCACCTTCCAATAGTTTCTTAATCTCAAACTTACAAAATTTATCATCGATTTCCGATCGGATTTGTTTCAACTGCGGTTGTGGCTGCACAAGAAACGGACGTACCTCCACCAGAGGGCGCTGATCCTCATTCTCAGTCACTTGCGAACTCGGCGTATCGCGGCCGGAGATATTCGGTGTCCCTCTACCGGAAACATTCGCACTTACCATATCAGACAGGTTATCATTATCATTCTGATCTTCATTCTCCAACTCAATACTGCTCGCCACCGAGTGATTACTAGCCGCCTCTGATATAACCTCTAAATTATCAGAGGTATTACCAATAGATCCTTCATCATTATGTGAGAATCTTGTTCGTTTCTCAGTTGGTCCATTAACACCCTGTGGGACCACAACAGAGTCACTTGCATCCGTGACATCGATCAACAATGTCTCCTCGACGATACACTCCATAGCGATGACTTTATCCTCCGGTAACAACCCAATTGTTTCCTCCTCGACATCCAGAGGTATAACCAATACAACATTATTTAATTCTAAGTCTACTTCTCCGTTACTCGGCTGTTTCGTGAGATGCATGCGGGCTTTACTCAGCAATTGCTGCGCTTTCTTGGGCGAAACATTTGAATTTAAACTTGGCGTATTGCGAGGTGAACCCTCCGTGGAGGTAGGCAACTTGTTAACCAGCACAACAACTGGATCGTTTGGCTGCGCAGCCGCATTATCCGCGTTATTACTACAATAATCACTTGAGGCTTCTTCATTCCCGGATTGATCCTGCGAGATTGAGTTTTGCGCGCGTTTTAAGAACACTACTAAATTATACAGGTCTTGCTCAGTGAACAAGGCGATTTTGCGAGTTATTCCCGGCACGTTATCAACCGGAATCTTTTCGTTGACGATATCATAATACTGAATATCGGAATTATTGAGGATGATATCCAGAAAGTTCGAAATGCATTCAGTGTCGAATAATTTGTACAAATCCATGAGTTTAGCGTCGGGTGTTTCGAATTTCATCAACGCTAACATTTGAATAATAGTGCCGACTTGAATGAGGTTATGTCGCGCGATTTCAGATATAGGCGCGTCTGATATACCATAGGGTTCCGGCTGAACAATTGCCGGACAAACAAACAGCGTGAAAATTAAATCGGTGGTTATTGCGTTGATTTCTTTTGAATTCGGGCTGAAAGACTTCGAAATCATGTAGGCGATTTGTCTGATGAGCCAGGCAAGACTGCTGGGAAAACAATAAACGTTATCCTGAAGACTGTTGATGAAAACTTTGGTCATTTCGCAGAGTTTTTTGATACTCCATGCGCGATATTGTGAGATTTTCGTGTTGTATGATTCTGTGCCTTCCTCTCCAAACTTTTCCAGCCGCTCAGCAGCTGTAAATCTAATTTATTTTATAGTAAAATTAAATTTTATATAAAAAATTACTAAAACTAACCTTGAAAGAGGTTTATTTGGATCTATATCCAAATAAGTATCAGACGTCGCGATTAATTTCAAAATCGGCGATTGCAGTGCAGCGATAAGGAACAATTTGGCGGATGTTAATCCCTCGTGGAACAGGAAGTACATTCGCGAAAACGCGCATAGCCTTTGTTTCAATAACCTAAAGTAATAATATAACAAAATGAATATGCAACCACAAATACACAGAAATCAATGTATGCAACCCATAATACATACCGTCTGGGATTATCAGTCGTAACAAGTTGTAACTTTGCCAAACATTGCAGCAAAGTCATCATTAGCCTGACATCCTGCGGCAGGAGAAGTGAGCCATACAAACCAGTCACCACACTGTGCAGAATACTCGAAAACGCCTTCTGATCGTCGATCAAACTCTCCCCAATGACAATCCATTGCGCGGCAAGTTCAGGACGCGTGCGCAGACAAGACAAAAACGCGCTATAATTCACCATAACCTAAAAAACAACAAAAAACAATAAATTTTTATAGAAAAAATGAAAAACATTATATTTTAACCAACCTGATATTCTAATATTTTATTAGCATCAATAAAAACGCTGTTTGTGAGAATATGCGCCCTTTTCGTGCATTGCACAGCACTGGAATCAGCCCTGGCTCCAACCAAACTATTCAAATTAATCCTCTGTTGGAAGTTAATCCACGCCGCCTTCAAAAAATCCAGAGTATTATGCGCGAGTTTCTCATTGAAACTCTGTATAAGATTCTTCTCGGCATTAACCAGATGCTTTTCCTGCTGCAATTGTGTCACCAGGTCTGCCAAATCAATGCTTGGCTTGTTATTTGTCGTGCCAGGTGTCGACGACGTTGGAATCTCACCCAAAAGATCCATTTTAATCTATTTACACCTGTCGAAACCGTTACTTGCATGAATTAAAATGCTTTCCGCCGTAATTGTTTTGATAAATACGCAACATAACCACAACTCACCTCAGCGGATACGAGAGGATGAAGCGGATGGTGTCCACCTACTGGTCGGCTGTATCCGTGTCCGCACATTTAACGCAATGCTGATTAATTAAACGCACATCGCCGTGAAACTACGCGCGGCGCGCATTCGGACCCACAACTGCGCTGTGCGATGTCCGCGCTCGCCGTTGATTGTCGATCGTCTATTGTTTTTGTACGTGCGCGTGATGCGAGCGAAAAAAACAACAACGCACGCACGCACTGGATGCGGAAGGCGCACTCACCAGGGTTTGATTAGCTGCCAGTGCAGCGGGCGCCTGTGACGAGTTGTCTTTTCCCAAGGGTGACTGCTGCACATGCAGAATCGCGCGGATGTCGCTCGTGAAACAGAAGATTAATAATCGAGGATGTTGTGTGGGTCGCGCAAGATCGCGACTCGACGCTGTCTGACCGCAGGCGAAGTCGTGTAACAAATGACTGTCTCTATTTAACTCGTGTTGCGCACGCAGGTGATCTTTGTCGTGCTCGTCAGCTGCGGCACATACAGCGCCATCTGGAGTTAAAACATGAACTATACAGTGTATCGCTATATACAATATGTCTAAAGATAGCAATATTTGTATGCTAAAATTAGTAAAACCACATACACATTGTATGTTTGAGCAATGCTGGTGCATAAATTAAGCGTCAGAGGGCGCTGCAATGCATATTTTCAAAGTAAAACACATTTTTGTTGTGTAATTGCGCATCGCGTAATAAAAATAGATTAAAACTCGGTTATTCAACGTTTTTCGCGTAATAATTCGTCATTTTTGTTAGTTTTTAAGCGTGGGGAATATGTTTAGGGTGAGTTCTTTGTTCGCGGGGCCGCGGCGGTTCAGTGAGGTCGTTGGTTGACGGCTTCGCGTCCGTGTGCGTTCGCTCACCGTTCACGCACCGCACCGAGAGCGAGCGCAGCAGCGAGCAGGCCTGCAGTGAGGTTAGAGCGGTCGTGCACGGTGTGTCGGTGTGAATTGCGTGCGTGCTCGCGTCCGAAACGGTGAATGTGCAACAACCTGGCGGCGCGGCGCGCTCACGAAACAAAACGCAATACAACAGCACCAAATATCACAGATGATGCTGCAATGCCAACGCGTTTGCCATCAACCTGAAAAGGGTGCCCATCTCCACACAACACGCAAACAAAAGGGCAGGCGGCTGCTGGCTCAGGTGTATGCACCCCTCGTGTCAACAACAAGTTGTGTATGGCCTAGACTCGGCTAGAAAAGTTGAGCATCATCTCTTGCCCTGCGGAGAGTGTTGTGTGTGTGTGTGTGTGTGCTGTAGTGTAACCTGCGTGCCGCACGGTGTCAATAAACTCCACGCCGAAGGTGTGCCTATGTGCGCGCGAGGCGGCGGAGAGAAAGACATTAACGTAACCGTCGTCTCTGCGTTCACCGCACGGCGCGCGCTCGCGATTCGGACAATCCGGCGGCCGCCGGGAAAAAGAGCAGCCCACCACCACCACCACCAGCACACGCGCGCGCGTTGTACCTGTGATGTGTTGTGAAAGTGAAAATTAAGAATTATTACACAATCTATACAATACTCACGGATTATACGCGACCGAATGTGTGGATTACGATTTCCCAACCACAGGGTAGGGTAGAACGTGTTTCCTTTGTATTGCACTGCATGTCAACACAAATTATTTCATATCTATCACCTTGTATGTTTGGTTGCATACCCGCGGGGAATTCCGCCATTTTGTTGCGTCCACTGGACCGTTCACTTCCGCATGGCGGCAGATGTCGCCGCGCCGTTCCCCGTACTTGGAAACAACCTTGTCGTCGCCGGCGCGAGCATGCCTGATGTGTGTGTGTGTGTGTTTTTATTCTTGCTCGGATAATTCGTTTTTGTTCGCGCGCATCTCTGGCGCGAGTCGCGGCGGTGACCTTGGCTGCGTCACGTGACCGCGGGCCTTGACCTTACCAGCGGTGCTGGCGGTCCGCAGACCAACCGCACACACAACACACACAGAGAAACACCACAACCCAACCAACGGGAATCATCTGAAACAAGAGAGATAAATTGTAATTGTTACAAATCACACATGCACAATACAAATAAACACACATTTCGCACCCAAAAAAATTATTATATCCTATACACACTCTAACGCCACATGGATGGCAAATGAACTATACCACTGTATTAAGGAAGCATGGAACAACAACAAGATTCCGACCAAGTGGAAAGAAGGGCTAATCATCAAGCTTCCCAAAAAAGGTAACTTGACCGAGTGTAACAACTGGCGTGGCATAACGCTATTAAACACAATTAATAAGATTATCGCGAAAATCGTCCAAACAAGATTAGCGGAAACTATAGAAAACACCCTGCGCCCGAACCAAGCAGGTTTTCGGCCGAATCGCTCATGCATCGATCATATCAATACCCTTCGTATAATTATCGAGCAATCAGTAGAATGGCGATCACCACTATTCATCGCCTTCATCGACTTTGAGAAAGCATTCGACAGCCTGAACCACGACGCTTTATGGAGGATCCTTAAGTCGCGAGGTGTACCAACAAAGATAATAAGCATCCTGCAAGAACTCTACACTGATGCAAACTGCAGTGTGTTACACAACGGTGAAAAAGCGAAAGTTTTACGATACACAGAGGAGTAAAACAAGGATGTGTCATATCCCCATTACTATTTAACATCGCCTTAGACTACATACTAGCAAAGGTAGACCAGAACAGGGATGGGTTGCGCTGGACACTAACCTCGCACCTCAGCGACCTGGATTACGCCGACGACATCTGCCTGATGTCACATACGTTCGAAGGCGTGAGCCGACAGCTAACAACATTAGCAAGGGAGGCAAGTAAAATTGGCCTAAGAATAAATATTGCCAAAACAAAAGAAATGCGTATAAATACAAACAACACCTTAAAACTCCAAATAGATAATACGGAAATAGAAGAGGTCAAGGAATTCCTATATCTAGGAAGTATAATTGACATAAAAGGGGGGACCGACGCAGATATAAACAACAGAATAAAGAAAGCCCAGCAATCCTTCAGAATGCTGAGCACAGTATGGAAGTCAAGCGTCTATACACTAAGAACAAAACTGCGCATATTCCGCACAAATGTAAAATCCACCCTTTTATATGGATGCGAAACATGGAGGTCAACGAGCTCAAGCACACACAAACTCCAAACCTTCATAAACAAGTGCTTGAGAATGATCTTGCGCATATTCTGGCCAATGACAATCTCCAACGATGAGTTGCACCGTCGATGTGATGAAACTCCCATTATAAATCAAATACGCAAGAGAAAATGGGGGTGGATTGGGCACATCTTGAGAAGAGACGCCGGAGATATCGCCAGAAATGCGCTAGAATGGAACCCACAGGGGAAGAGAAGGGTTGGTAGACCGGCCAATACCTGGCGAAGATCCACAATAGAGGAGCTCCGAAACCAAAATATGGGCTGGAACGAAGCAAAGGCGGTTGCCCGAAACAGAGTCCGTTGGAGGGCGCTTAGTGAGGCTCTATGCTCCACATAGGAGCCAAGAACATTATATATATATATATATACACACTCTAACACCAATTATATGCAATATGCAACAAGTGGAAGTTGAGTCATCGCGAAATCATTTCCGATGCGAATTTCTCAACCGCGCGCTGCTAATAAGCTAATAATAACTAAAGCGAGACTAATAACCACAAAAAAGAATGTGATGCAAGGCAACACACAACACACCACACCAATGATGACACCTTATAATTTAAACTACAGAGTGTTGCAATCACTTACATCACATCAAATATATAAGGAAATGACGCGTAAAGTTGCAAATATCTAAATGTAACGTAATTAAATGACTTTTAGATTCAAGTTACATGTATAACATATTAGCCAGATTAGGTGTGCGTTTTTTTTTTTGCGTTCAGCAAATGGCCGAAAATGACCTTGCGCGCGCACGTCGCGGACCGGTTAACATGTCTTTGTTGCTAAATGCTGTTAGGAATTGCGTTACGCCACAGAATTAGACTAGATTACTCCCAGATGTGTGTAATGATCGATTGTACACAACGCGCACGAATACGGCTAATATAAATATCAAATGTTTGCGAATAAAATCGTAATAAATCAATATTTATTTAGGCCAGCCGGTACCGCATGTAGGTAGTTGAATGTAGTTGAATACCGAGTGTTGTCGAAAATTAATTTATAACGGAGTGAAATGCGGCTTTCTTTCACTCGGTATGGTATGGTAGCAGGATTTCTGCGCTACGAATGTTATGATTATGAGCTTGCAGCGCGCATTCTTCGCAGCCCAACCCACCTGCAGCTCTGTTCTCGGATGCTGGCGTGCTGATACGACAAAATGCGTGCAACGTGCGCGCACACACCGCCTCTCTCAATGCCACTTTTACACGCCGGCGCGCGCGCCCGCGGACGGCGACGGGTGTTTTGCATGCGCGCATTCCATTGCCTGCGTGTGGCCGTCGTGTTCGACATGTCGTGCGCACGCAGGTAGTCGTGCAAAACTGGTGCAGCCAACTTACACGTACAAGAAATTCAAACATTTCATGTGTAAAAATTAAAATTCACACATATTTACACCAAATTTGTGTGTTTTTAACACAAAAACACGCATTTTTGAATTTTCTCACAAAAAAAGAACAAATTTCTTTGTTTTCACCACAAAATACCAACATTTAATGTATAGTGGGTTGCCTAACTTTTCTCATAATAAATTTCATACATAGGCAACCAACTATACACAAAAACACCCAAAAAAACCCAAATATTCAAATAAAATATTCTTTACCTTACAGTAGTCCATGATGATGACCCCGACGTCATCCCCAACGGTTGGCAGCGGCAGCTGATCACAAACCCACAAATCCCTCAAGAAAATGGCGGCGGACATGCGCTCCCCGAACGTGTCCGTGACGCCAATCAACGTGCCCGGGCATGGCGAGCCGCTGGACAGCTCCGACGCCGAGGTGGCGCAGATCGACTTCCAATCCAGCGTCAGCGTCAACATGCGCCACAAAATCAAACGCGAGTGCACGCCGAGCGGCATCGCAACCTCCACCTCGACAAACACCGAAATTGTCCCTCGCCCAATGTCCTGGGAGGGTGAACTCTCCGACGGCGACAACGACGAAAACGATGAAAACAAACTCGACATGTGCGTGGATGACGACACACACAGTCACCTGCTACCCGAGAACCTCTCCATGCATCATCACACATTAGAACGGCAGTCATCAATCACCTCAGCGGATTCTTCAAAAGAATCACCCATAATGCGGCTGAAACAATCACACAGTGCTAGTTATTCGCTACATTCAACACCTAGTAACTCACCATTGTTATCACAACGCCATCCGTTGCCGTCGATGGTCCCTAAAGACCTGGTGCACAAAGCGTTGAATGTCCCACCGACGCCAAGCCCGGATTCCGCTGTGCATTCGGCGTATTCGGTGTTTTCATCGCCGACGCAAAGTCCGCTTACGCAGAGACATGTTACGCTTACACCGAATCTCAGCAGGAATAACAGCGACGCATCACACTCAAGCTGCTGTTCTTACAGTAGTGTATCGGTGTCCGTGTCACCGACACAACAATTCTCACCGACGCATAGTCCTATCCAAGGGAGACACATGCCGAATATACATAGCTCACCTCTGCATCATAATGTGTTGTATCGCAGCCTGCAGGACGACTCAAACACGCAGTTTACCACTTCGTCCGCCTCCGAACAGGATAACGATGATAATATTGTGGATGACAAGACGTTGATTCATAGTTCTCTGCCGGCACAGCCCGGAATTTCACGCCAGCAGTTGATAAACAGGTAATTGTATAGCTAACTTAACATAACCTTACATTTTTTCTTAAATTTTACCTTTTTGGGGTTAATTTTAGTCCGTGTCCGATTTGTGGCGATAAAATCTCCGGATTTCACTACGGAATCTTCAGCTGTGAGTCCTGCAAAGGTTTCTTCAAGCGAACGGTGCAGAACCGCAAGAATTACGTGTGTTTACGCGGCGCTGTGTGTCCGGTAACAGTGGCGACGCGTAAAAAATGTCCGGCTTGCCGGTTTGAGAAGTGCTTGCAATGCGGGATGAAACTAGAGGCTATACGTGAGGATCGCACGCGTGGTGGACGCTCCACTTACCAGTGTTCGTATTCCCTTCCGCCGTCGCTGGCGAATCATCCGGAACTACGCGCGAGTTCGAGTGATCTGCGGCATGGCGCTGTCGGGCAAGATGGCGGCTCGATGGGCGGGTTCAGTATAAAGATGGAGCCACTGGAGGCTGGTTTACCGCTCGGAAAGAAGCGACATAGTGTCCCACCGTTATTGCAAGTGGGTTATTGTTATATAACCTAACTTTTCTAACTAAATGATGATATTTATGTTTTTTTTTTGTTTGGTTATAGGAAATAATGGACGTGGAACATTTATGGCATTACAGTGAGCTGGAACTAAACAAGCTGAACACCGAAGGTAGTCTGGGCCGTGAGGGAAGTAGTGGTGCCGTACATAACCTGCATATGCATCCATTACTCGCTGGAACAGCGCTGGCGGGTTCCACCGATACGAATCCTGACTTCGTTGCGAATCTGTGCAATATCGCCGACCATCGGCTGTACAAAATCGTCAAATGGTGCAAGAGCTTGCCATTATTTAAGAATATCTCCGTAAATTAACTCCTAACCTCAAAAAAATTTAAATTTTATAATTTACCTTGTTTTGTGTAGATTGACGATCAAATCTGCCTGCTGATCAACTCCTGGTGCGAACTGCTGTTGTTCTCGTGCTGTTTTCGCTCAATGGCGACGCCGGGCGAGATCCGCGTGTCGCTCGGCAAGAGTATTACTCTAGCGCAGGCACGCGACCTTGGTATGCACGCGTGCATCGAGCGCATGCTCAACTTCACCGAGCATCTGCGGCGGCTGCGCGTCGACCGATACGAATATGTTGCCATGAAAGTTATAGTATTATTAACTTCAGGTGCGTATTTATTCACCTTTAAACTATAAAAAAACTAAAATAAATCATGTTTTAGATACGTCTGAATTACGAGAGGCTGAAAAAGTGCGCGCGTCGCAGGAGAAAGCGCTCAAGGCGCTGCAAGACTACACGCTAACGCACTATCCTGAAAGTCCTGCCAAATTCGGTGAATTGCTGTTGCGAATACCCGAATTGCAAAGAACTTGTCAGGTATGCAAAAACCGCGCATGCGCAGTTGTACCCCACTCTAGATTTTGACATTTTTGACATTTTTGACAGGTTGGAAAAGAAATGTTAACGATAAAATCAAAAAATGACGAGGGACCAAGCTTTAATCTACTGATGGAACTCCTGCGCGGTGATCACTGAATGAAGAAAACGGAAAATCGAAAAGGAGACGTGCCTTAATCGCTTTATGGTGGCGGGTTGATTACTTACAGACAGTATTTTTTACGATTTTTTTTTTATGTCTAGAAATTTAAGTTTGCGTTAAGTATCGAATATTTTTCTATAAGGAGATAATTTAAAATGTTACACTAGCTTTAAGCGAGCGGAGATTGATGAGAACGTACGTACTTATGAAACATTTCGGACACAATTCGAACAAAACAAAATTAAAATCGAAAAATGAATCAAAATTACATCGAGCTATTTAAAACACATGCATAAATGTACATACAATTTATATACATACTTTTTATATACACCCAGCTAGGCTAAGATGAAGAAATATTTTTTATTGGTATATATATACACGATGTATGAGAGATTTAAAGTTTAGACCGTTGTTGCTCACATGATACACGCTTAATCATATGGTAGAAATGTGATGGCAACGGTCCGAACTAAAAACTTCTGGAAAATCATTTGCTTTGTATCAAATACAAGCAAATACTTAATCTCATTCCATTACTTGTAGGCGACCACTCGGAACATACTTAATTTATATACGAATTATGAAGTTTGTGCCAATTTTGATGATGAAAACGTATACAAAATATCGAAGCAAGCAAGAGACTTTCTCGGAGGCCTTTATAACCCTAATCGACGTTCACGCGCTGTACAAACGTATATCAACCCTTATAACATTTACTATAAACTCTTTACACGCAACGGTAATCAAAATATTTAACGAAACAAAAAAAACGGAACAATGACTGTCAAAGTGTGAAACGCTTATACGTACCGACCGCATACGTATTTTTGATACAACGTGTAATTTTGCTAGCGATTTTACAACGCAAACGAACTTTTGTAATAAACTTTTCATAATTATTACCTTGATTTACTGCCCTGCACACACACACAGTTCAAAATGGCTGATTTTTACAAACTTGTGAAACTAATAAGAAAAAAGACAAATGAAAGTTTGAAAAGCTTATCGTGGTGGCGCTGTCTGTCTAATTTCAACCAATCAAAAGCGCTGGATTAAAGTTTACAATATTCGCCGCCAGAGTGCGCGTATATCGCCATATCCGCCATTGGGAAACACTTCAACAGAACAAAATAAATCATCCGAAATCACTTGCATCGTGTTCGTTGGAAAGGTAAGAACTGCTTTATATTAAAATTTAACTATCCAAACAAATTTTCCTGTGCATATTTTCTGAATCCATGAAACGGTTTCTTTATAATATTTTTTTCTATTTCAAAAGCAACGCGATGTGGCCAATTGATCATGGATGACCTACCTTCCAATGAATATAATTTGAAAACACTCACCCCTGAAGAGGAAGAACGCCTCCGGTTGCAAGACACGCGTCTCGTATCTGACTTCAAGGCGCTGCAACTGGAGAAAGACGCGAAGAAGCACTGGGACCTCTTCTACAAGCGCAACGAGACACGTTTCTTCAAGGATCGCCACTGGACCACGCGTGAATTCTGCGATCTGCTCGACATAGATGAAAACCCCGAGGCTTCTCGAATCCTCTGGGAGGTAGGATGCGGCGTGGGTAACTTTGTCTTCCCTCTGATAGAAGCCAAACTCAACTTTGAGTATATTGTCTGTGATTTATCAAGCAAAGCAATTGAGCTTGTCAAACAGCATGGCCTATATGATGAGAAATACATTAAAGCTTTACAAGGAGATATAACAGATCCAGAAATAGTTGATAAGATTACTAGTTACTCAAAGGTGGATGTAGCTACATTGATATTTGTCCTCAGTGCAGTACATCCTGATAAATTTGTAACTGCATTGAAGAATATTTATGAGTGTTTGAAACCTGGTGGGGTTTTATTGTTCAGAGACTATGGTCTGCATGATATGGCTCAGTTGAGGTTCAAAGCTGGGCATAAGATAGCTGAGAACTTTTATATGAGGCAGGATGGCACTAGGTATGTAAAATATTTGAATATTTCTTTAAATTGTTTAAATTTTGAGTTCCCAATGATTAAAGACTTGCCTTGAGGGGGGTGGTGGACCATCCAGTTAGCTCTGGGCAGGATTGTCATGGTTCTGTAGGTCTGCTGTGTGCCCTGATGACCAAAGATTATGAGATCTGAGGGATAAATGCTCAAAATATTAATTTTTTGTTAAGTATTTTCATAAAACGTGACAGGAATTTAATTTTTTATGTTCTTATTAACTTCTAGGAGTTATTACTATTCAGTAGAGTATGTTAATAACATCATGGAGGAAGCAGGATTCAAGGTTGTCCTCTGCAGTTATATCCACAGAAGGACCATCAACAAGAAGGAGAATATTGATGTGCCTAGGATTTTCGTTCAGGGGAAATTCCAGAAAGGTAATTCATATTTTTCGTGATTAATAAATATAAAATAATGGATTATATGATGATTGGTACCATGCACCACGCTTAATTGTTTTGCAGATAATAGCCTACCGAATTTTCTGATTAAAATAATTTTATAATTATTATTTAAACAAAATTCTGCAGTATTTAAATCTTTTTTTCTTTCTTTTTTTTTACAGAAAATTCCTGATTTTGATGGTCTAATTATTGTGGAAGCAGTAAATCATCGAAAATAACGTAAGTTTCATTTGAATGTGTTTAAGGTGTGAATATAATTAATATTATGATGATTGGTACCATGCACCACTCTTAAATGTTTTGAGGATAGTTGCCTACCGATTTTTCTGAATATTTTTCATAATAAAATCACAATTTATCAATAAATTGATTCCCCATATTAATTTTTATATTATCTTTCAGATTTATCATCATTAAAACTTCATCTTTTAATCTGACAACTGCTACTACTACTAAAGTTCATGAAAAGTAAGTTATTTTACTGTTATGAATCGATAATTTTGAATAAAATGATGATTTCATAGTTCAATTGAACGACCATGATATTATAAGAATTTAGTCTTTCGTCCAAACTGACTAAACACTTCAATTTAATATTTTGCGTATTTAAAACTTTAATATATTAAATAGAAATATTTTCTTTTCAGATTTTGTGCGACATTTCCATTAATGAAAACATTAGCTACTTCAGATGATAAATGATAGCAAAGTGAGTTGTTAAATTATTATAACTAGTTATGAATTTAAACTAATAAATATGATGAGTTCATAGTTTGATTGATAATGATATATAATCATATAATCAGAATTTAGTCTTTCGTCCAACCTGACTTATTAAATTAAACTTATTGCATGTATTTGCAATAGAATTTGCAATTAATTTAAAATGTGTTTGTTTACAGGTCGTCCTCATCTCTCCGCTCTACACTCACCCTGTTAAACTCTTGAAGACTCAGTCTTCACCAATGTACAAAACAAAACATTTATTTTGATAATAAATACGTATATTTAACTCACAGACTTGACTTTCAAAGCACCCTCCTCCATCCTGTAGATCTTCTGACTTACCAGGAAGTCCCTGAACATCTTATACAACGTATAGTAGTTGAAAAACACCAGAAACGCGATGGAAATGATGTGGTGCCAATACGAGCAGAAAAACATCAATATCCCGAGCTGGATGAACACAACAGTGATGTGCACCAACAACATGATACCCAGCGACCTTGAAGGGTTCTTAAATATTCTCTAAACACAATAATTGTGTGTTAATAATTATTAACACATAAAAACAACAAAAGAAAAAAAAACACAATTTTTTTTTAAAAGAAAACTTACATAAAAACGTCCATAAGTATGATTCCCCGGCTCAGCAGCATTCGTCTCCGACTGCGCACGATAAATATCCTTACCATGTTTCACCAGGGCAGAAACAGGCCAAATAACATCATCCTGCCAAGCATACGGTAGAGTTAACACCGAACGTGTTTCCACCCTACTCCATGACCCTAAGTGTAATGTAGCACGATGCAAAACATCACAGAACTTCAACGGGAGTAAATGCATCGCATAGGCGAAGAAACACGACATGAAGACGAAGATTACGTGTGCAGTCGACCAGAATGCATCGTAATACAAATAATTCTAATAAATTTATCAACAAATAAACAAAAAAATTAATATTTTTATATAAAAACATACAAAAATCAAATATTTTACCTGTGAGAAACAACAAGGAATAAATCCAGCATAATAAGCATTCACAGTGGAATTAAACAAGATATGCTTCATCCTCCTGTTGAAATTCCCTCGTAAATTATCAACTTCTTCACGGATTTGAATGGGACATGAAGTACACGCGTGGATTTGCACGTTGTTCGAAGTTGTGCTCAACTCGAAGATCGGCGAGATCGTAAAACCGAATAATATTAAATAAACAGTGATTCTACAATGAAATTATGTAATATAATGCAAAATTATGTTAAAATCTAATAAAATGTACTTACGGATAACATAAAAACACAATATTAACGATTGGATGATTCTGCACGGTGTAATACGCACACCAGCTGATGGTGGAACACAGTGTGCCGAATAAAAACACACGGAAACACATTTTGCTCACACCATGCATCTGCGACTGCATGATGAGATGAATTAGGTTGGTTCCAAGCAAGTAGACGATGCGTCTGCTTAGAATCACGACTATCAATACAACCAGATTGATATCAATCAAATAAAAGTTCTAGAATATAAAAAAAAACACCTTAGCTGTAAATAAACATAAATTTTTTAATATTTTTATCTTACCATTGTTTGATTTGTATATGAATGTGGCAACCACCACACAGTTCGATACAAATTCAAAAACTGCAGACCAGCAGCAACCAAACTGAATGTAAATATCATCACCTCGAATAATACATTGTTTTCTGTTGGTGTATTAGGGAAAGGTATGTGTTTAGGTGGTTTAGGATGTTCTAAACCAGGTAAAGTGGGTATTGTAGGTGCGCCAAGCGGTGAATATCGTGAACTGCTGTGTGTTCCATCCGCAGGGATGAGTGGAATCGATGAGGGGACGTGTCGCGTTGCACGGAGTATTCTTCTATTGCCCACGGGCATCTTATAATTCAATAAAATGTAATTTTGAAGTGATTTTAAGAGTACTTGCGTGTAGACTCCACATGTTTGGTTTTCGTGGAGGTTAAATGTGTTTTATCTGTGTTGCTACTAGCGACATCTCACTAAAACTGATACAAAACGTGAAACTTAAAAGTTTAAAACATAAAATGCTTAAAACTATTAAGATTTGTTGTAACAGCAATTATATTATGTCTACACCGTTGTATGAACTAGTTTCTAGTCATTTACTAACACAGATATATTCAGACTACAGTTTTCTTCTTTGTTTTTTTATCTGGAAATCTTTTTTCTTTAATACTTTAACCTAAAAATCTAAAAGGGATTAAATTATATCAGCGTGGTTTCATCCTGGCCTTCCTCCGCAGGTAACAACGACTTTTGACTTGCTGACTTCTCTCCTTTGTCGCTTTTCTTTAATAAAGAAGATTTATCGCCGCCATTTTCAATCGACGAGCAATCCGGTGAGCTATTATCAAACGGCATGAAATTATTCGTTGTTGTGCTGCTCGTCGACGGCAAATCCTGTAAATCAGGCGAAGCCAGCGGAGGTTGATACTTTGGACTTGAATCCAACGTTTCCTTCAAGTGCATCACCGGATAACTCTCACGATATCCACTTGTAGATGAGGTCTGTGAGATGGCGCTGTCTTCATCCCATGATCCTTCATTGTTGTGTTTCGTGCGTGTTGCAATTCTCAAACGATGCGGATCTGTCGGTCCTGTAGGCACCTGATTAGCGATGGATATCGGCGTTGGTGTAACAGACTCAGGAGGCGGGCTCATCTCGATGGAGAGCGGTGACACTGGCAGGGTTTTATCTACGTCTAGCTGCTCGCAGCCGGCAGCAATATTCAGATGTTGCTGCTCATCGTGCGCATCCGCTGCGCCCCCTTGCGGTGGACTTGGTGGTGTGGGCGGGACCTACGGATATAGTAAGCGCTGGTGAGTGCAAGTTGTACAACGGACGCCATTACCTCAAGCTTGCTCTTGCGGCTCTTGCGCAAGCGGAACGTTTTCCGGCTTTGCGGTTTGACGCGCTGCAATCGGGATTTTTGATTGGTGGTTGGGTGGTGGGCGTGTGTCTCGCCGGAACTTTCATCAGCGGGACTTCCCGGACTTAGGGGGGTCGTTGAGGTTTCGCCTACGCGGATTTTGTTTGTTTGTTTGTTTGTTTTTTTTTTTTGGAGGTAAATATCATGAAACAGAACAATATGCAAACATAGTAGGTGCGGATGTTTCTCAATCAATCAACAAATCAACACATTCAACAACAATAAAAAAAATTTAAAAAAAAAATACAAATTACTACGACTAAATGCTACCACGTTTGGTTTACCTGAAGAATGTCTAAACTCTACGGAAGAGACAAAGCGCAATTTCTGCGCCCTATGCTGGGAGGTTAGAGAGTCAGACTTGTGCATCGATTGCTGCACAGCGGTCTGCGGTTGTTCGTCACTAACGGACGAGTGTTGTGAGCGATCTGAAACACATGCCATGTCGGTTGTTGCGGAAACAAGGCCAAGAGACAACGAGAAAGAGAAAGCAACTAGGTAAAGAAAGCAGGTTATGTCCGGTGTGATTGGGTCAGACACAAGATGGCGGCATGAACACGCGCATGCGCTTACCAGTTGTCGGATTTGCATCTCCAGCCTGCTCGTTGCCTTCACTTATCGAGGCGTTTACTTGATTCGATGTAAAACTCGTACTTGATGAAGATTCTAAAAATAAATCCGTTAGATGGCGCTGTGTTATCTTTCTATAAACTTATACTTAACCTTTTTGATTTGAGTCATTCGGTGCAGATTTTGATCCGTGTCTCGTGCCATGTTCACCACCAGTGAGGAATTCAATCAAAGATGGCCGCTGATGACGCTGGTTGATCTCGCTCGCCACATGCATGGTCGCCTTGCCGTCGTCGCTCTTCTTCGCCGCGTCTGTGCTTTCTTCTGAGGAAGCTAAGTGATTAGAATGTGATATTAAGCGCGTGGTTCGTAGTGGTCTGAAAGTTGCCTCGCCCCACCCCCGTTGGTGTGTACTAATCTAAGGAAAAAACACGAGCGCAGACAAAATGCATACCAAAAACAAAACAAATCGCAATTATTATTATCAATAATAATAATAAAAATGTAGGTGTATTGAGTGTTGTATAGATATAGAGTTGTTGTTTTGTTGGTGTAATGGCGGCCATTTTGTAGTCCATATCAAAACGGTGATGGCGTTGATGTTTGTTTGTTGTTGTGTTGGTTGTCTACCTACGTCTAAGATGAAGAAGCGTTGCATAAACAAACCTATATCGATAAAAATATTTAGAAACTCGTACAGTATACAAATGCGAAATAATATCAATGATCACGTGACTTCTTGTCGGCTAAAAAACGGTGCAAGACTAAATAACTCCAGAAAAAAATTAAAAAATATAAACTGAAACTTACTCGAATCTTCTAATTCTTCTTTGAGGTCTTTCATTTCATGCGCGAGTTCCATGAGAAGCGCCCCACGGGATTTCGGAGGTGGGAGACCTGCCCCACGGATTTTATCACGGATTTTCTGATGCATGTTACGCTCAAAGTCTGAGATTGGTGGTTGTGCCAACTAAAAAACACAAATTAACATACAAAATGTTTTAATAGGGTTAATGTGTGAGTTTGGTTGCCTACCTTTTGGAATATGAAAGGTTGCATGAGTATAAACAGTGGTGTGCGATGTGTAACCACAAAATCCAAGAAATCCCATAGGAAACTTGCTGCTTCGTTGCGTTTGCCAAGTTCACGCATTGCCCGGGCGATTCGCGACCAATCAGTGATGAGTTCCCCTTCGAAACAGATCGTCATAACCTTCAAAGCTGTAAAAATAAAATTTAATACAAAATTATTACAAATATCAATGAATTTACCTAAGAAAGCAACTTGATACAACGATGTATTAATCCTTGAGGATGTTTTGGTGTCTCTTGCGCCTTTTGTGTTCGGTGGACTCATTGCGTGTAACACCAACATCAACGCGAAAGAAATATCACTCTGACACATCGGATTCAAATCTAAAACACATAAATTTATAGGTTATACCAATGTTGAATATATACACGTATAAGATGTAACTTTGGTTGCCTACCTTTCCTTCCACTCCCAACACGTAAACACAGCGGCATAATAAGATTCATAATAACATTCTCCGTACGTTCCTGCGTAGGAAACGTGGAACTACCACCGACAACATGTTCCAGACTAAATACTTCCACCGACGTGCTGAGTATTTGCAGCGTGATGAGACGCACCACTGTGCTGCAAAAGTGTGATGGCGGCGCTTGATTCATCAGCGCCGCGGTTGCCGATGATACACCTTCGGCAACACTGCATTCACTCACTATTAGAGTCTGGCAAGTGTTTATTAATTGTTTTACGTGTTGCCAGTGCATAATGTAGGGGTATTTCGTCATTGTGTCGTACATTCCTTTGAGGAGACCTGCAGCAGCGTCCCAGTCGGTATTTCTCTGAAATAATGTTAATTTGTTAATAAATAAGTTTAATTATTAAATAATATTTACTCTTATGGAAGGTTTTTTTGAAATCTTTTGGAATACTTTGTCTAAACGTCGAAGGATTATGATTAAAGAGGAACGCAGATCTTCATTGGCCCATTCAGTGGAGGGGAGAATAAACATCATGTAGTGTTGTAGGCCTCGACAACCCATTGATTCTGGATCGTAGGGGGAGACTTTTAGGAGGCTGTGGGCTATTTCTGCTAAACGCTAGAAAAAAAAAGGAAAATGTTGAGTTTAAAGTTTAATACCGGTTTTTCGGTATACCGGTATTTAAAAAAACCGGTATTTGTATTGGAAATAATATTGTATTGAAAAATATCGGTTTTTTAAATAAAAAAATAAGAACAACTGGTATACCGGTATTAGAAGTGTAAAATACCGGTATTAAAAAAAACCGGTAATACCGGTATTTCTATTGGAAATAATATTCTACTACAAATATAGGTATATAAAAATAAAAATACCGGTATTAGAAGTATAAAATACCGGTATTAATACCGGTTTTAAAAAACAGGTAATACCGGTATTTCAATTAGGAATAATATGGTATTAAAAAATATCGGTATCTAAAAAAAATACCGGTATTCCGGTATTAGAGGTGTAAAATACCGGTATTAATACCGGTATGTAAAAAATCGGTATTTATATTGGAAATAATATCCTAATAAAAATGATCGGTACCTAAAAAAATACCGGTATAAATACCGATATACCGGTATTTTTTTAAAATGTTCAAAAACCAATATTTTTAACACAAAAATACTTAAAACATAAAAACCGGTATTTTATAACCTAAAAACTATTAAATACTTACAATATGTGACCTAATATCCAACAACTCCACAGTTTTCCCATCATGATTCGGCTTCCTATAAAGCTCATTCAACCGATTCGACGCTCTACAAACAAATTCCCCCACCAACGACAACAAAACATCCCTGGGTCTCCTATACTCCGCACGTAACACCTCCGAATCCTCCACATCATGCTCATACAAACTCTTCGCCCTCGAATGCTCACTCATAAACTTCGAATGACTCTCATCTTCAAAATCAAACCCAGGCGAATACGGCCCACGGGAATAATTCCTCTGACTACTACCTTTATGTTCCGGACTAGATCTATACGGTCCATTATAACTCTTAATCAAAGCTTCACAATTATTCACCAAAGTTTTAATCGCAACAGCGAGTTGATTAATAATCTCTTTTTCAGACTTGCCTTCTTTGTTATACGTAGGCAACTGTATATGCTCGACATAACACGGAAAGATGGCTTCCAGAATAACCAACATCTGATACCCACGAATACTCTCCGATGAATAACTCACAACCATCACACAAAGCGAGATACAATCCAGAATAGTCACCATTTCGTATTCATCATGATAACAGAAATCAATCGGCTTCAACGGTTTTTCTTCCTTGACTAATTCAGCGATGTTCAACGGATCAGGTGATGGTGTCTCCAATGACAGCAACAGATTAAACAAACAACTTGATTGGATCTTGTGCGCATCACCATATGTCCCCTCTTCATCCGTATCCAACATGGCGGACACCGAACCAAACATCTGCAGGATAAACGGCTTGCGATTCATTAAATAAAACTGTTTCACTGCGTATTCAATCGTAGTTGTAACCAACTTATTCGTCTGATGATTAGAATAAATCTTCAATAGTGTAGGCATGATTAATAAATAACCATTTGTAGAGAAAATGTTTTTGAAGTGGAAAGCTGCATTGATGTACGTCGCCATTACATAGCGAAGAATACAGGAATCTTCCGAGTGTAATATGACAGCGCCGTTTAACACATTGAGAAATAGGTGGATGTCACCGGAGTATGCAAAGTTGCCTGCCATTGCTTCGAACATGCGAGCGATGAGTCGCACCCACATGAATTTATGCAAAACGTCTAAACCTAGTAACATTTTACCGATTTTTCCGCCTTTGTAGAGATCCAGATCGGATTCCAGTGCTTTTCGAGGGAATGATGGTAGTTTCATTAGTTCTTCATGCAGGAAGACAACACGTTGCACAACCATATCGACGTTTTTTAATATTGCCCAGGTTAGGAGTACTTTACCGATTTCCACGAATTTATAACCTAATTCTTGTTGTTGCAGGGCATCGAAAGCTTCCTCGGGTTTCATGTAGACTAATTCCAATTGTGGGTATTGTGAACGTTTAAAAAAGTAATAATCCCGGACGTAGGAAGAAGGATTACGTATTTGATCTAAAAATATTAAAAATAAGCAAATTTAACCTCAAAATTGATTGATTTTAATGAACTTACGTGTTTTATAGTCGACTAAAAAGAACTCTTTGTGTTTACACTCATCAATCCCAAAGAAATCCAGCGATTCTTTCAAAATCTGATAGAATTGCGTGTCTTCCTGAACCGGAAACTGCGATGGGATCCCCCCGGCGTCTGGATCCTGCGGTCCATGCACAATAATCTTCTTCGCTGAGGGAACATTCGCCGTGAGTAAAATCGAAGCATCACACTGCTCCTTCCTCAAAATCTGCTTCAAATCTTTAAACATAATCCCATGCACACTGTGTACAACCATCCATAGAATAGACAATGCTGTTCCGATTAATTTCTGCCCTTCTTCATGCGGACTCCTCACATAAAACATAACATAACCTATAATATAATTATACAAAGCAAACGCAGCCTGTTGCGGTAACTTCGGAATAAATCTTATCAAATGCCGTAGAATTTTAAACATTTGATCCTGTTTCTCACGCGTGAGACGTTCAAGAATATATCTGAGGCATAAAGCGGAGTCTTCCACCAAACAACACCAGATTACTTGATAGGCAACTTCATATACAGCGCTGCCATCTGGTGAGACCGCCGCATCATCCAATAAATTGATGATTTGTATGACAGCTGAGCATAAACAAGATGGAAACAGTGAATGTGCTGAGTGTAAATGATGTCCGGTGTTTCTCGGCGCGTCTGCTTGGTCATCATCAACAACCTCTTCGTGTTCTTCACTTGTGTGATACAGGGAAGGTTCATGCGCGGCTTGAACGGTTATAGGAATAGTAGTAATCAAAAAATTCTCACGTTCCTCACGTTTTTTATCATCCTGCGCCTGCAGCGCCATCTTAATCAATTCCGTCTGTTGTTTTTTACGTGTTTTAGTTGCAGTTACCAAAGATCTATGTCGTTCTTGATTAATGGTAACCTCTTCAACTTTTGTTTTCACCAAAAGCTCCCAGGGTGAATCCACGACATCCAAAGATTCTATTCCTATCTTAGGTGAAGGTAACGTGAATTCTATACCTGGTGGGGGTACTTTGAAGGATAAATGCGCGTTTTCTTCCATTCTTGGCCATACTTGATACCGCAGCTTCCATAAAACTTGAAATCTTAGAATGGAGTTTATTCTGACTGATACATCACTGTGTGACAACTGATGTTGCATTAATTCGCTGACTTGTGAAGGGACTTTCACTGCGCAGAGGATGAAAATAGAAGCTGCGCATGCGGCCACTTCTTGATTACTCTCCAAGAGTAACTCCCATGCAACAGGGATGATTTCCACATAGTGGTCTTCTGTTAATATGACAGCGCCTTTTAAAAGTGCTCCTAGAGGACTGTGAAAGGCATCTTTAACTTGTGCCCGGATATATTTCAAAATCGGCGGGGTTTCTTTTGGTTTTTCTTCTGTGGACTTTTTACTTTCACTGCATTCAGACTCGGCGATGTCCCGAGATGAATCACGCATGAATTTCATTTCGCGTTGTTTTTCTTTGTTTTTATCCGTTTCGATTTTGTCACGTTTACCGACACTGTCTTTACGTCTTATTGGAGATACTTGTGAGGATGTCTGATCACTCACTTTACGTGATTGGTTTTTATCTTTTTTACCTTTACGTGTTTTGTTATCCATATCGACATTGAAGCGGTCTTCAAGGACGCCGAATTCTTCACCGTAGACTTTACGCACTGCTTTTATTAATCGCGTAGTTGCACGCATCACACGGCGGTAACAATATGGATGACAATAGTTCTGATGCGTGCAGTAGTAATACAACGAGTTAGAAACTTGAACCATAACCTATAAAATATATAAAAATAAAATTTTAAGGTTATGTTTATTTAAATGCTTATTTTGACATTTTTAAACCTAACCTTCAACCACGGCATATTTTTAGCTGTATCATCACTGTCGTTACTATCACTGGGACTCTCCGGAGGTTGATCATCACTCAGCACACCAGGAGACTCCTCCCCACTAGCTTCCCCTGGTACTCCAGGTTCAGAAGTATCACTGCGGTCCGAGATGGAGCTCACCTTGCGCTTGGACTGGATGGAATCTGTGCGTTTAACAGTCTCGGGTATTTTCCCTGATCCAAACAAGAACAAACAAAGCGAGGGGCTCTACAAAAGGGACTCACGTGCACGAAACACACACAAACATCCGAAAAAACACAAAAAATCAAAATCAAAATCCAACACACAAATTCAAACACTTACATTCGGATAACTTACACTCGTTCTCCATATCTTTCCCTTCTTTAGTCCCACGGCGTAGTTTTAAACTACGTCGTTTGAAAGACCCGCCTGACACTGCGCCTGTGCCACGCCTTAACAAATATGGCCGCGGTTGATTAATACGCTTCATTTCTTCGCCTTGCAACAACGCCTGCATGGTAACAGTTGTATTGGAACTGCCTTCACTACCTTCATTATCAGGTTCATGCAAAACAAAACTAATTTTCCTCTCGGCTTGACCAGATTCTCGATCACCAGCGATACTCTGCAGACTTTGCGCGGATGCTTGGGAATGACCCATGGAACTCAACGCCATGGACCACCTTCTGTTAGCCTCTTTACTATACACTTTTTCCCATGGTGGAGGTCTTTCCTTAGCCCCTGGTATCACCCTTGATGATTTAGGAAGAGATTGATACGTTTCTCTAAGAAAACCTGTGATTTCCATGAGTAGCATGCATGCCATCAACCGCAGCGCCATCGGACAGCTACTCCCGTAACTATTAATACTAGCCTCATCCAAAAAATCCTCTTCCTCATCTTGTAGTAATAATTCCTTTTGTTTACCTTCGTCCAAAATCATCGTAGCGATGTTAACCTCACTATTTTTATCCTCATTGATGAATTCTTCTAAACGTGCACCCAGAGCCTCGGCCCATTGATGAAACATCTTACCAGCTGCACGTTGGAGGATGTGCGTGCGTCGTATACCCGTGGGTTGACCACGGACAGGCATGGGTCCCGAAGGCCGGAACATGGGGAATGCTAGTTTCATCCATGTGGGCCAAAGGCCTTTGTTACAACAATGTACAAAATAAGAACACTCGAGGAGTAAAGCAGCGCGTGATACCACTGTGGAGTGGGGGAGATCCATGATGGCGGCGAGTAGATGTGAATCAGGGACTGAGCCAGGCGGGCAGGTTTCCAACAGGAAGGATAGCCGTGCCATTCCTTGGAAGATTGGTGTTGTTGGGACCAATTTACGTTCTTTAAACACAACGAATTCTGATTCTCGTGAAGATTCACCGAAATCCATTGAATTTCTTCGACTTAAATCTAAAAAACGTTAAATTAGTAAATATTATGTATGTTGGGTTGCATACGTACAACTTCCAGGTGATTCTTCTGTGCTGCCATCTCGTTTTTTACCTTTTTTCAGTACAAAACGTGTAAATCTGTCTTCTACGCGGCGCTTTGCTTTCTGGAGAGTTTGCCCGACATTACCCGAACTGCTGCTTTTGACAGGCATGCGATGATAATATTTAGACCGTGATCGCATTATATTACTATCCAGACTTTCATTACTGTCAGGATTATCTGATCCGTTGATGGATCCGGAATCTCCGCGTTTAAACCAGTTTACTATACCTCCAAGTCGTGATTTTTTCGTTTTTAATGGTGGTTCGGCTATGCCGAGCGTGCGTTCACTCTGTCGCGGTGTCAAAACGTATTGTTTCTTACGCATGTTGCCTAGAGGGCTCTGGCTACTCTTGCAGTCATCACCGTCGGTCTCCAGCAGACTCTGAAACGGCGCAATCATCTGCGATGCAAATGAGGTTATGTAAACATCAAACATCAACTTGGTAAGAAACAATTAACTTAGGTTGTGGTTAGTTGTGTAGTTAGTTAACATAGGCAACTTACAGCACATGTTGATGAAGTACTACGTTTTTTGAATAATAATTTCCGTATGCTTTTATCATCAATCGAATATGATGGTTCTGTGATTGGTTCTTGCTGTTCTTCCATTTCGGCTTGATGCAAATGGCGGATGACTCGTGTTGTTTGTATATTTGGTTCTTTTTTCGATGCTCTGTCGGCTGTATCCAAGAGGGCGCTGAGTGCAACTCGGCGGAATACACTCCCATGCGCTTCTTTGACATATGTCATCAATTGTCGCACGTCACAATAAATTGCCTACATTAAAATCCATTATAATTAAAAAAAATTAAATATTTTTTAGGTTATACCAAATTTTCCGGTGCTTTTAACTCCTTGGCAGAACTAACGAATCGCGTGACGAGCGGTTTGAAGATATTCGACATAATCTGCCCCTCGACGCCGCGAATCCCGCCGCCGCCGAGGCCTACGCCAAGAGTGGAGTGGGTGGTGGTGGTGGTGGTTGATGATGGTGGTGGTGGTTGGAGTGGAATGTCTGATGGTGACTTGCTAGAGCCCCGCTTCTGGTCTGCGCGTCACACAATTCAAATTCACCGCCATCAAAACGTACGAAATGATTCAAACAAAGATGGCGGCCACAAAAAACTAACAAACAGCAAGAGAAACAACCACTACTCAAACCATACAGATAGGTATGCCAAACTATCAATTTACAATCAACCACAACTCAAAGGGGTTGTCAAGTGAGGTTATGTTATGTTACTCAGACTTAAAATGAGTTTGTCAAGACCAGGGAGAGGCGCATTGCAAGTAGAGACTACTGAGAGGCGTACGCAAGCACTCAAAGGTACTGTATACGTGTGTACCGTGTGGATATGCATAATTTCGGTCATATTTTTAGTTTTTCTCGTAAAATGCATATCCACACGTGGAAATTTTTGAAAAATAGAGTGAAGTGTGCGTTATATTCGAGTGTAGATGATCCTGAATGAAATACTTACTCAACGGAGACAATAATGAACTTGGATCAATGCAAAACCCGACGTAGGCATGTAAAAAGTCCAAAAGATCATGTAATGGTTGATATCTGACGTAATCACGTAGATATCCATTGAATTGTTTGCTACTAGCCCGAAGTAACTTCTTCATGATGTTTTGACACTGCGTGCGTAGGAATTCCGCCGCTGGACCACGATGCGCATCCGTGCAACAACCATGTGGACATCCCAAGTGTTTCAAAACCCTTTTAAAAACATTTTTATGTTTTTTTTCTTTCACAAAAAAATTAATTTTATTATATTTACCTTACGATAACACTCATTATTAATCGATGCGGTGATGTTCCATTGAGTTTTGTGTCATCTATCCCAGGCGTTTGTGAGTTACCTTTCACTCCGCTAGAGGCGCCACTGGGTTGACCTTTAGCTGAAGGACTGGCTTCTGTCATAGGCGTGGCTGTTTGCAATGCTTCGTCACGAATGAGTTGTTTCAACACGCCCATATCCATGAGTAATTCAACAAGGTTTAAAATCACTTCTAATACGCGTAATGTGCAACAGTTGTGATCGCGTAGTGATGCGGAGTGCACTGCTTTGAGGACAACTTGTAGATCTATGTCGCCCTCTTTCGTGATGTAACAGAACGAGCCGGGCGCTTCGGGTATGTCATCCGCTGTGTAGGTTATGTTCGAATCGGTTTGTGAACGTGTAAGGCTAGGTTTACGCTCGTTCCATGCGTTTAGTTTACTGCCGGAGAGCGAGATGGCGTCGAGTTGGCTGTCGATTGATCCCTGTGCATAACAAAAGTGAAAGTAAAAGTGAATTTATGTGTTTTGGGTTGCATATAGTTTAAGAATATAATACCTGACGACGCATGAAATCCGGAGATGGAGTTGGCGTGTGTTCCGTGACGGTTATAATTGGATTTGTCATTGGTTGTGTTGGGACTGTGCGCATGCGTCGTGGACGATCCCAGTGAACCTCACAATGTATATATCTTAAGGTGAAAATATAAATATATTAATATTTTGTAAATTTTTGTTGTTTTTCATAGAAAAATTGAAATTTTCGTTGTTTGGAGGTTAAATCAACTCACCCACTAGCCGCCAACTCATCAATCAAACAGCTGTGTTGATGAATGAACAATGTGCGAAGAAAAGACAGACAGGTCAAGAGAAAGAGTCACTATGAAGAGTCACACATGAATCACACACTAGATGGCGTTACCTTAAACTCGGCATACTCTTGCCTTTGACAAGATTAGAAGGTTGCATCCATTCCGGGCGCATTGTTGACATCGGACGTGACAGATGCTCATCACCCGTATCCAAACTCCTATGATACTCCTAATAACCACAAAAAAAACAATAGAAAACATCATAACCTCAAATAAAATGTGCGTAGAGTGTGAAAATTGTAAGAATGAAGAATTATAAGAACAAGAAACAAGTTTAAAAGTATTTTGAGGTTATGTGCATAAAACACTTACAATATGTGTGTTTCTGAGTGTTTTCAGAGAAAAGATGAAGAAAGATCGATACATACATTAATCATCGTGGAACTTGAACCCACCGCTTGATCACCCAGCAGTTTGACATCATCCTGGCCGCATTTCTCCAACGCCTTGTCAGATTTTGACAGCAGTTTAGTCTCAACAAAAGCTTTGAGGTCGGCCATCTTCATACGCTTCTTAGTTTTCTCACTAGAGCGGCGCTGGTGATGCGGAACAACATCCTCAGCAGTTTTGGACACATACGGTGACTCTGGAACATCTTCAGTGATATTTCAACAAACGTAATTAAATACCAAGAATAATATTTACCTGCTAACAGGGAGACATCCTTCGGGGATGGCACCTCGATGAAATCCTTGACTTCCTGTAATTTAATTTCGTTGTTCTGGTAAAGAGAAACCTCGATTTTTGGTATGGGTAGGGAGTTGGATCTTCGTCGAGGTTGTTGTTGAGCTGCTGTTTCTTCACTGATGTCCCGTAATCGGTTGTACATGTAATGCAACGCCCAGTATATACCTTCCTCTTGCCAATGTGTGATGAAGAGACATCGGAGGACAGCGACATCTAAAAAAGTAGCAGCGGATGTATCACCGAGATGGTGTTGTGTGATTAATGACTTTTTGGACCCGCTGGGGTCACCACCAGGTGGTATTTCGGTGGATGGTTGTTTACTACTACTGTCCATGCTGTCCTTGTCCGTCGACGAGCTGGAGTTTCTAAAAAGATATTTTTTTATCAAAAATCTAAACAATCCACATATTTCTTCTGTAAATATCTATAACCCAACCTCATTTTGTTCATTGACGTTGTGTGTTTTAGTTTGGCGTCGGTTGTTGTAGGGAGTACGGCGGTTGGTGTGACCGCGGATTTGCCGTTTTTGCGCATTGCGAGTTGGATTATGCTGGTTTCGGCGGTGTAGATTGATGGATCACGTAGGAATCCGTCGGATTCGTGGAGGGAGGGTAGTCGGAAGATGACGACGTGTTCTTCTTCCGTGCTGGAGGACTCTTCGGGGATGGTTTCGGGGAATACGGTGTCTTTTGGTGATGATACCCAATTTCCCTAGTGATAAAATAAGGTTATGTTAGTTTTTTGATTTTAAAATGTTATTGGTTATGATTTTTTAGGTTTTAATACTTTATCTGATAGAGAATTTTCTGTAGATTATAAATCTGCAATTCGTTTGTTTTTATCTCTTTTAGTTTACGAGATATTCGCGTTTGAAAAAATGGGTAAAATTTGGAAAATGTCACTTTTTAGCACTTTTAGACGCGTTTTTCGACCTTTTACTGTAGGAAATATAATTATTTTATATTTTTATCAGAAAGAGAATTTTCCAATCTATCAGAATCAGCAATTCGTTGGTTGCTATCACCTTTAGGTGAAGAGATATGAATTATCAAAAATCGTCGAAAAAAAGTATCAAGCACCACCCCTTGGCTTTTTTTTTCTTAAGAATGAAAATTTCATCTCTCAGATTTCCATTTTAACTATCTTATCTGATAGAGAATAGTCTGTAGATTAAGACGCTGCGATCAGATCTTAATTATCTCTTTTAGTTTACGAGATATTCGCGTTTGAATAAAATGTGCAAAAATTGACAAATGTCACTTTTTTGCACTTTTAGTGACGTTTTTCGACCTTTTACTGCAGGAAATATAATTATTTTATATTTGTATCTGATAGATAATTTTCCAATCTATCATAATCAGCAATCCGTTGGTTGCTATCGCTTTTAGTTTAAGTGATATTGATTATCAAAAATCGTCGAAAAAAAGTATCAAGCACCCCCCCTTGGCAATTTTTTCTTAAGAATGAAAATTTCATCTCTCAGATTTCCGTTTTAACTATCCTATCTGATAGAGAATAGTCCGTAGATTAAGGCGCTGCGATCAGATCTTAATTATCTCTTTTAGTTTACGAGATATTAGCTATTAAAATATCAAAATATTGACAAGTATAGTTTGTGACATGCAACCGTAACGCCATCTATGAAAAGTTGAGGTTACTTTACATCATCCTCAGCTTTTGTGATGGTGGCAGTCACAGTGACGCTCCCTTGCTGCCCGGCGGCTTGTGACACTTGATCAGCAAACGACGCGTTGTTTTGTCCTTGCGCCGGCGGTGAAGTCGACGGAGGGTCGGGAAACGTTGAAAAACCATCGTCGTTTGAATGTTTGCCTGTGTATTTAACAAACAACAGTTAAAACACCATTAAGAAACGATTACACTTCTTAAAAACACATTTTTTGTATATCTGGTTGCCTATATAAGCAAAACACAATTTTACTTTTCATTTTACTAAATCTAATACTCTAAAAACAAAACTAAAAATGTTATTAATACTAATATTAATTATTACAAATGTAAATTGTCAAAATCTAAGAATATCAACGTTTCACTGTCCGCCATTTATGATCCTCAACGAAAACCGTGAACCTATCGACGGAATAGAATATCACATTCTACGGTACATCGCACGAGACTACAACATAACCTATGCAACCAACCTACTACCATTCGCAGACCCTTACAATAAAATCCGCTATGATGTGATTGAAAACATCAGTGACATCTGCGCATGCTCACTATGGATGAAACCTAAACTCCACGATGATGTTGATTTTTCTACAACCCACTCAACAAACTGCATAACATTTTTTGTACCAAAACCAAAACCAACGCCGATTTTAGTAACAAAAACACGCATGGAACCTATAATAATAATTTACACACTGATAATATTTATAATATCAGCCATTTTGTTAAAAATCAGCTTTACACTCACAAGAAACCGAGATTTTTCAATTTGTTTGTTGGAATTATGGCGTGCGATGTTACAGAGCGCTACAACCATCGCCGCGCATGCACTACGCGCATCGGCCATCTTGCTCATCACATGGTACACATTCACAATGCTAATCACAACAGCATACAATTGTGGATTAACCACAATGTTAACAACAACAAACTACGACGAAATGATTACATCTACAGATATAATGATTGCGAAGCAAATTCATTGGTCTGGCGATGGAATACGTGAAATCGTAACACGGAAATTCTATAAATTACGAATTGATAATGTAAGTCGTGCAGAGAATAACGATTTATTCCGTGGTGGAAATTTTGCGATGTTAACAAAAAAACTATCGAATCAATACGTAACAGAGACGACAATTCTCCATCCGGATGTCAAGAATGACATCATCGTGATGCCATCTTGTATTGGCACATTTGAGGTTACATTCTACTTGAATAAACATTTAGATCCACAAATCACGTTGATTCTAAACAAAAATATTCAAACTTTAAAGGAACACGGCTTGATTTGGTTGTGGTACAATACAATGATTGATAAATACACAATCGGAGACGAATCAATGCGGAAATTGTTCATGACGCAGACGCAGAAAACCATGGCGGTGCCATTGGACATGCAAAAAGTGTCACATGCATTTTTTATCTTGTTGATATTTTTATTTTGTGCTTTTTTGGTGTTTTTGAGTGAAATATTTGTGTTTAGGCAGAGAAAACGTCGGAAATTTTACTCACGTCCACAGAAAATGTCTCCAAATTGATTCTTTTTACCATTTTTGGAGTTTAACAGCTTCGGTTTGGGTTTACAGTGTGTGGTGAAGCAAGGGGCGTCGGGGTGACGGAAATCCCACATTGCCTGCCAGATTTTCAATCCGTTTTCCAGCCGGAAGTTTTGAAAGTCTGATTCTTTCAATGATTGACATATCGGGGCGAATAGATACACAAACAGCTAAAATAGGTTAAAATTGAGGTTATGTTTAGTGATTTGATATGTTGTGGTTGTTTACCGTCATTGTAGGTATAGAGAATAGATAATAAAATGGCGACGTGTGATAAATGCCTTTCTCATAATCAGCATCCGAGCATTCTTCAGCTGCGTCTAATAATATCCAGTGTAATGTGTACAGGACTTTGCTTTCCATTGCGCCCATCATTTGTAAATTACCGTCTTTCATTCTTAAATACATAACAAGTAAGGTTAAGTTTTGTAGGTTAAAATTTTTTAGGTTATGTTTACCTGTTAAACAAAATGGATGCTATGCTATGCATGACATGCGGTAGGGATGCTTGTATTAATCGCCAACGTGGTAGAGCTTTCAAAGCTTCGTTCAAATCACTTTTTAAACCAATTGTGATGTTTTGCACTAAAACTTTCTCGAATAATTTGCAGGATTCTTTCAGTTCGTAATGGCCAGGCGCGTGTTGACAAAACTAAAATATGTTACATGTTTTTTAGTTATTTAATGCGTTTATTTGTATTAGTATTATTTACCATGCATGATGCTTCGTGTAATTTTCCCAATTTAGGACGAACGAAAGGCGCAACTTGTTTCCAGAGGAAGATTTGTATGGGAATTGGTATCGCCTGGTCAGTGAGGTTTTCTAACGAGGTGAGATGGTCGTTTTCCGGCGGCATGTTGCCTGTGTGAGCGCGGAATTGCGACTGATATTTTGCAATCGATCCTTGAAGGATACTAGGACGATAGAAGGAGGAATATTCAGGATGCTGCGCGGTGTGCGCAATATACACAATATTTAAACTCGCGCAGTTACAATAATGGCTGCCAGAGGCGGTATTGACCAATCAGAGCGCAGTATTTTAAACGCACGAATAAAAACGAGCACGAACGAAAGGTTAACCTGAAAATTTTGTAGTGTCGCGGTGAATTCAAAATTAAAACGTGAAAAACACAATAAAATCATATAAAAATCAAATAAATATATGTAATATTAGTGAAATTATTATGAATAATATGTTTTTAGTGGTTTTTCATTGGTTTTAGGTGAAAATTTTGTGAATTTCGGTGGAATAACCGTTAAATATTTGAAAATAGAAATGGTGGGAAGAAATCCAATGCCGAACCGGTTGTTGTAATACAATGAGCGAACTGATGAACCTCTCATCGGCACGTTTAGCACATTTTTCCTAAAACCACCAGCCATTTGTCAATCGTCATTCGTCCACTGTGTGTCTGTGTGTCGTCCAAACAAAAAAAAAACGTCGTTATCAACACGTTTTCGTATTCATTTCTATAAAAACACAAAAACCCAACAAAAACCATGGCTGATGAGAACCGCATTCGTTCGTTCAAAAACAAAGGAAAAGACACTGAAGTACGTACATTTTACACAATTAAACCAATAATATTAACATCATAATCATATCATGTATAAATTAGGAAATGCGGCGTCGTCGTATTGGTCAAACCGTCGAACTCCGCAAGGCACGCAAAGACGATCAACTCCTCAAGCGTCGCAACATCACCTCTGTAGACGAGCCGACATCACCACTGCAAGAAAACAATGCCGCATCACCGGGCGCAATGTCCGCCGAGGAGATCCTGCAGGGTATGATGCATGCCGACGAAGCCATCCAGCTAAAAGCAACGCAAGCATGCCGGAAAATGCTCAGCCGCGAGCGCAATCCGCCGATTGATCAAATGATTCGCCTTGGTGTCGTGCCTAGATGTGTGCACTTCCTTTCAAAACCACACAAGTAAGACACAAAAACGCTTAAAAACAACTTAAAATCAATTAAAACTAAATTTTTCTTTTATAAAGTCCTTCGCTGCAGTTTGAAGCATGCTGGGCTTTAACCAACATAGCATCAGGCACATCTGAACAAACCCAGGCTGTCGTACAAGAAGGAGCCCTACCCAGCCTGAAACAATTACTTGTTTCACCACGTCCAGAGGTCGCTGAGCAAGCAGTCTGGGCGATTGGTAACATTGCTGGTGATGGACCAATCACGCGTGATCTTGTCCTCCAATGTGACGTCCTACCCTTACTCTTGAGTTTAATCACGGCTGATACACCAATCAGCTTGCTGCGTAACATTGTCTGGTCCATCTCGAATCTCTGCCGGAATAAAACCCCGCCGGTGAACTTCCAAAGCGTGAAATCATGTCTGCCTACCCTGGCAAAACTCCTACATCATACCGATAAGGATGTCTTGGCTGACACATGCTGGGCGTTGAGTTATCTCACCGATGGTACAAATGAGAAGATTCAAGCTGTGTTGGAAACTGGGCTGGTCCCGCGTTTGGTGCAGTTGTTAAATTGTAAAGAAATTAATGTTTTAACACCGGCATTACGTACTGTGGGTAATATTGTAACAGGAAATGATGTGCAGACTGATGCGATCATTCAGGCGGGTGCTTTGTTATCTCTGGGTCCATTATTGAAGTTCACCAGGTTGAATATTGTCAAGGAGGCAGCCTGGACGATTAGTAACATCACAGCTGGAAATTCCGAGCAGATTCAGAAGGTTTTAGACGCTGGGATTATGGATCCACTCTTGGATGTCTTACAGACGGGTGATTTTAAGTCGCAGAAGGAAGCTGCGTGGGCTGTGACTAATTATACTTCCGGTGGTACTGTTCAGCAGTTGGGAAGGCTCGTGGAGATGGGCGCGATGAAACCCATGTGTAATTTGTTGAATAGTAAGGAATGGAAGACAGTGTGTGTGATTCTTGATGGTTTGAATAATATTCTGAGTGCGGCGGCTAAGTTAGGCGAAGCAGAAAAGGTAATACCACCGCCATTTTGTATTTTTATGTTTGGTAATTAATTAATTTTTTGTTTTTTTGACGATAGGTGGCGATTATCATCGAAGAATGCGGTGGTTTGGATTGTTTGGAAGCGCTGCAATCGCATGATAATGAAAAGGTGTATGAGAAAGCCTTGCATCTTATTGAGACTTATTTCTCGGAAGCTCCGATTGATGAGGCGCAACAGCCGCATACGAATGAGCAAGGCCAGATTTCGTTCAATCCCAACGCGCCGCAAATGCCCAGCGGTGGCTTTTCTTTCTAGAAAGCTTTATATCACATTCTCAATTTGTCAATTCCCTAAATTCTAAATTTTTATCGTGATTTTTTGTAATATCATCAATGTCGTTAACTGTTAATTATTAATTAAACACTTTTCTAATATTTATGTCTTGATAACTAGGTAATTATTGCATACATGCATTTTGCGCATGATTTTGCTGATCATCGAAGGTATAATAAGTATTTTGGGTTGCCTATACTGCCTGTCAACTATATCTGCTAATTTCAAGTTAATTTAACGCTAAACACACAACAAATCATTCTAATTTCTATAAAATTAATGTTTTGTGACTTGTTTGTTACTTGTGTTGCCTAATATTGTATTTACACTTAATTTTATTCATTTTTCCTTTAGTTATCGAACATAACCCAAGATTCTCAAAACTTTATCAATACTCGTTGCATACGTGCATTTAGCGCATGATTTTGCTGATCATCGAAGGTATAATAAGTATTTTGGGTTGCCTATAAACCCTGTCAACTATTTCTACTAATTTCAAGTTAATTTCCACTAAACAAACAACAAATCATTCCAATTTCTATAAAATTACTACTTTGTGACTTGATTGTAACTTATGTTGCCTAATATTGTGTTTAAACTTAATTTGTTTATTTTTTTTTCGAACAGTTATCGAACATAACCCAAGATTCTCAAAACTTTATCAATACTTTCCGCATCACATGCGTGTCTTACTTCTAGCTTCTCAATCAGATCCAAAATATCCACGTTTTCCGCTTGCAGCGCATGCGGAATACCGTAAAACACAACATACTTAGCCAGTTTATCTAAATCAATCGCTTTACACTCGGAGACAAAATGGCGGCCGGTGACATACGCCCGCAGCGCCTCCCACAACAACTGCTCCCAGTTATCCACAGTCGTCAGCGCCCTCTGATGCAGGGCGAGTATTTGTTCGTCGTTTATCAACTCCGATGTCCATGAACTGCGCAAAACAAACGCTTGGATTATCTTTAGGTGCCAGATATCCAATGGCGTCGTAGTCGTTGACAAGTTTTTAACAATCTGCATAGTAAAAACAGTAAAAACATAAATTATATTGTTATTTAGTATGTTTTGTTTGATTTTTTACCTCAACCATCTGCACAAACAATGGAAGCGCAGCTAATTTATCCTTAATAACACTTTCATAGGTTATCTGTGTTAAAGCCTGCTGAAATTTACTTTCTTCAGTCTGCACAGCTTCAGAATCATCAAAATCTTCATTATTAACTAAAGATTTATCATTCGAAGCTGTCAAAAACTGATCAGCAAACAACCGCACAATAGTATCCGAAGAAAACGATAAAATCGACTTGGCAGGCGGATCCCACGGCACAACATCCGATTTAGTCAGTGTTCTTGCAAGTTCACTCCTAAACCCAGTTTTATCTTCGTTGTAACTCAAACAACCAGCGCGTTGACTCACATCTACATGTCCGGAAGCATTCAGGACTTTCCTAACCACAAAAACAAACAAAAAACAAATAAAAATAATGTTTTTAAACATTTTCTACAACTTACAACAACTGTTCCCAATTCCTTTCGCGTTTAAACACCACTGGCCAATACCTAACATCCAAAACACTAACTTTATACAACGTGTTCAAGTCAGGAATCAACGCAGGCGCTTTCACAGCAAAAACACGTCCATCCAACCGCACAACCTGTAAATACGCATAACACATCCTCCCAGTGACAATATCCGTCGGAATAATCAACCGTGGCTCAGCCGCCAACACATAAAGATGGCGGAATGCTTGCAAATGATACCGATTGTCATTACTATGCGTTGGGAACTTCGGATAAAACGCGCAAATCAACGCAGCGACACTCGCCGGTGAATTACTAAGTGTATACCGTCCACCGCCCAAGAATAACAACCCCAACGCCATGTGCAGAGCCATATGAGATCCATAAGTGACCACAGCACTGCTTGATAACCCCACGCGTTGTCTAAGATACCTTACAATGCGTATAACGTTGAGATTTCCGGTGCCCGCCATCACCATAGCGACCGAAATGAGAACTACATTGACACACGTCTCCATTGTGGGTTTCCCAGCGAGTTCCGCGATGGTTTTCGATGTGAGCGAGGTGAACATGTGGCAATACTCCAGGAGAAGGTCGTAGACAGACTCATCGGCTGTCCCGGCGTATTTTAAACCAATTGCGAAGCATGCACCGGCGATTATATTACAATACGCTTGACTAGAACAATAAAACAATAATTTTTAGGTTAATTTTGTTTTTAGGTTAGATTATAATACTTACTTCATTGCTTCATAGTCTAAATCACATTGTGGGTTAGGTTCCACCATGCAATACGGCCGTATTGACTCTGGGACTTGTTTCTCAATCCAATCCTTACACGGATCAATCTCGTTCCATAGAATTAACGCTCTGCACAGTGTGCGTAACATTAAAAAATCCGGCCGGACGAAATCCAGTAGATAATGTGTGTCTGGTGGTGACATCCATCCCGCAATTGCTTTGTTTCCAGTTCCTAGATACATTAATCCAAGCGCTAGTGTCGCGCCTGGTGCAGTGACGTCTAAGTTAACAGTGCTGCCCTCTCGGATTTGAAACGACGGAACTTTGTACTTCTCCTTCTGTGTGCCTGCCAATGGCCGCTTACTTCCACCAACCATATAATAATGCAGTGTATCCGGTACTTTTAAATCAGACAAACCAATCGATGATCCACCTTGTCTCAGTGTAACCAAACCAAGTGCCAAACCCGCCGCTAGTGAATAACTCTGTCTATCAACAGAATTCTCCATTTCAGGCCCTGGTGGCCGTCCGATTTCAGTCAACATAACCTCAATCATTCTCCGATGTGCTGTGCCTTGATATATCAACCCCACACCCAATAAAGAAGCTACCTGTAAATTCTGTGGGACATCTAATTCTATCGAAGTCGGTGGGAGTAATCCTTCGACGTGTACACTCAACATCTTCGTCACGGCTTGATTGGAAGTTCCTCGAAACGCCGCTCCGAGTCCTAATAGGATACCAACCGAAGTCATCTCGTGGAACTTCGCGAGGTAATCGAACCGGTTTAGAATAGCGAGGTTCTTCAAATGGCCGTTCAACCCCAGCGCCATGAGGAACCCGGCGTGTTCCATCATAGTCTCAGCGTTGTTTCGCGGTTTGTTGAAGATAATCCACGTGCTGTCGACGTGTTTCGCCGAGGGGTTAATGCGCAGGCCATTCGCGACGCCATTATGAAACTGTGGCCAATGCGCCATATTAGACGGCGTGTCAATGTGTGTTAGTTCAACTGTTGTGCCACGAGGGTGCGCTTTACCCGTTAGACACAGTGGAGGCACCGGGAGTGGTTCGGTTATGATTGGTGTTGATGTATGGAGAGTAAACATGCCACGCCCAACTGGTAACGCCATTGTCCGTGTGCAAATCGCATAGAGTTGTTTCTCTTGCTCTTCGAGATGGTCATGATCGGATACATCGGGGCGTTGCACGACGTTTATAGCAACAGGTTTCGATGATTGTAATAAATTTCTAACCTCTTGGACGCGTTGATCTTTGGAAAAACGAAGTTTTAAGATTTCGTTATTCATGTCTTCCATTCCATCGTTGATTGTGGGATCACGTGGTTGGTTTTTCGTTGTGGAATCACCGAAGATGTCGAAATTATCCGAATCATTACGATCGGCCTACAAGTAAATATATTTAGGTTACACTTATATATTTTTAAGGTTATGTATGCTTACTGTTTTGATTATATCTGATTGTGAAGCAAGATCAGGCCGCTGAAGTAAATTATAAGCCTCCGCAGGCCAATCCGTAGGTGGATCGAATCTACACCGCCAGAGGGCGTCGTAGAGCACAAAATTGACAGCTAATGGATACGTTTCCAAGCTCCGCGTTGTAATATTCATCTCTATCATCATAATAACCACTTTTTCTGCTTCACTCTCACATGTTACATCTTTATATTTACTCTCGGCTGCTTTAACCTCACTTTTACCGACTGTATTCCGACTACCAGGTGGCGCTATCACCCTTAGAAACTTGTCTACTTTAGTATCAGCATCACACATCAAATACGTCGCCAATAACTTGACAATATTCTTACTTCTTGTGTTTATATTGTCAATCACCGGATATCCGTCAATATTCTTGTCAGTCTCAAGACACAATGATTGAATATACGCCATTATATCAGTGGGGGTGTCCGGTATGTGCGGCCATTTTGTAACTTGTCGCATATCAATCAAATCGCGTTTCTCATCGGAAATTATAACCTCTAAAGGAAAATCTTTCCAGTAGTGCATTGTATACTGCACAAGACCTAAATCAGTCGATATTTGTGCTAGAAACACTGCTAGTAAACTCAAATCTGCTTTTCTAAGCGTGTTTAGTTTTAAATCCTCATAAACAAGATGGAGGACGTAGTGGATGATACACACATGTGAAAATAAGACATTTCCGGGTGTATTTACCAAGTTTTGTGGATTATCACGTGGTATCTTCTCACAATCACCAGAAAACTGTAAATATTTATCGATTACCTCCAAATTGTTGTTTTTACGCATGCAATTCCAATCGAGGACAGTGCCATCTAGACTTTGTCTTTGACGTTTAACCTGTGCGGAACATGGCGTATGTTCTGCACTCCGCCGTGTTTTTTGTTCGTTTTGCGCAGCATAACCTAACAATTCAAACAACATCTTCGTGAATAACGTCCATTCCTCCTCATGTGAGATATCCAAACTCCCCGGGAGGTTCCTAGCAGCGTACCATCTCGATAAAGTCGTCATGACTAAATCCCGAGGTAAGGCAACCCGCAATGCATTCAAGCAATCCTCCACCAGCTGCGAATAAACCATATTAGGTAAAGTGACACGGTAACAACTGCCATCTGAATATTGCAGCGTCATTCTATTATCAATGGCGTCTTTCAGCCCGGACAACACAACTCTTACATCGCCGATTTCGGGTAACTGCATGATTGTATTCGCTGATTGTCTGGTTGCGGGTAAAACAGGCGAGAGTAAATGTTCATCGAATCTCGGATCAACTGGTGTACTAGTCGGTAATAAGCTGCTTCTGCGTGGAAACGGCGAGTTGAAGAACTTCTTCTTAACTGCAAATGGCGACGGTACGTGTTGCGCAAGCGCACCACCAATGTGCAGCTTACCAATCACAGTTAACCCACTATAGAGGACCACATTTGACGTGTGTTCCAATATGGCTAACATATGTAGATGCGGAATTGTCACCGCATCTTTCGCTGAGATGTTCATCATCTTACCAAAGACAATATCATCGCTGTTGTTTGAATAATCGAACTTGACAATCGATAATTGTGACCTTGAAGGTACTAAATAACATAGATACCATCGTCCCATGAGGTCTTCGGTGGTGAATACATTCGTAGCTGGTGAGTTTACAGTGGAATCGCTTAGGGATTCACACCAGATGTGATCCAGACAGAATACGGGTTCTGTTGAGATGATATTTGAGTTTTCCGTGCTTGGAAAGCGATTTGTTGAGTCACAAGAGCGAACTGTGCTGTGTAGGCGTGAAAGGCGTTGAATCCATGGGCTGGATTTTTTCGGTGCTGGTGAACCCATTGGTGTTTGGCAGCGTGAGGATGTTAATGGGCCGGAAAGGGGGCTTTGACCACGTGATGGGTAGAGACTACCGCTGGCGACACTCGTGGGGCGGCTGTTGAATGAACTTACCATTGGGAACATCGAACGGTAGGATTCAGCGAGTGAATAACCAACTGTGCAGTTCTAGAGTAAGAAAAATTGCGATAAAAACATGTTAATCACTAGAATTTTATGTTTTTGAAGGGGAATTTTGATTTTTATGCTTGGATCTGATTGAAATCTTATTGAAAACACATTTTTTGAAGCAAAACATTGATTTTTGAGCTTAAATTCACGAAAAATCAACAAAAACCACGAAATTTTTAATAATTAACGCGAATAACTTTAAAATTGACAAGATATTATCAGTAATTTATAAAAATACAAAGAATTTACTTGATAACTATCAAAAAACAACAAAATCATTCAATTTCACGTGTTTTTGGTTGCATAACAACAATTTTATGCTTTAATCAACGTTTTAAAGCAATTAAACACTTCTAAATACATTTTAACACTCACCTTTGTATGAATCTGGGACGAATTAACATTTGTCTTGTTCATAGCATCCAATTCATCAGTTTTCAACCTTCGCAGACGACAAATAATATGTTGATGAGTGCAATCGTCATAAACCAGGCACAAATCAAGCGTTTCAGAAGCAAAAACCATTTTAAACGATTTAGAATGAATTATACCCGTACTACCGCCTTTAGAGTAAGCCACAGGGGCGGCAATGTCCAAGGGATGCGTCATTGAGTAAATCATCGGTGTAGATTCTTTCTGCGCATCTAAAAAACACAAAATAATACAATAAATACAAAAATCAATTAAAAAACAACAAAAAAGTAAATATTTAATATGTTTTACATAATTTTAAAGATATTTACACACCAGTATCATCCCGTTCGATGAAAATCCCAAATTTCGTTGGCCACATCTTTTTCACTGGAAACGGCAGCGTTGTAATGAAATCCTCATCATCTTTAGTATAAACCCTGAGATTCTGTGTGTCTGCTATACACAGACAATCCAATGGTTCACCAATATACTCTGCGCCTTCATCCACACCAACTAAATCCTGGTTTTCCATCTGAAACGTGCACCAGATCGCATCTTTCAGCTGAAAATAACTGGAATAACTGCAGATGACACTCCGGGCGTTCTCGTCGTCATTATAAGACAACCCACGGCTCCAAATGACTAAATTTCCTTTCACATACAACTCTTCCTCCATGGAATCCTCAGGACTACGAAATTTAATCCTTTTTTTAGCTGTTGTGCAATTGTTACTCGGCGTGCGTATACTGCGTTCAAATTCATTCGAAACGCGTTTATTTACGAACAAACGTGAAGCTGTCACATCAGGAATGATTTTCTTACTCAAATCAACTGATTTAGGTGACCAGGAGTCATTAAATAGCATCTCGCTATGAGAATTTGTGCCCGAGAGGAAACTTTTGGCGGATTCTCGTGCATTACGAGTGTTTTGTTCGGTTTTTAACGCGGATGTTGATGAGTTTTGATTGCATGATGGTTTATCAATGGATTTACGAAGTATCCACCATTCTGAAGCAGAGTTTTCATCAATTTTTACTCTTTCCAGGCGGTGTAAGAGGAAATCATCGCCGGTTTCCAGCGGGATGCTTAGCGATTCTAATTCGGGTGGGTCTGGATGACGAAGGGCTTGCTGCCGTCCACCCGGGATAAACTCCTGTGGTCATTTAGAGATAAAAACATAGAAATAAATTACAATTGTGTAGATTTTACGTAGGTACCTGAGGATCATTGGCAGCAATCATAATTTCTGTTTTGACATCCAGATTTGCAACGTTTGAACCAGTGGTAGACAATAACCAACACCACCTTTCTAATATTATACAATAATTTACAGATTATTGTTGTTTTAACACTGATTTTCTTTTTAAACAATCTTCTAAGGTTACTTTCATAAACGGTGAAAGTTAGTTTTGAATTTCACCGCAAAACAGCGCTGTAAACACATGTTTTATGTTTAACCTTACAATTTCAACATCTTAATCTGTTAAAAAATGGTAAATATCTTAATAAATAATTAGTTATAAACTAAAAAATACATAATTTATAGGAAGTACTATCAAGACCAGCCGACGAGTTCGAAAATGATCAACAATTAGAGGCTATGTGGGCCATGAAAGCATTTGAACATGCCGAGATCTATTTCAATGTAAGTTTTTCTTTTTCTCTTTAAAAAACGCATTAAAACTTGTTATTAATTAAAATTTGATGGTATTCTTATAGATTATAGCATCAGTTGACCCCACAGCGCTTAAATTAACACCGTTTGATGATACAATCTACACAATCTTCAGAAAAGAGTTTCCTACACTTGACATTCATCATTTAAATGAGGATGAAATGAAAAGTCCGGCTGGCAAACAGAAATGGCGCAGTTTCTGCGAGAGATTCAAGTTTGTCGACGATTATAGTTTTGGTACACTGGTAAGAGCAGACGCGGACAAAGATTACTCACAAGAGAACTCAATTCTTGTGTCTAGGATACATTTCTATGCTATTGAACTTGCCAGAAACAGAGAGGGACTTAATAATAGTATAAGAAAACATTTCTTTACAATTAGAGATAATAATGATGCTACTGTTAAACAAAATGAAGAATAATTTCGCATAATAATTAATTTTTTGGTTTCTTTTCTAAAATTTTCTAATTTTTTAAGTTAATAATTGAATAAAGGATCTTTTTAAATAGGATTTTGCGATTGTTAGTTACCCATACGTATAGAAAAGATAATTATGTGGGTTTTCTCATTTTTTTGTCAATTAATCCTTAATTGTATTGAATAGAATACAAAATTTCTTTAACTTAAGAGGCGTCGACGGCAGTGGCGGACGCAGACTCCTCGGTGTACTTGCCCTTGTCCTTGCCGAGCGCGGCGAGACGTCCCTTTGCCCTTCGGTCGATGATCTTCTTCCTGTCCTTGTCCATCTTCAGTTTTACAACAACACACTGCAAATTTCAACCAAAAAAATTAATATTTCACATATTTAAACATAAAATTATTAAATTTTTAGGTTTAAATATAATCAGTGCCATTATTTCACCATACTACAAGTCAAACAATATGCTGTACAAGCTGAGAAAGAGAACCTTAACCAGCTGCACAATATAAAGTCCAAACATTGTTGTCTACGAATGGTTTATGCTCATCATCTGAATAAATTTGGTGTTTCAAGTTAAGGAAAAGTGAAAAAACTTACTTTTGATGGATGAATGCCTACATATACGCTAGCGCCGTTGGCTTTCTCGCGCTGAATTCGTTCAATGTAGATAACGAATTTTTTCCTGTAGACCTGGACTACTTTGCCCACCTGTTGGCCTTTGTAGTGACCGCGTACTACCTGTAATTACCAAACTATTATCACACTAATTAATGCTGTTGTTGGCTACTGCTTACTTGCACTTCATCGTCCTTACGAATCGGCATCGTTCGTACATTGTACTTCTGTTTGAGCTCTTTGGAGAGCGGCGCCGACATCAATGTACGCCTGATGTGCGACGGTGCGGTGAAATGCCTCTTCCGGTTCTTACTCCGGTCGGACGAGACGAGCTTGTTGAGTTTCATTCTGAATGCTGTTTATGTCTCCTGCAAACCAAAGATATACACATGTAAACTTTACACTTCGAGGTTATAAAATATAAACAAGACATTTAAGGCATGAAAATTATAAGGATTTAGTAAATATCCACCGAAAGACGTACATTCATACGTGTGAAATGTAATGGTATGTTATTTATGCAAGGATTAATTGAGAATGGACGGATGATTGAGGATTTTTGATAATTTCCGTACGTACCGACAACAGCAACACAACACTTGCAAGCGGAAAGAGAGAGGTAGTTGGTGCAGAGGGCGCGCTTGTCAACTTTTGACATTTCACGTGGTACGAACAAAATCGGAGCTACCCGAAGTATATTTAGCATGAAAAAAATTGTAATTTTTATTTTAAACATTAAAGCTATAAAAATACAAGTATAATATGTTAAAATCACTTTAAACGTATACAATTATCATTCTAGAACTTCACATGTTCATTTTACAAACTGGTTAAGGTTAGAACACGTTTAATTATTCTGGTTATCAGTTTAATTCATGTATACTGATCAAAATTCACTCAAATCACTTGAAACATTCAACACGCGCGGATGTCGCTTGTTATTTTACTTGCGACACCATATTAAGCAGTTGTTTTCGCTTCAAAAACAAGTTTTTCGTTTATATTCAGTGAATTCCTCAACAAATCATCATGCAATCTTCACCAAAGTTACTTAAAACACTTCTTAAGGTACATATACGTCTTATCAACTGTTACTAACTGATTATACGACTACAGCAGTAGATTCCACCGCTTATAATTTATTAATATGTATTTTTCAGTGTTCAAGGCCATTGCAAAACAACCTTCTAGCACGAAATTGGAGCACAGCGGTTGGTTCCACGCATTTGCCTTTAGATATTCTCAGCGAGGATGAAATTACAATGAAGGAAACAGGTTTGTTTATGTTTAAACAATAAAAATTGTTTTATTCACGTTTTGGGACATTTTATTTTAAGTTGCGCGTTTTGCGAAAGAACAAATCGCACCGAAAGTCAGAGAAATGGAAGCGAATGGAACAATTGACAATGATTTACTTAAACAGCTCTTCATAAACGGAGTACGTACATTTATATAATAATAATGATAGCAGCGTAAAGTGAAAGTAAACAAATCTATAAATAACTTGTTATACTTATACTATGCGTATGTGAGGTGTATATTGGGTTGCCTATAGTCGCATACCATACTAATACATTTTTAAGCTTTTTTTCTTTAAATATCTTTAAATATCTTTAAAAATACGTTGAATTAATCAATTTTTTCACTGTACAGTTAATGGGAGTAGAGATCCCGACAGATTACAATGGTTCCGGATGTAATTTCATGACGACAATTCAAGTAATCGAAGAAATAAGTAAAGTAGACCCTGCTGTAGCCGTCCTCGTTGATATTCAAAACACTTTAGTCAACGCAATCCTCATGAAACTCGGAACAGAAGAACAAAAAGCGAAATACCTCCCGAAACTAGCCACAGAAATGTGTAGTAGTTTCGCCCTGTCGGAAACATCCTCCGGTTCGGACGCATTCTCATTAAAAACCACCGCGAAAAAAGATGGCGACCATTTTATCTTAAACGGAAGTAAAATGTGGATTTCCAACTCGGATCATGCCGGATTATTCCTTGTAATGGCGAATGCCAATCCAGAAGCAGGATATAAAGGCATTACGACATTTATTGTCGAAAGAGACACGCCTGGATTCAGTGTTGCTAAACCAGAGAAAAAATTGGGTATTTGTGCGAGTGGTACGTGCATGCTGAATTTTGACAGCGTGAAGATACACGAAAGTCAAATTTTGGGACAATTTGGGCATGGGTATAAATATGCGGCTGGGTTTCTCAATGAAGGAAGGGTTGGTATTGCTGCACAGATGGTTGGGCTAGCACAGGGTTGTTTTGATGCTACTGTGCCGTATACTTTGGAGAGGAAACAATTTGGACGGGAGATATACCAATTTCAGGTTAGTTTTATGCGGATAACCTTAAAATTTGTATTTTTGGTTATAACTTGGGTAATTTTTATTGAAAACAATCAAATTTGGTGTTGAATGAAAGAGAAAAAAGTGGGGAATCATATTTTAGGGATGTGTTATTTATAAAAAAGGTGTTAAGGTCTTAAAACTAGGTTTTTATGAAAAATACCGGTATTTTTGCGATTTTTTTACTAAATACTGGTATTTTATGGGTTATTTTTTTGGAAAATATTGGTCTAATATCAGTTTTATTCAATTGACTAGTTTTATACTACTTTTCTTTCAAAATACCGGTATGAAATTGGTTTTCTTGAAAAATACCGGTATTTTTGTGTTTTTTTCAGCTAAATACCGGTATTTTATGGATGATTTTTTTGTTAAATATGGGTATTATGTTAGTCTTATGCAAGCTACCAGTTTTGTATGTGTTTTTCTTAAAAATACCGGTATTAAACCGGTTTTCTTGCACAATACCGGTATTTTACCGGTTTTTCCACAATTTATCAACATTTTACAGGTTTTCCAACAAAATAATGGTATTATACTACTTTTCCTATAAACTGGCGGCCCTTTTAATGCAAATTTTGTAATTTTTGAGGTTATTACACCATATTTTCACATTTTCAGGGTGTCCAACATCAAATCGCCCAAATAGCGACCCAAATTGAAGCCGCACGTTTATTAACCTACAATGCAGCACGTCTAGTAGAGCAAAAGAAAGATTTTGTAAAACAAGCAGCGATGGCCAAATATTTCGCAGCTGAAGTCGCCCAAAATGTCACAATCAAATGCATTGATTGGATGGGCGGTGTTGGTTTCACTAAAGATTTCCCACAAGAAAAATTCTATCGTGATGTTAAAGTGGGTAGTATCTACGAAGGTACTTACAACATGCAATTGAACACGATTGCAAAATACATTCATAAGTTTTATAGCAACTTCAGTAAGTAAATAAACATAAAAATAATTTGGGGGTTATAATTGAGGTTATGATATTTTCAACCAAAAAAAAATATAATAAAGTAGATTTTTAGAGCGATCGGTCATTCCGCGTGCCCTACGGCATTTCGGACCGCGTAGCACACACCAGGTAGAACAAAACTCACTTAAGTCACGTACGCCTGCGCCTGCGTGTGTGTGAGTGAGTTAAGTCAAGTGTGCGTCAAGTGGATATCGCGCGCGCGGCGCGGTGCAGCGAAACGGCGTACATTCACCATTCGTTTCTCTTTTCCACCGTCCCTCCTCAGCGGCGATGCGACTCAAGTTGAGTCAAGTTGGTCGATGTGTCTCACCGCTCACTGCTTCAGTCAGTGCTCAGTGTGGAATGCGTCTCAGTGCTGTGCGCATCGGGTACGTGCAGATAAAAGTAACGCAAAGACTAAGATCTATTCGTGTGTGTGACTTTCTAGTGTTTGCAGAATGTTCTAGCCGCTTAATTCGGCGGAAAACTTAGTTTGCACTTTGTTATTTTGCCGTTATACGTCGCTAATGGATTAAACACACGCTGGGTGGTGATACATCACTCGGAGAGGGATATATTTACATCTTAGGCTCAAGTAAGTTATGTTTTGTGTGTGAAATATGGGAAAATTGGGTTAAGGGTTATTTACGGTGGAGAATTACAGGAAACTGTAATTTTTAAGATGACAATTGATGGTTAATAGGTTTTAGTTGTTGGTTATCGTGTTTTGTAGAAGATTTTATCGTGTTTGACATCAAATTAATGCGGTTTTATTGGTGGATTGGTGGATTTATGTGTATTTGTGTTTTACAACGAGTAAAATGTGTTTTAAAACGAGTTTTAGGCTTTTTTGCGGTTAAAACTGTAAAATTACAGAAAACTGTAATTATATTTCTAGTCATCTGGTGTCAAATAGTTTTTATTTGTTTGTCATCATGTGTTTTATGCGATTTGATTGTGTTTGGCATCAAATTAACGCCATTTTCAAACAGAATACAACAAAGTTAATTATTTGATGTTTATTTGTTGTTTACAATAAGTAAAAACCGTTTTTAAATGAGTATATGGGTTTTTCATGATATAAACTGTAAAATTACAGAAATCTGTAATTGTATACTGCGCCATCTGGTGTCAAATAGTTTTTATTAGTTTGTCATCATGTTTTTTACTCAATTTTATCGTGTTTGGTATCAAATTGAAGCAAATTTTAAGCCGGATATCACCAAATCAATTATTTTGTGTTTATTTGAGTTTTAAAACAAGAAAAACGCGTCTAAAGTTAAAAATTCATCAATTTTTGGTCATTGCAACATTTTAAACTGACTTAAGTCACATTTCTACACACATAAAAGGCTTCCAATGTTTTCTAATAGATATCAACGCGTTTTCTAAATGTTAATCGCAAGTTTCCAAAAACCATCCGCGGCAAATGCCAAACGACCACACAACTGTTGTTTAAATGTCCAAATATGTCGAAAACATCTTCTCATCAACTTATATACAGGATATTATCTAACTAACATCAAAAATATAGTTTTTTTTATTGATGTATTGTTAATGGACACCCTGTATAAAAGTTAAATATGGTAGTTTATCGAATAGTAGGTACATTATATGCTTTATATGTAGATTGGTGAATGGTAAGCGGTAAGGTCTTGCGAGGTCTCGGGCCGGGCATTGAGTTTTCGTCCAAGACACCAGTCACAACTCACAACTATGCCCTGCAGCATCGCCGGCTGTGGTCCAATGAACTTTCGCCGATCGCGTTTTACATATTCACACATCCACAGCGGCACAGATGTCTAAAAACCGCACAAAATGATTTTTTGCGAGTGAAATTACAGAAAACTGTAATTTTCTCAACATAGACAACTTTATACACACATATAACCTATTGCCATGACTTCTTAAAGTCATATTCTTATAAATTAAGCGTAAATTGCACTTTACAACACAATTTTTAGGTTAAATCAATGTTTTTTACGAATAAAATTACAGTTTTCTGTATTTTTCTCAACATAGGCAACTTTATACACACATCTAACCTATTGCCATGAATCTTTAAAGTCATACTCTTATAAATTAAGCGTAAATTGCATTTTACAACGCAATTTTTAAGTTAAGTCAACGTTTTTTACGAATAAAATTACAGTTTTCTGTAATTTCTCAACATAGGCAACTTTATACACACATCTAACGTATTGCCATAAATCCTTAAAGTCATACTCTTATAAATTAAGCGTAAATTGCACTTTACAACGCAATTTTTTACTTAAATCAATGTTTTTACGAATAAAAACACAGTTCTCTGTTTTTTCTCAACATAGGCAACTTTATACACACATCTAACCTATAGCAACGAGCACATAAACTCATACTCTTATAAATTAAGCGTAAATTGCACTTTACAACACAATTTTTAACTTAAATCAACATTTTACGAATAAAATCACAGTTTTCTGTATTTTTCTCAACATAGGCAAATTTATACACACATCTAACCTATTTCAATGACTCCATAAGGTCATACTCTTATAAATTAAGCGTAAATTACACTTTACAACCCAATTTATGAGTTAAATCAATGTTTTAACGAATAAAATCACAGTTTTCTGTATTTTTTTAAACATAGGCAACTTTATACACACACCTAACCTATACCTACGACTATATAAAGCAATACTCTTATAAATTAAGTGTTAATAAAAGCTTTTGATTACTTCTCTGGCATATTGTACTCCTCCTGGCTTAGTTAAAGTTATTTATTGTGTTGTGAACATTGCGAACACAAAAGATGCGACTATAAAGTACGAATATAAATGCAAATGACAATGGATCATATACACAACTGTCATGCGGTGCCATATTGTTCAAATTACAGTTTTCTGTAATTCAGATGTGGATGTGTGAATGTTTTGTTTGCGTGTGTGGCGTGTGTAATTGGTAAAAACGTAAAAGTTAATTGCTGGTGTACAGTTGCAACGGCGTTAGGAGTGCATTAGAATGCATTGGCACGCAAACAACTAATAACTTAGGCAGAAATTAAGCGAATTAACCGTACTAGGCGGCGATAAAGTGCATATGCCGGCGGTTTCATTTGTCTCGCGCTCGTTTTCCCCTCGTTTTACATTTATTTTGCATGCAAACGCACTTAACATTTATAGATTAAGAATAATAACAATATGCCAAGTGAATAATGTTTAAGAATATCAATTATGCATTTAGATATGAAGAAAAATTCAATTAGTGAAGTGTAGGTGGCGCTAGGCACAAGAAAAGGTGTCAAAATGTTGTTTTTGATATATTTATCAAATCTAACCTCAAATTAAAAGAGTTTTTGCTATTTTCAGCAGTTTTACGCTGAATTTGAACCTGTTTTACATATAAATATTGTTTAAAGTTAATATTTATACCTGAAAATATGAAAAATTCAATTTGTGACTTGTAGATGGCGTTAGTCACAAGAAAAACTCAAAAATTTACATTTTTGACATGTTTATTCGATTTTAACCATAAATTTATAGATTTTCAAGTAGGTAGTTGCAGCAGTTTTATTCGATGTGACTGTACAATAATAGTGTCTCGTGTCGAGTTGGTGCTTTTTATAACCCGAGTGAGTAAGATCTCTTCGCAGACGTTCCCAATTCTTTCTTTCTGCTGCTTTCATGTCTGCATCCACGACACAAAGTTATTTATAATTTCAGTTGCCACTTCATACACAGTGCGACTTAAAAGTGCACTTAAATATTTTTCTACTGATTCACAAAGAAAACAAAGTGAAATCATTCGATTAAAAACAGAAAGTTGATTAAAACTGTTTTAACCTAAAAGTTAAAAAGTAGAAATCTGTAAATTTGAGTTTTACTATCAATATAACCTAGAATTATATTATTTGACCTACAGATGTCACTAGTGTTCACCAGTGGCGTAACACTTCACAACATATTATCAATTTTGATTCTTTTTGATTTGTTTCTTATAAAAATCATAGAAGAACTAATAAAACATGTGTTTTGAATAAAAACAGAAAGTTGATTATAATAAATTGATTTCTCTACATTAAATTAATTAATTAAACAAAGTGTTTGCATGATACACGCTGTTTTCACTTTGTTATCAAAAGAAATAACATTAGTAACGTGATAATAACACATAACACACCAAGCACGCATTGGAAAACAATCCAATCGTAAATGATTCGATAATGTGATTGTTAGCAACATTAAACATGTTTCTGAATATTTTTACAATTAAGTACACCATGAGAAAGTAGATTAATCATCAAATCGTGTTATTAAATTATATAAAACACGACTTTTGAGGTCTTTTTTAGGTAAATTTATTAGAGCATGTATGTTTACTTTTAAACTAAATTTTACGCAAATATAACAATTAAAATTTGATTCTTTTGAATAATTGTCAAATTTAGAACTATTTTTAGATTGTTTATGGATTAATTCAGTTTTAGAGTATTAAATTTAATGAATTATTCAACCAGAAACGAATAAATTACCAATTAGCACATTAAATACCAAGTTAAAAACTTGTTTCAAGGAGTTGAGTCGATTTATCGATTGTAGATAAAAGTTTATAAGGTGTGGTCGCATGTTTAACATTCACAGGTGTTTTATTTCAACAATATCCACGCTAACGGGTTATTTTTTGTTGTTTGATTTCTAATTTGATCTAATAAATCAAATTTTGCTGTTTAAAAAGTCTTTGAATAGAAGTATATGTTATATTTTAGTTGAATTAATGGATTATAGATGGCATAAGATGCAAATTTAGTGGTTTTAGTAAAATTTTGAGGTTATTATTGCTTTTAATGTCCATTTTGATCTTATAAATCATTTTTTGACTTAAAACGCGTTTGATTTGAAGTATATGTTCGATTTTACTTGATTTAGTGAATTATAGATGGCGTAAGATGCAAATTTTGTCATTTTAGTAAAATTTTGAGGTTATTGTTGCTTTTAATGTCAATTTTCATCTTATAAATCAATTTTTTGACCATTTTTGACATAAAACGCCTTTGACTTGCGATATACGTTCGATTTTACTTGATTTATCCAATTATAGATGGCGTAACATGCAATTTTACTCTTTTTACTAAGAAATATTAATTATTTCTTTAATATTTGAGTGAAATATGATCACACATGCACAGTTCTCAATTTCCTCTCGCCTTGGGCCCAGTCTCGTGCGTTTCTTGGTGCTCGAATCTCGGTTACACCCATATTCCCACAATTATATTGTTTTTAACCTCCGTCGTCGAGGCCTCGCGCGCCGCCGGCAATAAAAGCAACCCAGAACTTCAACTCGACGCGCGTCTCCGCCTCTTTCTTCGACTTCTTCAGAGTGCCAAGTGCCAAGCGTGCTGCGAACGTTTTCACCGTGATTTTTTTCGAAACGCTTCGGGCGGTATTGATGCTCCAGACTCCACGTCCTCCACGTATTCAATTATACAAGTTTTACCGCCCCTCGAGAGTCGTGGTAGCCATTCGACATAGTTTTTTTTATTTGTGAGAATTTTGAGACACTTTACGAGACAATTTTTTAAGTAAAATGAATTTTTGTGGGTAAAATTACAGAAAACTGTAATTTTCGTAATATAGGCAACTTTATACCCGGATATAACCTGTCAGAATTTATAATTATGATTATATTAAGTCATATTCCTATAACTTAAGTGTAAATTACATTTTACGATTTATTTTTCATTTAATTTGATTTTTTGCTAATAAAATTACAGTTTTCTGTAATTTTCGTAGTATAGGCAACTTTATTCACGGATATTACCTATCACAAAATATAATTCTGCTTATATAGGGTCATATTTCTATAAATTAAGTGTTAATTACATTTTACGACTTAATTTTTAATTTAATTTGATTTTTTGCGAGTAAAATTACAGTTTTCTGTAATAATCTTTAACGTAGGCAACTTTATATACACATAAGTTATCACAACGCATAATTATTATTAATTAAGTGTAAATAATTAACACACTGTATATTTGTGAATGTGTGAAACCTTGAACTTGAGATTACGTTCGCGCAGTTAACCAGTAAACCAGAAACAGAAACAAAACACGGCGAGAATGACAAGCGACATGTTTCAATTCGCAACACAACACACACATACAGTAAACATTCGCAACCAACCGGTAATCAGAGATTAATCTCGTCTCTCATGCATTCGTCGATCGCGGATTGAGTTTTCAGTTTAGTTTACTGTTTTAATCACAGTCACAGTTCGATCCAACTGTGTTATAACTGTTTTAACCTATAAGTATCTCACTTCAAAAGTAGAAAACTGTAAATTCCATTCTAATAATCACAATGCTTAGTATTATCTTATTTGACCTACAGATGTCATTATTATCACCTCAGTGGCGTAACATTTCACTAATTATTAAATATTTTCATTCTTTTTAATTTTTTTCAATGAAAAATATTAAAAAAACGTTTTTAAAGTGTTTTAATTAATTTTCATGCTAAAATGTAACTAAAAACCATTAATTAACCGTCGTGTAAGTCGTCGAGCGCTACTTATCAATTGGTTTATGTTAAATGAAATAAATTTGCAATAATTACGGCTGGCAGTTGTGTTCTTGCTTCAAATCTTTTTGTAAGCAACTTTCACCGATTGTGAACGACATCGTTAATGATGGAGTCACTGCAGTTGTAGAAACCGAACGAATTGTGAAGAATGCCAAGTAGTGTAGTAGGTGTAAAGTGGCAGAAAGACAAAAAAGTAGCAAAAGGAAACAAAAAACGCCAAGCAGGTGAGAAAATAAGTAAATAAACGTAAATAAATGCGGAGAAGTAAATGTAATGCATTCCATTACGATCACAATTGCAATTAGTATTCATTAAACGAGGAGAAAGCTGTAAAACACGCTGAAGTAATGTCTATAATCATCAAAAATGGAGAAAAAACATGAAATTTAGATGAAAAAGAAGTTTTTTTTTTAGTTTTTTTTGTAAAATTATTGCAAAATCAGTGATTAAAGTGGTGTAGATGATAGGTTATGATGGTGAGAATCTGTCAGAAGAGGGAGAACATGTGGTTGCATACCTAGAATGATTTAAAATTGAAAAAAGTTGTAAAAAACACTGAAAAATCATCAAAACCGACGAAAAATCATGAAATTTATCTGAAATTGAAGGTTTTTAGTTGTTTTTAGTGATTAAAGTTGTGTAGATGATAGGTTATGATGGTGAGGATCTGTCAGAAGAGGGTGAACATGTGGTTGCATACGTAGAATGATTTAAACTTGAAAAAAGTTGTAAAAAACACTGAAAAATCATTAAAAACGACGAAAAATCATGAAATTTATGTGAAATTAAAGTTTTTTTTGTTGTTTTCAGTGATTAAAGTAGTGTAGATGATAGGTTATCATGATGAGGATCTGTCAGAAGAGGGTGAACATGTGGTTGCATACGTAGATTGATTTAAACTGGAAAAAAGTTGTAAAAAACACTGAAAAATCATCAAAAACGACGAAAAAACATGAAATTTATGTGAAATTGAAGGTTTTTTAGTTGTTTTCAGTGATTAAACTAGCATAGATGATAGGTTATGATGTTGACAAGTAGTGGTAGATGTGGTTGCATACATAGAATCTCCTAAACCCTAAAAAACTGTCAAAACACTAAAAAATGTCAATAATCATCAAAAAACAAAGAAAAAACCTGAAATTCACACAAATTTGTTATTTTTTAGGTTAGTTTATGACATTTTCTTATTTCTTACAATTTTCTTTGTTTTCTAACCTTTTCTATCTCAGCAATTTGTAGAATTACTCATTAACCATTGCAAAATCAGTGATTATGAGTATTAAGCGCGCTGCGCAAGACAAACAAAGTAGAAATAAACAAAGAACACGTTCGCGCGTTGCGCGCAAGAAAACTGGTTAAAGTCTTTGACCTTTTATTGAGGCGATCGAGCGCGCAGCGATTACGCATTTCGCAATGCCAGTGCGTAATTTACAATTTTCGCAATTTTCACTTTCGATCATTTTCAATTCCGTGCATTGCCGGCAGCTGTCGAGCGCGCGGCGCGCGTACAAAAACAAACTAATGCATTAAGTACACTCTCATACTTACTTAACTTAAGTCTTGGGGCACTTGGAAGAGTTCTGTTATGCTAAAAGTTATGTGAAGCATTTTACAACGTTTCTCTTCATTAGTTTGCTGTTTTCCAGTGTTTTACAATGCAAATTATCTTTATTTCCAGGAAATTGCATGAATTAACGAGGATTTTATTAGTATAAGACGTAATTCTTAACAAATAGTTATTAATTCACATAAAACATGCGAATTTATATCATAAAATGATTTGTTTGACATTTTAACCTCACTTTTAGTCTATTTTTGAAGTTAAAACATAGATGGCGCTGCTGGATGACGCGTAATGTTATTTTAAAGAATTCACTTGTTTCCGCTGTGTTTCATAAGTTTTATAAGGTCATCAATCGGTGCTTGGACGTATAACGAGTGAAACTTTCTAAAATCCAAACAAGTTAAACATTCTGTTGAGGTTTTAATACGCTGGAAGCAATTTCATCACATAATAATTAGATTTATAGAAAAAACAGCGTTCGAAGTGCGTGTATGCAACCAAATGTGCAAACAAAAGTTATTTCTAGGTTACAATGCAATTAAAATTGCAATCAACTTATATAATCTCACCTGTTTAATTAGATCATGTTTTCTAGTTTTGTTTCTACCCGGAACTCGTAACGCTGGACATTCTGACATTTATTAATGCAAATCTCGTTATTAAATCAAGTTTAATCACATAATCACATAACCTGACAATTTTTCTGAGTATTTATCGTCTGATACACTTTGTATAGATAATGACTAACTAGTTATTTCTTATGATAACAATTAATCATCATATTAACAATAGTAACAGTGTTTTTTTTTTCATTTGTTTGTTTTATTCATGTATTTATTAAGTGACATCGTCTGGAATTTCTTATTTTTGATAAATAAGTGCGTATTGAGTTAATATCAATGACATGCTAATTCATTTGTTGGTAATATGGGTGATTAAGTTGTAAAATGTTGTAAATCATCGCCGCGTTAGTAATTTTCATTGGAAGTGAATGAATACCGGCGATGTTGATTGCTACATCGTTGTAAGTTGAAATATGACGACCCGAATCGCCAATTTTTCAATTTATGCAATGGATTGCAACATATTGCATATTATACAGCGTGTTTATATAAATATTTCAATAAAAAATTATTTTCATAGTTTTTAAGGTGTTTTTGGTTGCCTATAGTAAAGAAAACATGTTTTCTTGTATATTTTGTGGTATTGCAACAGTTTTAACGTGTTTTTGGTTGCCTACAATAAAGAAAACATATTTTTATATAAATTTAAACATTTATGCATTATATCGCAACATTTTGTATATAATACAGTGTGTTTACGTTCATATTGAATTAAAATATTAATTTTGACAGTTTTTAATGTGTTTGTGGTTGCATACAGTGAATAAAACTCGTTTTCTTGTATTTTTTTATGCATTTCAACAGTTTTAAGGTATTTTTGGTTGCCTACAGTAAATAAAACACATTTTCTTGCAATATTTTAATATTTGCGCATTATATGAATAAATTATAATTATATTACATAAATTTAATTACCCACAAACATCCTACTCGCGCCTAGATCATGAAATCGATAATAGCATAATGAAATTTACGTTCTTTTACGTTTGTAAGGCGGCCATCTTGCGCAAACTGCACACCGACGCATCCAAGATGAAATTTTAAATATCCGCTTTACTATTAAATAAAATCAAATTAAAAACTGTTATTTATTGTTGAAAACATGTTAGTTATCCACTAAAACGTGTGATTAATGTGATTGCCTTACGTAAACAGCGATTAAACGAACAATAACAAGATAATCCGCCGCGAAACTATTTAAAACTTCATTTAGGCGAACAAAAGTTGAGAGTTTAATTTTAATATGAACAGTTAAAATTCGAAATTCTCATCGAAATAAATTACGAATGAATGATGAATCAAGTAGAAATCGGAAATGTACATGTTGCGCAACTTTTGACAGCTGTTTTAATAGCATAGCACAACGGTGCTTCCTCTCTTAATAAGAAATAAGAATCTTCTTATTGTATTGAAATTAGTTTTACAAAACATACACAATGGAACGTTCACTAAATTAAAGTTCATTCACTTGCATTTCGCTTTGGATTACATAAATTAATATTGTTTTCATTTGTATTTGCAGGTTAGGACTTAACCCTAATCATGAGTTCGTCGATCATCTGTCAAAACTTCGTGCAGAACGCATGGAAGAAAGAATTGTGCAGTAATTGCTTCAAATCCAAGGATGAACATCGCAAAATGGCTGCGAATGGACCAATGTCAGCGACTAGCGCCATCGCCGCCATGTTGAAAACCACCGCGAATAATAATCTGAATAATCTCCGCAATAAAACGAATGAAAAATCCACAGATGTGAAGTGTGAGCAACCAGTTATACTCGAAAGTGAAAACAAAACGAAAACGAAAAGTATTATCAAGTCCACAACGAAAAAGACTAAACGCACGGTGAATTTTAAGGTTAAACTAGCGCAGGTGATAGGTTATGGTGGTGAGGACTGGTCTGAAGAGGAAGAAGATGTGGTTGCATACGAAGAATCACCTGAACCTGATACACCCACAGAGGAAGAGAAAGAATTGAATCGTTTAACGAAGTTAAACACTGATTTCAACACGAATCTAACCTCGAAAAAGCTACAGTTGGGTAAACCGCTTGTTGATGCCGAAGGTAAGAAGCAAACTTTATTAGTGCAAGTGACACCTTTCGGTCAGGAGGCGAAAGATTCAACTGTCAAGCAACTGTGCAATAAGTTTATAAAACAGAATACTTTAGAGGTTAAGAAGGATGTGACAGATCACACTGTCAAAAATTTACCTGTTACTACTATCACGTCAACTGTCAAAGACGATAATGAGAAATTTAAAGAAGTAACTGAAGAATTTAACGCGTTAAACGACACGAAAGTCTTAACAGTTGATAAAACCGATATAGAAAAGTCTTTGTTGGATGAAATCACTGAAACTTTAGAAAAATCAAAGATTTCTGTGAATCCTACAAAGAAAATCGTGCAAAAAGAGATTATATTGAAAGCCGCAACCACTCAAGCACCTAAAGCGCCATCTATCACCAAACTATCACGAAACCCAGCTATCAAAGAGAAGAAAACCTATCAATCGAGCAAATCACTCAATTTAATCATTGATAACAAAGAAACTAATAAAAACAACTACGAAGATAAAGATTCAGCAAATGGCGGATCAAGTCTTGACGATTCCAGCTCACATTGCGGATCGGAAGACTCCAACAGTGATTCCAGCTTAAATATCCCCAGTAGGGAGTTAGTTGGTGAACCTGACGGTAGAGCAGAGTCAGATGGTACGGATGAACCAATCCCAGCGTTGCCTGTTGCCCCGCCTCCAGCAACACAACCTCAAACACCAATATCCCCAGAAAAGCCTAAAATCCCAACGAAACCATCGACCATTTTGATTCGTAAACCTCCATCGATAATGGCGGTCAATCAAGTGATTCTATCGACTTTTTCTAAGCAAGCAACGCCATCTACAGGCACTAGTGTACCAGGAGTATACACAAGTCACGCCCCTTTGCAAAAACACGACTCTAATGGATCTGATATATCAAAGAAACGTAAAGCGCCGAAACCTCCACAGGAAGAAACGTCAAACACGATTTACATGCGTAAACCCACACAGGTTACGAATAATGACTGTCCTGTTGTGAGGGAAAAAGAAAAACGTGAAAGGGCGTCATCCTGCACTCCGAAGACGTTTGTAGGAGTGATTGGACCTGAACCTTCTCCAAGACGTTCATTATCTTTGTCTACGGATAGTTTGGTATCGAATTGTGATGAGAAAAAGAAGAGGGGGAAGTTTTCGTTGAAGAAATTCCTGCGCATGGGCGGGACTAATGTAAGTGGGGGTAAAATTAAGTCTGAAGAAGAAAAACCACTGCCTAAACCACGTCTGGTGATTGTCCATCCTCTAGACATGAAAAACAACGAGAAAACAGCCGAAAAAGAAATGGAACAGGAATATGTCAATACCAGTTTCCTCAAAGAGCAGATTCAACAAAGGGATAACCCTAGACCTCCTCCCCCACCAAGGAATTATGAAAACTATGAGAAACCTGATAAATTACCACCGAAAACTCAGATTAAAACTTTACCAGCTCCCAAAAACCCGTGGATAGTGTCTATGCTAACATAGGTGAGGTTAGGAATGCTATCACTCCGAATAAACCTCAACGCACTGCTAGTATGCGTGAGCTCAAAGATGGCGTCGTTGTAAACACCAGTAGGAATGCCTATGAACCTGTAACGCCATCTAACGGCGATAAATCTACTAAAACTAAAGAAAGAGAAGAGCATGTTTATGATTATATCGGAAATAGGTCCAGTTCCCCGGAATGTGATTCCAAAGCGAATGTTAAGATAACTCCACATGCGCATGCGCAAAATGGCGGCATGTCCAGATCAGTCTCAATGACATATTGCGGCAGTGAAACCGAATCGGAGATTTATTCGCCCTATAGTTACTACGGGAGCGAATCTGAGGTAATGTTTTGTATTGCGTGACCGGTGTGACCGCCATTGACGCCATTTTGTGTGTTTGTAGGTCGCCGAAGACGAGCAGGAATGCTGTTATGGTAACGGCCTTGGCAGTACAGGCCGCACGCACAAACTACGATCGAAAAAGGGCCGGAGTATTGTGCATAAGAACCTTGAGGATAATTATGGTGCTGTTGTGGTTGCCAATCACGAGGCGCTTGCGCAAGTACTGGAAAACGTAAGATAAAACGTTAATCTTTTAAAAATTAAACATTTTATGATTAAATTATGAGTACGAGTGCTACTTATTTGTAAATTTACCGTTATAAGTCGTCACAGCATGCCACACGCAAGATGGCGAAGGAGAGATCAACGTAATTATCGTTAAGTCACTCTCCGCGCGATACTTAAGTCGTTTTTGTGCCGTTACGCTGATTTTTTCTTTCATTCACACCGGACGCTCATTGTTTACTGGGTGGTAAACAGTAATCATCATAAACTTTCCTTAAAATCATTAAAAAAAAACTTAAAAACTAGTTTTTTCATTTTTAGATTCAGCAAACAATTCACGTCCCATTGCAACTACGTGCGTTGAAAACCACCGAAAATCTACGTTGGAATGATTTTATTTTGAGGACACCACACATACCAGTCATCATTGGCAACTGTTCTTTTCATCAAGCATCTTGGAACCTACAGAATGTCACTCTAATGATAACTATTGTCCCGAATTCACCAAGTTGTTCACTGGGGACGTTAATTCTGCAACCTGTGACGGAATTTTCGGATTTAGTACCGCCATCTGTCTTGCAACAAACAAAGCTTGATCTGCCACTTCAAGCGACTGTTTCTGTCTTGCCTCATCTACAAATCAACTCAATTCCTACGATTGGTGAGGTGTTGAAAGCAGGAAAATCATTGGATAATGCAGAAATGCATAAAGCTTCTACTGTTTTATTACTACAGTTGGTTAATAGTCTTAAAACCCTGCAGGCTCAAGGTGTTGAAGAACTCCCACTGAATCTAAACAGTTTTGTGTTGGCTAAAGACGTAGAGAAACAAGAGACACATTCAAGGTTATATATTCTGCATCCGAATGAAGATGCACGACAGGAGTTAGGTACACTATGTTTGGTTGTACTGAAAGCAATGGATTTGTTGCCCATGGACGCCATTTTGAAGAAACTGATTCATTCGTTGTTAACCACTGAGAGGGCTGTTACCCTGTCTCAAGTGAAATCTGTTTTGGAGTTTTCTCTCTGGGGACCATCGGATGTGGCTCTTGGGAGTACAGCTTCTGAACGGGAGTTTATTCTGCAGAGATGGTTGGATTTACAGCGTGCGACGGTGTTGCATGGGTTGGTGTGTGCGAAGGTGCAGTTGACTGTGTATGAGGAATGCCATTTGCTGTGTTTGGTGCGCAGCAATGCCAAGATGATGTGCGATGCGTCGCTGTTGCTGGAATCGGTGCGGTGCAAATGATTATCTTATTGATTTTATTGATATTGAATATTTTGTATATATTATTATGGATATGTATGGTTATGTTGTGCGGATGCTAATGGCGGCGTTCTAGAGTTATGAGATGTGTGCGGATGTTGTTGTATCTTTTTAAAGTTGTATTATTTGTACACGATGGAATAAATATTTAAATTTGATGGTTGTGTGTGTGTTTTTAGTGAATAGGAAGGTGATGATTGTTTTGTTGCATGTTTAATTGTTGTCAGAAAATAGAATTTAATAGTAGTAATTATGATTTAGTCTGGAAAAGATTAGCGATTTTTCATGTTTAAAATTAAAATAATAAGTATTTTTGAATTCTGTTTTATTCTTGTTTATTTCTTTTGGTGTACGAGATATTCGCAATTGAAATAAATCGTCAAAAATTGAAAAATTCCAATTTTTATCACTGTCAGTCGTGTTTTTCGCGTATTTTTATTTCTCTTTCGTTTTTATTGTGGAGACATAGTCTACGATTGTTATTACATTTTATGGTATACGTTCTATATGTTTTTATCCGATTCTTGTATAACTTAAATTTAGTGCCATTAATTTCACTGCAATATCAACCTTGTTGCATACTTGATAAACGTGTTTTGTAGTTGATTAATATTTTCAAAGGTTAGATGGCGCTACGATGTACGGTTTTGCATTAAATATTGCTTGTTGGTGGTAGTGAGTGCACACCGTGTCCGTGTGGATCACGCGATTTCGCGCAAGAGATAAGTTTGTTTACCTGCAGGTATCGAATCTTTATTTCGTGGAATCAAAACACACCGTTGCTGTTTATTATATTAGCATCGTAAATCTAAGTAAATATTCTTCAATTCTTTCATGAATATAACTAACAATTTTATTTTAATTCTAATACATTTTTATTATCAGCAGATGGATAATGTGTTACATGATAAACGAGAAACGATGCATGTTCAAATTAAATATCCCTTAAATATTTAATGTAAAATCTGGCAATCTGTCCGCAGAAGAAATCAGAATTACTCAATCGAATTTTAATTTTTTATTACCTGTACTAATCCAAATTTCGGAACTACTGGACTAAAAATTGTAAAATAAACTTGTATTGTTTCTTTCTATATTTATCAGCAAGCGTGAACCTTCGACACAAAAATTGTGTTTGTTTGAACACAATATACACTTTCTTATCGCATTGCCGTGTGTCGTCGTTGTCAGCACCTCACGCCGCACGTTGCTGCAACTTAGTTCGGCATCGACGCGCCGGCCTTGCGCACCTCTTGCTTTCTTATCATGAACTGCCTCGTCGTTGCTTATGCGGTTTGCGGCCAGTTTCGTGTCGGTCCCTGGTTGATTCACACGTGTTTTGTGCGACTCGTTTTGTTTATCCGTACTTCTACTTTCCAATTCGTATTATATTCGATCATCAATGGATTATTTAATTTTACGAGTAACTTTAGTACAGTTATTTATTATTTGCGCGTAAGTGTATCGCTGCCATGTTGATTTATTCATCATTTGAATGACCCATCGTGCTGCTGTAAATAACTTTTAACTAAACAGCACAGATTGTTTGTTTTTCTCCGCTGTGTGAATACAATATTACTTATGTTTTCTTTTTTTATTCACAGTATTTGCCGTGCCTTGGAGTCTGATGAGTTCTGCATTGGTAAGTTTATATTCAATGTCAATTATATATTTCGTTTTATTTTCTGCGTCGACCATTACTTTGCATTTACGTGCTTTTTTTGTCACGGTGCAGCGCCCTCTACTAAAGCGTGAGCATTAAATAATTTAATTTGTTTTATTATTGGGTGTAACGTCTTACAAACTAGGCCGCGGGGTCCAAATATGCAGAATTAAATTGTTTATCCGGTTGTATTTAATTGTTGCAAGGAAAGCGCTTATACGATACGATTTATGATTTACTATTGAAAACAAACATGTGAAACGCAGCTTATCTGATAGAGAATCTTCCAATCTATCATAATCAGCAATTCGTTGCTTGCTATCGCTTTTAGTTTAAGAGATATGAATTATCCAAAATCATCGAAAAAAAGTATCAAGCACCCCCCCTTGGCAATTTTTTCTTAAGAATGAAAATTTCATCTCTCAGATTTCCGTTTTAACTATCCTATCTTATAGAGGATAGTCCGTAGATTAAGATGCTGCGATCAGATCTTAATTATCTCTTTTAGTTTACGAGATATTCGCATTTGAAAAAAAAAGGGCAAAAATTGAAAAACGTCACTTTTTAGCACTTTTAGTCGCGTTTTTCGACCTTTTACTGTAGGAAATATAATTATTTTATTTTTTTATCTGATTGAGAATTTTCCAATCTTTCATAATCAACAATTCGTTGGTCGCTATCACTTTTAGTTGAGGAGATATTAATTATCAAAAATCGTCGAAAAAAAGTATCAAGCATCCCCCCTTGGCAATTTTTTCTTAAGAATGAAAATTTCATCTCTCAGATTTCCGTTTTAACTATCCTATCTTATAGAGGATTGTCCGTAGATTAAGATGCTGCGATCAGATCTTAATTATCTCTTTTAGTTTACGAGATATTCGCATTTGAAAAAAAAGGGCAAAAATTGAAAAATGTCACTTTTTAGCACTTTTACTAGCAATTTTCGACCTTTTTCTGTAGGAAATATAATTATTTTATATTTTTATCTGATAGACAATTTTCCAATCTTTCATAATCAACAATTCGTTGGTAGATATCTCTTTTAGTTTAAGAGATATGAATTTTTGAAAATCGTCGAAAAAAAGTATCAAGCACCCCCCCTTGGCAATTTTTTCTTAAGACTTAAAATTTCATCTCTCAGATTTCGGTTTTAACTATCCTATCTGATAGAGATTGGTCCGTAGATTAAGACGCTGCGATCAGATCTTAATTATCTCTTTTTGTTTACGAGGTATTCGTAAAATGGGCAAAAATTGAAATCACGCAAACGCGGTATCAAAATCGCGTTTTGCCCTATATTAAACATTATTGCAAGAAAATTCCGTAACGCGAGATATGTAGAAAGTTGTGTGTATACGCACCAGTACTCGTTGCGCTTGGAATTGTAGTTTTTTTGATATTACACGCGAACGCGGTGTCATAATAAGTTTAAATAAATTTTCCTACATGCAGAATTTAATTCTACGTCTCCTTGTATTAAACATTGTTGCAAGAAAATTCCGTAACGCGAGTTATATTAAAAGTTGTGTGTATACTCACTAGTAGTCGTTGTGCTAGGAATTGTAGTTTAGTCACCTTTACTGCTAGCCTCGTAAGGTATCCTATATCGAGTCACTGCTACCGCTAGCCTCGTACGGTGCCCAGAACACGAGTCACTTCTACCGCTACCCTCGTGCGATGCCCTGAATGGGAGTCACTTTTACCGTCACCCTCGTCACGTGATTGAAGATTATAAAACTTCCAAAAATTTTTTATAGAATAGGATAATGAAATATATTAATTTCGTGAAGTAAAGGTTCCAAAATAGTTGTTAAAGTAGCTAATATAAGAGATTTTCCTTGTTGTTCCCAGATTTTTCAGTTGCGATTTCTCCTAAACTGCCTTTTCATATAGACTGCGTTCAATTCCGGATTGTAGGATACATTGTTTATGTGAATAAGAGGGTACGTTCAGAATATAAAATCTTTCCATTGTATTGAACTGTATCCACAACATGAATAGTTTATACTCATAGTTCGCACTCTTGGCTCTTATCGGTGTTTGTGCACAAACAACTTGTTTTTATTGCGTTGCAGCGCATCCGATGCGCTCAGCAGTGTTTGTGCCATTTCTTACTTAGTCGATCGTGCGCTGCGGCGTAGTGTGCACGCGTTTACTCGCGCGGCGGTCTTTATGGCGACTTATCGCGTTTCTTGTGATTTTAAATCGGTAGTTGAATTATAATCAGTCACCAATGATAAGATTTAGAATTAACAGACAAGTTAATAATTTCGGCCTCTAATTTCGTGGTTTAAAACGTACGCACCACGTGTTTTCCGTCGGCCGTCGGATATCTTCCGTCGGCTAAGAAATACTCAGGCTTGTTTCGTGTATCCATTTAATTATTAATTTGAATGAACATCATTTGTGCATCGTATGGAATATTTCACCTGCAAAAACGTAAAAAAGTATGTAACATAAAAACTATATTCTATTAGAATTACCAACCTTATAAAGAAAAACGATAAGAAAAATTAATTAACACTTTAATACATAGCATAGTCGTCACAAGGTTGCATATAATAATCTTTGTAATACAAGTATTGGAATATTGTCGCGTTCCGTCGGCTGCGCATTTGCTCTCATTCGGGACTTTGTCGTGCCTTCTTTTTGCTTTTGTATTCATAATTCTGCCTGTGCTAATTTTGTGTTTAAGAGATCTGAACTTAGTATATTTTTAAAATGTGTTTAATAAATTTATAATTATTAGTAATATGAATTATTTATTATGTTTCTATTCACGTACTTATCACTTCCCCTAGATAAACAGTAGAAAACAGGTAATAAAACATTCACTTTTGATTTTGATTTTGTATCACCCTGTATGTAAATTTTCCTTTATGCCCAGCCAAAAATTGACAATCTGTATTGTTTGTGGGTGATTTTCTTTTTTGATTGAAGATTTTTTTGACAACACCCTGTGTATAATTTTCCACTGATGTATTGCGAAAACAGGGCGCAATTTGCTATTTTCTAGTGTTATATTTTGTAATTTGATAGCCATTTGCATATGGCCGCTATGCAGATGATAAACATGTTTTAAAATGACGTCACGTATTTTGCAGGTATTGAAATTGTAAATACTAAAGTTATATTGTATTTAGTTTGTTAATAAAAAAATGTTAAAGGCAATGGCTGTGTGTTATGACTTGTGCACCCCATCCTTCTATCATTTCAGGTACAGGTCACAACTTGTAAAGTATTTCTCAGTGTTATGGTCCGCTTTGAGAGCGGCGGCACTAAGAAATATGTCTACAAGTCCTCAAGGAGTTCTCCCACTCGGGAGATGATCCCCACTATAAAAATTGTTAAGGTATCCTGTATGATTTGTGTACTCCATCTTTCATTTCAGCTACAGGTCAGAACCTGTAAGAATATTTTTAAGTGTCCCCTCTCTTGAGGCGACTTAAAAATTAGAAATATTTTTACAAGTTCTTAAAAGGATGTCCTTATAAGGAGTTCCCTCTCTCTGGGGATGATCCCCCACCATAAAAATTGTTGATATGCCTGATAATTCGCAGGATGAAGCGCAGAGACATCGTAGCTGTAGGATGGGCCGGGAGCAATGGACGGACCGAAGCAGTGGGCGATCGACCAGAGCGCCGGAGGCGCTCTGGGAGATCGTAGACTGTCTTATAACGACACGTGCCAAAAAATTTAAAAATTCTGTCACCCCTATTCTCTTTTCTTCCTGTACTCTCTCTTCTTCTTCTCTTCTTACTTCTCCTATACTCTCTCTCCTGCTGCTGCTGCTCTCTATTTGCTCCTCCACCAGCTTCTACTTATTCTTATTGTTGCTTCGTTGTACTTTGCTTTTCAAGTTATTTCTAACATTTGAATCTTGAATTTTTGTGGTATGCAACCCACATTTCGTAAATTTCTTATTATTTAATAAAATTGCCTTCTACAACTGAGATTCGATCCATGAACCTCTAGCATGCTAGCATATGCACATGCCACCTGAGCCACAACGCTCACTTATTAAATGCTATTCGTTTCAGGTATAAATATCTCACTTTTACTTATGTTTTTAAAATGGACAACACTTATGTTTCGTCACGCACACACGAGAATAAAACTACATGTTATTTTTAAACGATTCTTGAAAACGACAAAGTGGACACAAAAATAAATACGTTTACAAGTATAATATTTGAGTAGTCTTTTATTGAAAATACATACAACCAAGAAAGTTATTGTTTTTCTTTAATGTGTCGTGAAACCATTTTCTGTAGTTGTGTAACTTCGGTACCATAAGCAAATTACGATAAATGCCTTATGTGCTTAACATGTTTAATTCACAACAAATGGTTTCACTACACAATAAATAAAAACAAATAAATATTAAAATTAATAAATACAAAAGTTCTAATTTGCATTGACGTCACTCACATAATTGTCCTGCCGCTAACAACAAACTTATCACCTTAGTTAGAAATGTTGCTTACTGGAACGAATTAACGGAATAAATAAATAATAATGCCAAGCGGAGGGTATCCGACGGCAGCCACAAATGTTAAGATAAAGTCACTCAATATCAATTCATGTCACAATAATTCAATCACTGAAATACAATGGTAGGTAGTACGAGAGGGTGAGTATAAGCTGAGTAAAGTTAAGTAAACACTTACTGTACGCTATACCCTCACAATATCGCCAAAACGATATTTTTACTAAACCATTGCAAGTCAATGCAAGTATTTGTCAAGCCAGTAGGTGTGCTGATGAGACCTCTAATGGTCGAAATAGCTATCCACATCAGGCTTGACAAATACTTGCATTGACTTGCAATGGTTTAGTAAAAATATCGTTTTGGCGATATTGTGAGGGTATAGCGTACAGTAAGTGTTTACTTAACTTTACTCAGCTTATACTCACCCTCTCGTACTACCTACCATTGTATTTCAATCTTATGCTTGCTTGAGCTAACTTCAGTCTCCACCGTTAGGTGGAGCTGACAATACTTCTGCGTCTTGAATAATAAGCCAGTTGTATATAAGCCATGGCAGGTCAATGCAGTATTTGTCAAGCCAGTAGGTGTGCTGATGAGACCTCTAATGGTCGAAATAGCTATCCACATCAGGCTTGACAAATACTTGCATTGACTTGCAATGGTTTAGTAAAAATATCGTTTTGGCGATATTGTGAGGGTATAGCGTACAGTAAGTGTTTACTTAACTTTACTCAGCAATTCAATCACTGTAAGCCACACTCGCTGAAATTCATTGTCGTTCACGCTACTATTACATTAACATTTCAAGAGACGCGATTAATAACTACGCAGTTAGACGCATTAGAAAACACGTGCTCGCGACACCACCGCGCACGACTGACTAAGCAGGAACGAGTATTGTCACATTGTCAGCCGACGTAAACATCTAGTTGGGGTCACCAGGTAGATAATCGTAGTATTGTATTGTAAGATTAAATGGTAATTATCTCGATAACTAAAAGGGCTACAAACAAAAGAACTTCATATTCTTGATCCTTGTAAAATTCTGTACAAGATGGCATACATATTGAAAAATGATTAAAATGGCACAAAAAATTTTTAGAGCAAAGATTTTGTTATAAAAAAGGCAAAAGATTTCTCTTTTTTATGTTGAAAATTAAAAGTTGGAATTTTGAAATTCTGTTTACGAATTCTGATTGATAATTTAATTCTACATCGATTATTTAAGTAACTTTTTTAGATAACATTAACCGCTTAGGCCCTATTTGCAATTTTATTGAAAATTGTATTCGACATAAAAAAGAGAAATCCTTTGCTTTTTTTATGACAAAATCATTTTTCAACAAATGCAACTTTTGTAATAATTAGAATTTTTCAGTTCTGTTTTCGAATTCTAAAAGTAGATTAAATTCTGAATCGGAAACCAGTATCACAATTATGAATTAAAGCCCTTTTGGCATGAAAAAATTAAAATTAAATCACAATGTGGAAAGCAAGTGGAATTTTATTCGTTTCTGGGTATCACACAATAAAATACATGTAATGACTCAATAGTAGGTATATTTTTATAACTTTTTCTTTTAATTTAATTATTATTTATGTTTAGATTATATTTGCAATTTATACTAATTATTATATCACTTAATATCAGTATAAATAACATTTTTCCTTCCCGCTCGTCGTTAAGTAATCTGTGTAATAGAAATGTCCCGCCGTCCTCCTCCCAGCACATCTCCGCGTTTATTATTTCTCATCTCACAATCAATCAATTAAATACAACGAACGAACGATTAAATTTCGCTAATGAAAACTCCGCGCACGGCAGCCAATCTTTCAATAAATCAACATATACAATAAAACACCATCTCCTCAATCATCATCATCATCATCATACCATCATTGATAGAATATTGTTTAAATTTGTTTAATCTGCAATTCGTCTGCAATCACTACGTGTTATATCGTCCATCATTATATTGTTTATGTATACGAAATACTGTGATTAAGTCTTTAAGTAAGTCGTCAGAATGTTCTCCGCCATCATTAAATTCTTTCTATGTTCGCTAATTAAGTAATAACCTTCTGGTTTTGCATGTGTGTGTGTGTGTTTCGAACTAAACCGAACTAAACAACACAACAACTGATACGCACGTTGCACAAATATCTAGATAATTACAATGTTTATACCTTCAATCATTAAACTAGAATTTCATTCATTTAGTTTTTTATATCCAACTTCCAAATATTGGAAGTTTTTTTCTTGTTTAAATTTTAGTTTTGTGCAACTAAAATACATTAAAACATTACCGGATGATGATGAACACATAAAAATCGGCGCAAAATTTGTAACAACAAGATAAAGATGTATTAGTATTGCTAGAGATACTTAACTCTCTCGTTCTTGGATGTTTTTTAGCTTTACGTTCAGTTTTATTTTAGTTTTTTTGCATTTTGCTTATGTTTAGGTAGAATAAAGTGTGGTGTGTGAAGCAAATATTCATCTCTCGGAAGTAGTTGAGTGTGTGTTTCTGGTTTGCATGGTTTTGGTACTCGTTTTGTTTAAATATCGACTAGGAATTCGTAAAGTTCGCTACGCTTACGAGTGTATGTGAGTACGTTTTGGATTGTGCGTTGTAACTTGAATGAAAATCACTGCTTGGTTGGAGTGTGAGTACAATTTCGTTCAAAGAGGTTTCAAGACGTTACGCTACACAAAACTCGGTTAAAATTTACGTCGTGGGTGTGATTGGGGTTTGGATTGTTCACTGGAGGTGCCGCAAATCAACTAAATCATCATCATCATCATCATCGCCATCTTTTGCATCTTTTTGTGTGGTGGTTTTTGGTTTCACGCGTTTTTAAAGCTCTAGAAGTGGTGCAGCGCATCGTAGTCGGTCACCGGTCGCTGTCAGTACACCCAGGAGACGGGGATCCATTGCGGGGTGGTTTGCACTTTCTCAATGGCCGCCTCCAGGTTGCCGATGGTATCGTCAATGTCGTTGTTGACAATTGTCAAATCAAAGTAGTGTCCGTACGCTGACCGCAACATATCCGATTCTTTCGCTAGGCGTTCCAAACTTCCATCGTACTAAAAATTAAATTAATTTTTAGAGGAAGAAAATGATTTTTAGGTTATGTTCTTACGTCAGCCATGTTTTGTAAAGCTGGAGCGGCGATAAAAACAACATAGGGTGAGAATTCAGCCGTGCGGAGGATTTTCAACGCTTGCGGTTCAACATCAAGGATCGCCATCTTGCCGTCTTGATGTATCTTCCTGATTGTTTCCAGTTTCGTGCCATACATTGCATCTTCATGTGTTCCTGTAAATTTTCCCCAAAAATTACTTCAAAACACTCAATATTTCAAAAGAATTCATTACCGTATTCTAAATATTCGTTTGCAGCAATGTCCGCCATCATTTCATCATGTGACACGAAGAAATAATTCCGGCCATTTTCCTCATCGGGTCTAGGAGGTCTCGTTGTATCTAAAATAGACATTAAATGAGGTTATGTTATGTAAAACTGGTCTAACCTATGAAAAACTCACGTGGAATTGGATAAGCATACTGATCGGGATGTTTGGCAATCAAAGTGTTCTTAATATGTCGCCTGCCGACGCCATGCGCACCAAGAAGCACCAACGTCTTGCGCTGGAACGCCGGATCCGTCACTAGAAAATTCCCGCCCGTTGATGAGATAGTTTTATTGTAGGCCACACGCAAAGCAGTTACACTAATAACATGGCGATGCACTCAACGCCATTTTGTGATATTGTGATTAAAAACAGCATTAGATACTTACTTGGTAGCTTGACAACCTCCTCGTACGTGACTAAATCTAATTGGTCGAAAACTGCGTTGTGTTTTGCCAGATATTTATCTTTGTATTGTTTCTTCTTGCGACCGAAGATTGAGCAATTGACTGGAAAACAAACGAATTATAATTGGCATACAAACGCGGAGCAAAAACAAGAAATCAAAATCTAAGTAGATACGGTAATAATAAAGCGACTATTTAATTAAATTATTCGTTTATGTTTCGTGGTGAAACAGAGTTAAGTTGAGAATAAATACAAGACATGCTGGTCAACGCAAAGCTAGTTTTTACAACGAGAATTATTTCCCAGCAGATCACAACGAAACTGAAACTGAAAAATTAACGAATTCTGTACAGAATCTACACAATTTCATGTCAAATAGAAATAAATACAGTTATATTATTATTTAGTAACATAAATTATATGGTTTTAAAATAGATACGCCATCTAGCGGTCGTTTTCTGAGACTTTTAAGAAATTATAACCAAATTTATGCTTAAAAATGATAAATTGAACCTAAACGGTTATTGATAGAAGAAAATTTTACTTAAATAATCGATGTAGAATTAAATTATCTACTAGAATCCAAATTAAATTTTTTTTAAATTAAAAATTTACTAATTCTGATTTCGGATTCTGATAGATAATTTAATTCTGCATCGATTATTTTAGTAAACATTTTTCATAACATTAACCGTTTAGGCTCTATTTTTAATTTTTAAACCTCATGCATTATTTTGGTTAAAATATCTAATAAAACTACCGATAGATGGCGTAACTAACACACACAAGTATATAATCATTCAAAATAAAAGTTTCTATAACATTCCGCATCACACACCAAACCACGACGACTAAAATGTCTAGAGTTGCTGTTTTATCAAATTCTGAAGTCAGTTATTCTGGTATAAATGTTGGTTGTTTGTTGTTGTTTGATTAAAAACAAAGCCTTATCGAATAATAAGCGGCATGTACCTGTAGACCCATCACAACCATTCGCATGAGAGGAGCATCCCTTTTCCACGTCTGCCACCACCACCACCACCACCACGGGCATTCAAAACAGAGAACACATAAGAAAACAGAGCCGAGGCAAATTTTCACACAGACAGCAACGTCAACGTGTTTTTCTCACTTCTAAAATTCTCAGAAAAAAATTGTGTTCTTATTTTGTATATATCAGGACATGCACGTAATAAAAGAATTTGTACACTGTGTATGTACTTGAAGAGCCACATCGAAAGTTAGGTTAAGTAACAGGAAGTGAAAACGAAAAAGAAAAAAACCAGCATGCAAATTTACAATTTTTGTTTTTATACATTGTCGAGTTTAAAATGTTTTTAGAAAGTTTCGGGTTTGGTGAATTTTAGTTTTGGTAATCGTTATGGATTTATGAGTGTTGATATGAATAATTAAAATATGTTTATGAACTGCTGGAAATGTACAATGTACAATGTACAACAATGAACACAAATGAGCCATCAGCTAAACGGATGAGAAAATGATACCAGCTACACAATATATATGGATGAATACACAAAGTGGCCGAATGACAATTGTATGTTTGGTTGCCTACCTTGTTCCTGTTTGGTTTTCTCCATGGCGGCGCACGCGGCGCGCCATTCTTGTAGCTCCGGCGACGGGATGAGTCCTGCAGATCCTGCCGAGTTGTCTTTGCGTGCTTGCCACCAATGATGGTCATCTTTGCTTATAATCTACAAAAGAAAAAAATTTAAAAATTTAAATTTCTCGTTTAAATCGATTTGCTAAGTGGATTTGGAATTGAAATGTTTCTGTGAGTGGATAGGAGTGAATTGTGATCAGTTCTCAGATGGAAGGAATGGTGAAAAGTAAACTCACTTGAAGAATATCGCCGGTTTTGAATGCGATGCCAGCTTGCGCGCAGGGTATGAGCTCGTCGTCCAGCGGGTCGTAGTCGAATTGGGCGCGCACGAAAATCTGCAAGTGAAACGCGTTAGAAATCATTCAAAATCAAGAAAAAAAAAAAACAAAAAAAACGCATACATCAACATGCAGACTAAATCTGCTTTAATAAAATATATTTTACGGTTATTTTTATCTTAGAAACAACAATAATATTCATACACTACTAATACTAATATTGGTCCGTTTAAGGCATGCAACCAAATCTACACGGGACAACTTATAAAATTTCTTAGAGCTGGGAAGCGCAGTTTCAAGGCAGGGGGCATTACATTAACAGGGCTCGGTAAGCACATCCACACACCATCAGCGCCACCAGCTGCCGTTTCGTCTATGTGTACTTACTAAAACTGGTAGCGGCTTAATCCGGAATAGCTATTCGTGTGGTGCATTCGTGGTTGCGGACGCATCGGGTGAATATTGGCACCGAGAACAGAATCATCCAATATTGCACAATTGCAACAACTTTAGAAAGCAAACAAGTTTTATACACTCGCGAAACATAACCTAGTTTCAGTACAAAATGAGAATATAAGAGTCTAGAGTTACTAAACATCATGTTTGCATAGTAATTCAATACAAAATCGGAATGTTGTATTGATTTCAAGAGTTTTTCATAAAAATCAGCAATTTTTTGATTTAAAAAGGTAAAAATGTGGTAAATTCGCGTTTGAGCTGTAGGTATTGAACTGACAATTGAAATAAGGTTATTAAACACACAACATAACCAATATTCACAAAACATAACCTAGTTTAACTAAAAATATCACGTTTTTCGTCTAAAAACAGCCATTTTAGTCTTTTAAAGCTAAAAATTCGATATATTCTTGTATGCGACTGTAGTTGTTGGTTGCCTAAGTAAATTCTACAAGTTTTCCAATTATTCGCCGGCGTTTGTGGCGTTTTATTGCCTTTGTTTGAGGGCTTTGCGTGGCGGAGTTAATTAAATTTAATATGAATTAATGAACGAGCATGGCACTCACCTCGCATGGCGGCGGGGCACTTCTATACGAAGGTACTATTTTAAAGGTAACTGAGCCTCTTGCTTCCCTCTGCAAAAGAAAAACAAAAATTAATTACCTTCTATGATTTATGATAAATGCAGTATGAGAAACATACGAGGATTTTCTGCAGAGTGTTTACGGATTGATTCATCACTGGAATGCCGTTGATTTCTCGAATTTCATCGCCGACGTGCAGGGTTGCCTGACGATGGATCATCCCGCCGTGCATTATCCTTGCCACGATGCATTTGCCATCTTCGTTCATCTTCAGGGTGATTCCCTACGAAGAAAAAGCAAAATTCAAGCAAAATTCACTTTGTGATTAAAGAAAAAGAAGAAAAAGAAGTAAAGTTGATTAATTTATAGCAGATGATAGGAAGTCAGGAGGACACTGTGGTTAAGATTCTGATTGTGATTCGATTTGAATTTGAAATGTTTTAAATTCGGCACACAGGCCGGGGAAAAATGCAATTTCCGCATTTTCTCTCCATAATCTCCACTCGTGCTTCTTTTATATTCCCCCGGCGGGCCTTGCAATCTATTTATAACCGATCCGATTGTTTCTGATCAAATGATTGGGGATCAAATCACATCGGGCCGGCTTCTTTTTTTTTTCTGTTCTTTGCCTTCCGGCTCTCCGGTCTTCCGGCTTAATTATTGCAATTCGCGATACAAATCGCCGGATTGAGTTGTGTGCTTACCATGGGCTCGTCGGTGTTCTTCTGGAATTGCACGAGCCGGACGCGCGTCACGTTCTCCATCTCGACGTCGCCGTTGGGCCCGTCCAGGTCGTCGCCGCCGTTGAGGTATGGCAACAGCGGGGGCGGCGTGACGCGCATCGCGTCCTCGCCGTAGATTTCATGCGCGACCACATCGTGCGCCTGTAGCAATGCCTAAAAATGGAAAAAACATATGAATAAAATGGTGAAAATCATATTTTGATGTTGCAGCGCCCTCACACGCAGTTTTATGAACTAAAAATTATTTTTTAGGTTAAAAATGTTTTTATGTTATTTTAAATAAAAATTCATATTCACGACACAAAATTTGATATATTTTATATATTTAGTCTATTTTGTATGAAAAGAAGGAATTTTATCTTCGATTTTCCCCGCAAATATCGATGAAAATTCCGTGTTGGGACCTTTCTGATACTTTGCAAGGCTTGCAGGTAATTTCGGCTTTCGCACGCGTGTGCGATCTGCGCGCGTAAATCGCACGAAATCTTATTCATGGCGCCGAGATGACAAAAGCAGATATAGCTCCACCAAGGAATAAAAGATACCAGCTGGCGAGAATGAATGATTGCCTGCTCAGGCTCGATTCGTGTCGAAGCGAATCCCACGAAGAACAATCGAAGAATACGAATAAGAATACGAGATGAAAAACAAAAGCATTTCTGACATGGAAACTCCGCACGAATGCACAATTCGATTAAGTTAGGTTATGATAATTATGCGCAGACATACGTTACAGCTGTAAATGCAGTTCTATGACAATTTTCATCGTTTTATTGCACGGAAAACATTTAAAACCGGGCAACTTTCGTGCCTGACACATAACTAACCAAAGTTTTGCAGGTGAACTGCCGAAAACTCGGCATGCACCACTTTATTTTCATTCTTTTACCGCCATTTCCGTATCCGACGCCATTTTGAAATTTATATGCAATCATAATGCTATCAGCACACGTTCCGGCCCTGCTATTGTAGCCCACAGCGTGGAAAGTTGATATTCACGACGAAAAATGCGCGAAAACAACGCGCGAATTTGCATAACAACAACTCCTGGATTTCCTAACCCTCCAAAGGGAAAGTTATGTGAAAATTTAATTCAATAAAGGCGGAAAGTTAAATTTTAATCTGCCTAATTACCTAATTAAGAAATCCGTGGATAAAAAGATTTGATATTTACAAAATAAATTCAAAGTTATCTTTTATGATGTAATTTGGGTTGCAGACAAACTTAAACTTGATGTATGTGTATAATTACACACATTACGTAAATGTCTCTTTCTCTCTTTGCCATTGTCTTTAACCACTGGCTAATTAGTCATCCCGAGAAACAACAACAACAAGACATAAGTTTTCTGGTAAGTAATTCAAGCCGGGGTCGTTTATTTTATTTTCTTTTCGTTTTTGTGCGAACATAGATCACCCACATGACACACGCGCGCTTGTTTCGCGCCAAAAGTTGAAAACAATGGCACTCGATATTTCACCGCGTGGCAAACGCATTCAATCACGCAAACGTGTCGCCTGCACACACGCCTGACGTGACATGCGGTGAGTTTTCACGTGTGAAAAATGCGCCGAACCGGAAATAAAACTAAAAAGCACCAAGCATCAACGATGTCCAAGATGACATCGAATATTTCAATACACTTCAAGTATTAATCATCCTCGTACGATGAAAAGAATAGTTGGCAATAGATGCATGCGTGTATGCTTGGTTGCATACATTAAATAGATATCCTATGAATAGTAAATGCACATAGCTATGTATTCATGGCGCAGAGAATTCCATAAAGTTTCAAAAGTAATTTACCGATGATGGAGGAATACAATACTCGCAAGAGTATAAATATAAAGTCTTAAAGCGCAAACAAAGTTTGTCGAAGGCATTTATTAGCCGACAATGACGAACAATGGCGATAGCCGGAAGCGAGAGAAGCCAGCTGAACGCAACTCGAGACGGATTGTTTATACTTGTCATTATTCATTCGCATTTTATATATATAAATATAAGTTTTATTTCAAACATCCGGTTTTCCTCTACTCTGTGCAGTTCAACTCTGTGTGTGGGGGGGAAAGCAAACGTTGAAATTCCGATTTCAAAGCGGCGTTTCACTTTCTTGTTTTGCTTGTTTTCCGGTTGTTTGTGTTCGAGAGTTCGCGGGAACATGAGCTTTTGCTTCTCGTTCGGCTGGCTGGAAAATGCTTGCGGTCGTCTTTCGCCCATCAGAGCGTCTTAGTTTTAGTTGCTTGTTTTCGACGTTCAATACCTCGTCTATATGCTTTTTTTTATTTTCCCGTCGGTTTTTTTATTTTTTTGAATTCATTGCTTTTTGCGTGCAGTGTAACGCGATCTAATGCGGTCAATTAAACATTTCGGGAGATAAATGTAATTTACGAAAATGCTCAATGCCCAATTTCGCTCACGAATGGTATAAATTATACAGGGTGTTACCATAAAACAGATATTATTAATGATTTAACATTTCAGTAAATATTATCAAAGAAAATATTTGTTTGAAGATTAAATTACCAAAAAAAATGTTTTACGCAAGAATAAATACACAATTCGATTATGTGAGGTTATGATTTTATGAATAATAGATGGCGACACAGGAAAATAAATATTTTCATTGATTTTAAAGCAAAATATTTACTTTTTTCCTGTTGAAAGATGAAACCACAAAATGCACGAAATGAAATTTTAATTCAAAAATACCGAATGTAATAATTAAAAATTACAACAGCGAAAGGAAAGGTCCCCGTGCGCGTGAGTGAACATTGCTGTTGTATAATTCGTCTAATTTGGCTTTTTTTGCATTTTTAACGTTTCATGCATTTATTTTTTGTCCCGACCGTGTATTACAATTATAATCCGACGCGTCGCGATATGATTTGCTTTGTTCCAGCTCGCCGAATAAATTGTTCGCGTTCCCTCGATGCCACCGGACTGCAACAATTACCAATTTAGTTTTATTACGATCGCCGGCGCAAATTTTAATATCAAAAAATGAAAAAAACAAACTAAAAAAAAAGCATGCAACTGCGTCAATTATTTATTATTAGTGCAATAGTGTGTGGTAATTTATAATCAGGTGATTAATTAGCGCGTGGACGCGTAATTCGTCGAGAATTTATGCCGCTTTCATTTCGTTAGCGAAAGGGTCGTAATAAATGTTTATTAAGGGCGGCGGCGGTCGCTTCGCAGTCAACCCCGCATCAAGCCCGAAATTGCCTCGAATTTCAATTATCTTCAGGGGCTGATTCGCGCAGTGTTTTGCTTTAATTGTCTGCGCACTAATCAGAATCCCCTCCGCAAATTCAAAAAAGACAATAAACAACATTAAAAACTAATATTTTCACATAAATAATTCACTTTTTGTGTTTTGTGTTTTTCTTCTTCTGTGTAATAAAAAACGAGTAAAACGCTTACGTAACACAACATTTGAAGTTGTTGCCTGGCTGTTATCACGTCCGTCTTACATACTCCTTCATGGTGCGCCGTGTGTTTTGTTTTGTTTTATTGTTTACGCCCCTCGGCGTCGACGGCACTAATTTGTCCTGTTTTTTCTTATGTTTCTGCTCATTACACACACGCGAAACTTTTTTTTACGAAAAAAATTCTTTTTTCACGTTTTACGTTGTTTTTAAAGAAAAATATAACCACACTGTATATTATGGTCTTTTTGAAACGGGTGCTTTCTCTATGCGTTGATAATGTCCCGTTTCCTGACCTTTTAGAAAATATCCAGTGATAAACGGTGGAAATACGTGTTTACGATTGCGATAACTCAAAACGTTCCAGCAGTGGCTTACGACGATAAAAAAAAAAAACGAAGAAAAAAGAGCACTTTTCGATTCGTAGATAAACCGCCGGTGTTTTACATATGTCGGCCGTAAAACTAAGATAAGATGCGCGCGCGTGGGCCACCCGAAAAAGACGGTAGAGGGTAAAACATGCAGCGAATAGCAAATCAGCACACACAAAAGTTTTTTCTTCGTTTTTCAGCCTTCGAAACTTTATTTTACGCGAATCTTTCTTTGGACGGTGATTTTCCGGTGGGACTGGTGGCGGCAGCGACGACGGCTAGCGCGGAAATGCCGGACCGGTCGCTACCCTCGGCGCGCTACACCGGCGCCTCCACCAAACCACGCGACGACGGCGCCTCCACCAATCATTTCAACCGCACGCAATTCAAACAAAAATTACTTATAGAACTCGCAATATTGAATTAAATAATTATTGAGTGCAGAAAACAAGTATAATTCGATTAAAATTCTTTAAAAATTAATTTACTCGAGTTTTAAGTTGAATGCAATTCGCAGAATCAAGAAAACTCAATTTTAAAAAACAAACAATTGTTTTCTTGGAGTTTTTCTTTTGTTTGTATTCAATTCACTTTATTTCCTACACTTCCTGAATCTGAATCATAATAAAAACTATTTCAATTAGGTTGTAAATTGCAATAAAATTCATCTCGTGCGTAAAATTGCTTCATATTAAAATTCCGCGTACGATTTACGTCGCTCAACGAGCCAGAAATCGAAATGTTACAAAAAGCGCGCACACCGGAAGTCAGCACATGGCAGGACGGTGAAAAAAATCGGAAATACTCTATGGATCTATGCGCGCGTGCATGTCGCGCACGTTGGGTTGTCTACCTTTGGTAGTCGCTAGCACGTACACAAGATGGGCGGATGGCAGTTGACAGAAGTAGATTGCGCGAATCGTGAGTAAAATACTACGAAATTAGAAAATGTTAAACGCTAAAACGCGACCAAATGAAAACGTCAATTTCACATCGCAGATCAAATTGAAAACGTAAACCTGACGGCGACTGACGGTAATCGTAATCATGTACTCGTACTTGTAGATTCAATATGCATTGAAAATTAAATTTAAAATTGAAAAATTTGTCTTTTACTTATTTTACTTAAAAAAATAAAATTATAATTATCTATTTACTAGTGAATTGTGATTTATTACATTTTCTAATATGTTTTATCTAGAATTTGCATTCCGGTGACAAAGTTTCCGCCAACTTTGACTTGTGAGCCCTCAAAACTTTGGCGATTTGCGCCACTGCGACAAACTTGAATCCCTCAAACCTGCAATCTTGGTGAAACAAGCTTTAAACTAGAAAAGAAATTGTTTTACA